CTCGTGAGTACATCTCCTCCGCCTCGCCCAGTTTGCCTTGGTCAAAGTATAGAAGGCCGAGATGGTTGACGGTGTTGAGGGTCGACGTGTGGTCCCCGCCCAGCGCCTTCTCGTACCCGGCCAGCGCCCGCGAGTACATTTGCTCGGCTGCATCGTACTGCACTCGCCGCCGAAGGAGCTCTGCTAAGTCCATCATTGACTTTAATCGACTTCTTACGAAGTTCTGTTGGCGTGCTGCGACATGAAACCGGCCGTGCACCAGCCGCTTAGCATGCCCAACGAACCGCTGATATCGAATCGCAGACAGATGCTCCCAGTCGTCCGCACTAACATGGCTGGCAACACAGTCAAACGCCAGCCAGTATCGCCTCGCGTCAATCTGATGGTTCAACCCGTCCAACGTCCAGTCGTGCACACACGTGTGAAGACTATATGACCCAGTCTGATGATGCGTCTCCACGAGGCAGTATCGGACGAGTACGCGCATGGCGTCCTCAAACATAAACTCATCGCCCGCTAGTTCGGTAAACCACGCAGGTTGATCTTCTCGTTGGCCGCCATGCAAGAGTTCGAACCAGATATCCTGGTGGTCCAAATACGCCAGGAATTGTAAGAGATGCGCTGCTCGCGGATTCTGTTGTTCCACTCCCATGAACGATAAATTCCACGTACTATAAAGTGTGCGCGAAGGATAGTCGGATAACTCCTCCATAGAGTCAATCACTTTCCACTTGGCTTCATATTGCCAGAGATACTGGCCAAAGCTGACAGAAGACTGGCTCAAAAAGGCTCCAGCCGTGGCCAGAGCTAAGGGATGTCCGTCCAGTCTCTGGGCCAGTTGTCGAGCATCCGGGTCTACGAGCGGTTAGATATAGACGTCCAGCCCGTGAACAAGGTGTGAACAAGGTTTCCCTACCGGATTCCACATTGCCTCGTCTTGACCGAGTGGCCAAAATGCGAAGGCTTTCGTCTTCCTTGCTCATAGATCGAACTCTAACCTTTTCTCCGTTAACTCGACCCGGCTGTCGAGTGGTCACGATGACTGAGCCGTGGGCGACGAATGGGTAGTATTTCTGGAGCTGATATTGATCGGGATCGTCGTAGTTGTCGAATATAAGCAGCCATCGAGTGTTTTCGTGCTCAGAGAGCCAGTTGGAGACATAGATATAAATCTGCTCATCGTTAAGCTTGTTAATAGTCTCTGGAGGCAACGCTCGATAGGCTACGTTCCGCAAGCTCGTCTTAAGGCTGACCTCAGAGGTGGCATTCAGCCAGAAGATGGACGTATAGCAGGTCCGATGTCGTTTGGCATAAGTGATAGCCAATTGAGTCTTGCCGATCCCACCCATGCCGCCGAGAACGAGCGCCTTTCTGCTTAAACCGAGTGTGTCTGACTGAGGCTGCAAGATCGATTCCATCTGTTGAATCTCTGTCTCTCGACCAATGAAAAGACCCTCGCTCATATCAGGAGCATCATAGAGGTTGAGACCGCGGTTATATTCTAATCATCCATTAGTATTTCTGTCCATATAAGGAAGTCAATATATAATGCGGTCAAAGTTCTTAATCGATTCAGAATAATACAATAGTCTAACTACCTCAAGGAGATTATTCATCGGACTTACTCATCACCTCTGTAGCCTGTTTGACAATGGTCACATCTGCTGGCTTAACAATCGACAGCAATTCTTTGGCCAACCCCGCTGCGGTGACCGCCGCATATTCCTGCCATACATCGTTCTTATGAGAATCGGCATAGTCGCAGATCCCTCGCACGACAATGCAGGGAAAATCATTCATCAATCCAGCTGCCTCCATTTCAACGCACTTGGCGCCAAATTCCCGGCCCAGCCGATCCCTTTCGACAACATTCTTCATCAATTCGTTTCCTGAAGCAATGACCCCGTAGTGGACCTCCGGACTTTGATCTTCACGAGGCTTTCGGTCGATGACCCCGTTCTGGCATTGGGTACAATTGTCCCCTCTTTGATGGCCTTCGACATTGCTACAAAATAATATATCTTTCTCGGGACCAGGATGCACATATCCTACCTTGGCCAATCGTGGTAATCGCTGGATCATTGCGGAAAGAGTCTCCGAGATCCGATTGCCATATATTTGGTGTTGTGATTGGAGGTTGGCGAGTGCGGTCAGGAGGAGCGTCGGAGGCGGTCGCAAAACGCTCTTACGCTCAAACACACCGTCGCCTAGATTCTTTCGGAGGTCGTATTGCACTACGCCACCATGCGTACCATCAGGTTGACTGACCACCACATCGCCTAGTCTGATGTCCACGCCCTTGTTTGAGTTTGGGATCCCACCTCCAATGCCCACCATGAGACCGAACCGGATTGCGGGAAACGTCCTCAACATGTTATTGGCCACGGTCGCCACCGAGACCGTACCGTACACTCCTGCAGGTAGGCATGCAATCACAACATTGTGACCATGGATCCGTCCCAGCACATAGCTGTTGTTATCGTGGGCCACTTGACTCTTGTATTGTTCATGTTCTTCATCCAGCATGGCTCGGGCGGCGGTCAGCTCTTTGGGGAGGGCACACACCCAGCCCACCTGGTACTCTTCCATCGGTAGAGGAGGCATCGTCCAGGGGGGTTGGCGGATTTGGATGGTGAGTTTGCGATGGCGATTAGGCTGATGATCGCAATAGAGGCACGATCTAGTGTCGGGGGGAGGTAGAAATCATGGAACTCTCAAGCTCCGGTGGATCTGATGCCATGGAAGGGCTCAGATTTGAGCCACGGCTGGCGGTTTCGGGATGAGCGAAGTACTGTAGAAGCATGTTGTAAAATGCGCAGTTAGGCTGAACGTCGAATCTAGCTGTTACGCGGGTGAGGTCTGGGTGCGGCTGAACCTTGGGTGGTGATATTCGATTGGCGCTGAGATGGGCGCTTCATGGTGCCTACACGTGACCATGGTCTTTTGAGCTGAGCGGCTCGCTGGACTCGTAGTGGTCGATTTGGTTCAATGCGGGAAAAGGACGGTTCATGAATGTGTCCACCTTTTTCTGTGGTGGCCATTCTTGCATTCCTACCCTCCAAAATCGGCTCGGGCTATGGGTCTGGCTAAGTTGGGATAGATTGATGCCGCTTTTAGGCCACTACTTTTGGGAGGTCATGTACTGTGAGATCTAACATGTGATCAGAATGTGGTTCCTGCCGATTGGCCTGGGTGGGTCGGAATTATGAACACCCATCGAGGCCCCTTTCACGACTATGGACTATTAGGTCTCTCAGAAGCCACATAACCCGGCAGAAGCTATCTTACAGTCGGGATTTATTAAAGGTCGAATTGCAGGTCATCAAGCAAGTTCACCCACACCAATTTTTAATGCTGTCGACCAGCTGGCGAAAGGGACGCAAATATTAGCTCACTCGGTCACGCTCTTAACGGACCAGGTACGCTCTCTCTAGAAGGCGAACACCGCACTTAGCAAACGCCTCAGAGCAAAAAGACACGCGTACGTCTTGGAGGAGCACTTGCTGTACAGGACCAGATAGCCCGAAGAGATATAAATAAGCAGTTAGAGTTGAAAAGGCGTGAGAATAGTGGTGGTAGTAAGCAGGCCGAGGTCACTCAACGATGCTGTGGCAAGTGCGGCAAGCCCGGACATTATTCAAAGACCTGCCAAGAGGATGAAGAAATGTCTGATCTAATTCTAAGTAGTTTCAATTGATTTGAATTGTTGTGGTTGTGTAGTTGAGGATTTTTCTCGTGCGGTCATCGAAAAGCGCGCGAGGGAGTGGATCACGTTATCGATATAACTTTCTGCCTCTTAAATGGATATCAAGATTGATACCCCACCTAAACTACGCGCTCTGATCGGCTGGGACAATCGCGGCCCGGGAGTTGCGATTGTCCCAGCCAATCGGAGCGCTCCGCCCCACCTTCCTCGTTTTGCTTCGCTAATGCTCTTCCATTGTTGCCCAGACCTCTCTCGGAAGAGAGTTGATCCGTTCCGGGTACTCACGAGAGGGAGGCCTGGGTCAATACGGGAAATTTTGTTAGCGTATTGCGTTCGCGTCGCAGGCGCGTCAACCCATTTCTTGCATTCGTGTCAAAATCCACGAGGCGACGACTTCACGACTCAGCCACATCATATACTGTGGTAGCCAGGGTAATTTTCGTTAGTACACCTGAAGGTCTTGGCAGGTAAACAGAATAGCTTCCAGGTGTGTTGATAGGGGTCGCTCAGCTAGAAGGTGCCTATCACATGCCTAGGACGGCCCAACTTGCCAGTCCAGGAACCCCTAAGTTCTGGGTTGCTTTTAGGCAATCCCCTTCCTTAGAGTTCCAGGCGTTCAGACCTGATCACGTGGATAGTCACGTGGTTTAGTGCCGTACTAGCGAATATTACCCTGGATACAACAGTATTGTTGAACAAAGGGCTACTATGGATAGGCCCCACCGCTGAAACACGACGTTACTGATGGTTGCTCTACGTAACGACGTAGTATTCGCATGTCTATAAAAGCCTTAGTACTTCGACAAGTAGATAGAGAACAGAGCATTCAATACATCTCGAGTTGCTACCAGTTTCATAGCAGTGATGGCGTCAACATCGATTTCTATAAAAAATAAACGCGAAGACAAATGGAGCCCTTTGACTGGTCAGAATAAAGTTACGGTGGATCCTGGGCGAAATACAGGAAGAACTGCCGAATTAGGTTAGTTCCTATTGGCGCATTGGGAACTGAACGAAATACCTGTTACCTCGTGGAGGCGGACAGACCACTGCCCCAAGCAGCAGCTCGAATCTCCCTCCCTCCCTCTCTCCCTCAACGACCACACACTCTCATTGAGTCCTCTTCTAGAGAGTTTTCGACTTAGTGTGCCTCAAAATACATCGGTCGAAAGTGGATAGCGATTCAGGGGACGACTTAGGAAATGCTTCCAGAACTAAATACCAATTACAACTTCATTAACTTCTGGAAAATCAGATGTGTATGGCTGAAATCGGATGGCCTGTCCCCATCAATGTACCCTGGACAGGGGCGTTGCTTTGTCAAAATGTACTTTAGGTTCTACGGACCTTGATGCAAACGAAATTGAACTAATGCAGCCAACCCGCCCTCCACGGAACTCATCAACTGGTAGCTTGGGCAGCTCGGGTGATGTGGAGGGCGCTCAAATGGGTGCTTTTGATAGGTCACTCCTCACCTCGGGGGACCACATGCTACCTCACCCGCCGGCCGCCCCCCTCCTCGACATGCTTGTGGCTAATGTATATTGCTTTAGACTAGTAGGGAATCTTGCCAGGTTGTTTCAAGTTCGACCGTCCCCGGCAGGGACAGGCATGAGAAAAGCTTCCTAAAGTTCACACGGGTCCAGGTAAGAGATGCGCCACGGGCATCTCGGCTTCGTTTGTCTCGACTTTCTCTTCAAGCCCGTCTTGTCCTGGTGACTGCATTGCTCTTTCAACTCCTTCTCTTGCAGCATCACAAAACGTGGAAGGTTTGACATTGCTTACCATGACACAACCCCTCGAGAATCGAGAGACTGAAGATCAGATATCAGCCTATTTGGACACTACTCCTGGCACCGAGATACTGTTCGACGATCTCAGCAAGCATGGAGCCATTTCAGATCAACTTCACCAGCTGAAGCATGTCAAGAAAGGGGACTCTCGTGTTCTGCTGGTTCCTCAACCCTCTGCCACTAACCCCAATGATCCCCTGAGTTGGCATGACACGAAGAAGTCTCTGACCTTCTTCAATGCTTGTTGGTATTCGTTCATGGGCTCCATCACAGGGCCGATAATGGCGGCCGGTAACTGCTCTCATCCATGAAGCTTCATTTTTGATTTGGCTAACGGCCTGTAGGGATGATTCAGCTGTCCACCTTCTTCGGCAAGACTTTGCAGGAGATGACCTACGCAAACGGGGCCACTCTTGTCTGCCAGGGCGTGTTCAACATCGTCTGGATGCCTTTTGCGGTCAAATATGGTCGCCGACCCGTCTACCTCTTCTCCAACTTCCTCATGGCCATGGCGTGCGTGTGGCTAGGGATCGCCTCGACGAGGAATTACAAGGTCTTCATCACCGGGCGCGCCTTTCTAGGCGCATGGGAAGCGCCAATCGAGTCCATTGTTCCAAGTACCATCACCGACATCTTCTTTCTACACAACCGGGGGGAGCTCGTCTCTATATATGGCCTTTCTGTGCTTGGCGGCAACGAACTTGGGCCCATGTTTTCTGCCTTCATCATCCAAGGTCTCGGGATGAATTGGGCTTTCTTCATCGTGGCCATGTTTATTGGTGCCAATGTCATCTGCATGATCTTTTTCATGCCCGAAACGAAATTCACCGGACCTCGACCGAAGATCGTGTCAATTCTCCAAGATGCCGGAAAAGGGGAAAGGTCGCAGGTTTCGGAAGTTGAGGTCGAAAGCCCCGTTCCGAAGAAGACCTTTGTCCAAGAGCTCAAGTTCTGGAGCAAGGGAGATCCAAAGGTCAATCTTCTGCATACCTTTCTCCGTCCCTTTGTGCTTCTGGCGTACCCGACCGTCCTCTGGTCCTGCTGCATTTACGGACTCGCGCTCAGCTGGAATGTTATTCTGGGAGCTATTGTTGCGCAGCTTTTCTCCCCGCCCCCATACCTATTCGACTCGAATGCGCAGGGACTCTTCTTCCTGTCTCCATTCGTTGGCTCGCTCTTTGGAGTCTACTTCTCGGGGAAAATGGGCGACCAGATTGCAAACTGGGCTACGAAGCGGAATCAAGGCATCCGGGAGCCGGAAATGCGCCTTCTGACTTGCTTCGTCGCCGCCGCATTCACTTTTTTTGGAGCCCTGTGGTTCAGTCTCTCGTACGAACATCACACTCATTGGGCTGTACCCATTGTGGGCGCTGGTGTCTTGTCTGTAGGGAGTCAAATGGGGGCTACCTTGGGTATGAACTACGCCCTCGATTGTCACCAAGGGGTAAGTGAGCATTCTCTCCACACTTTGGAACCTCGAGCTGATCGTCCCATAGTTGTCCGTCGAGATTATGGTGACTATTGCCTCGCTAAAGTCGCTGATCGCTTGGATCTGGACGTGGGAGATCAACAACTTCATCGACTCGAATGGCGTCTTGACGGTCTTCATGACGGTGGCAAGCATCAACGTCGTTGTCTACCTGGTCTGCATCCTGTTCTACCTTCGGGGCAAGCGAATTAGGCTCTGGCTCCAGCAGAAAGACCTCATGCGCGCAGCGAACGTGGCGTAATGCCACGGTTTTCAGGGGCCACGCGAGCATCGTCATTTTTTGCTTTGTGGAAAAATAACGTGTTCCGGACCAGGCGGCCCATACAAAGAGAAAGGAATATACGAGCGGACGGTCAAAAATCTGTTAAACCCACTTGCTACAAGGGTTGTCTTGCTTTTCTACTTCTCGTCTTTGAGACGGCTTTCCTTAGCGCTCGAAGGCAAACAGTTAAAGTCGTAATATTCTACCGCAATTGGCTACAGCTAGGGGCGCTGTATGACTTGGTTAGTAGAGGTAATCATGCTTCAGCCACTAATTGTGTCAGTTCCTGTTTCATGACAAACTCGAGAGCCGAGGGCCAGAGGCGCTTCGCACGGACGTCTAGCTCCGATAAGGCCCTGGACTAGGCTTGATTCGTGGCTTCAATAGCGGCTTCGGAAAGGTTCTTCTAGCTTTCTTAGACCAGAAGAACCCTGGAGTCTTTGGCGCAGGAAGCGAATCAACCGTCAATCCGGACTGCAATGCTCTGCCGAGACTCCACGCTATTCACGACTGGCCTTGGGGGGAACCTTTCCGCGATTCTAGCTCCCCATGGGTCAGCCGCAATAGCGTGAACAACTCCCCCGGACTGCAGCCCCGCCAGCGTGGATGGCGTTTTGTTTTTCTCCAATAGAGCTAATGTTCTGGGCGCTGTGCATGCTGTCGCTCCAAGCCATCAGCGTAAAAATCGCGAAAACTGATTTCCCTTCCCATGCGCCGTCAAGGGTCTATCGGGCAAAGAAACATGCAGGCAAAAATAACAAGGTTTGTCACAGCATACGCGAAAAAGTAAGGGCATAGCCTACGACCATCACACCACTGACCCCGCATAGCTTCTCCCAAGCTGTGCCTCAAGCTTAGTGAGAACAATTGCGACAGTTGGGCATAACTCGCTTGTTGACTGGTACCCGGATGAGAGGCTTGCCAATAGTCCCGTTCTCTTGGCCGATCGTAATTGTTAGCCAATAGCAACCTGGCAAGTATTCCCAGCTGTGATCAGTTAAATAAGCGAGACCTTCTCGCCAATATCAGCCCCGCCAGGAGCGATATTCTCTCAATTCATGGGAACAATAATCGAGGAAGAGTTACTCCTAAAATCTAAGAGGTTTACCTATGAAATCTCCCGAATTATGGGGCTGATACTCCTAAGGTAGCAGCGACGAGTCTACCTATATACACAGAGTACTTACGGCTAGTTAGATAGAGCATTCAATATCGTCTATTCAACACTTCCATTGGTTGACACAGGTTCATCTTGTTTTGAAGCCACCAACTTCGGACCCTCCCCGTGCCAGTCAAGGAAGGTCCTCCACCTACCCCGGACAAGAGAAAAATAGCAAGACCTGATCGCAAGGATTTCCCGTGGTCCTTCTCAGAATACCCTTGCTGATGCGTTACGCACTAGATGAACCTTGCATGAAACTATCAGCCAAATTTACGTAGTACGGCGGCCGGATGGACAGAAAAATGAGGCGACAGTTGAGTGGGAATTCTTCCGTGTCGAAGGAAATCGCCCATAGGTCTCTACTTCCGGACATTAACATTGTACCATGCCCGAAACCACGATCTGATTGTGCAGGTTCGGGCGACCACATCGGTCCCTAGAATCCTGGCGTGTCGTGTGTTTGGATTTACGTTCTTGTTACAGGGGCACATCAATCCCCCGTTGAAGCTTGTCCGGTATAGTGATGCACTCAGGGGAACTACACTTGCCCTTTCCCAGAGTCAGTCTTCGCGCTGGCACGGAATTGAAATGAGAGTACATTATACTGAGGGCCAGTCAAGTGGTAAAAATATCCCTTTACCGTCTCTCAACGTCGTGTTGGGCCTCCCTTTGTACCGTACTTGCGCCCTCTTCAGGCTTGCGGCATCTCTGATAACAAACCGTGATGGCGAGGGCAACAGATTCCCAGCCCGTGCTATTGGGGATCACTTGGGCGGAGACCTTCCTCGGCGCCCTCTTCTATACCCTTCGTTTCATCAACAACTGGACACTAATCCATCGCTTTCGATGGGATTTTGCATTGGCGTCACTCACAGTGGTAGGCGAGCCTAAGAATCCTTAGAACAACTTGCTGACGTCTTGCATGCCACCCAAATCAGCGCTCAGATCTTCCTCCAGCTGTCCGTCGACGCCGGTATGGGACGTCACATCTCAGGGCTGGCACCTCATGAGATTGTGGTGTCGTTGAAATGGGCTTGGGTGTATCAACTACTCGCCATCGCCTCAAGTTGCATCGGAAAATTGGCCATCGTGGCTTTTCTCGCCCAGATTCGAGGTTCCCACACGGGAAAGCCGTGGTTTCTCTGGATTCTGTCGGGCCTCATAATCGCCGTAAATGTGACTGTACTCGGCACGATCCTAGGCCAGTGCAGGCCGGCGCAGAAGTTATGGAACGATGCCCTTCCTGGGTCTTGCGACCCTGGTCGAGAGGTCAATCAAAACTACTCCTACTTCCAAGCCAGTGAGTTAATATCAAGGATCGAAAGCTCGTTCACGAGTCTCAATGCGGTGTGTACCAGGCTTCAACTCTTTTTCCGACGCTGCCTTGGCCTTGTACCCCATGACGTTCCTTGCAAAGCTGCAGATGAAGTTGCGACTAAAGGTTGCGTTATGCATACTGATGGGAATGGGGTGGATGTAAGCATACCGGACATCAGCTTTTGTCTTTGCCTGACGTTGCTGACTGATATTGCGATCAGTGCAGCGGCATGCTCCGCTATCAAGACCTATGAACTACAGCGACTCACGCAAACCACCGACACAACTTGTAAGTACCCGGGACCTCCTGGAAGGAAAGGGGTGCAGCACATCGCATCCGCGCTCCTGATCACCACACACTGAGTTTCTCTCTGGTTAGACGCCCTCACCCCTCTGCTGATCTGGGCATCGACCGAGGCTTGGATCATCGTCATTGTTGGCTGCGTCCCACCCATCCGCCCGCTCATCGAACGGCTTTTCCAGAAATTGGGCATCATCAAGAAAACATCCGTTCAGGCCTCCCGGCCCAACGGCTACGGCGGCTTCAACATCATGGACCGTTCTGCCACCGAGGGGATGAACCATTCACAGGTTCAATCTCGAGCCTATTGGGGAGGCAAGAAGGAAGAACAGGGGTGGTTGGAATTGACCACTCGCAAACCCGGGATCGGCACAATCAATGAGAGCAAGGAGGTCATTGTCTCTGATCGCGATGTGCTGGTGACGACGGATATCGTCATAACAGAAGGTTATGCGGACGGCCAGAACAGAACGGAAGGCGAAGGGGAGAGAAAGAGCCAGGATACAATATCGGAAGCAGTGGCAGGGCGGAATCGTGATCCTGCGAGGGTCGTGTAGAGTACAAGCCCTGTAACCAAAAGAGAGTCCTCTACTTGCCCTAGTGCTATAGTGTAACAGTAGTAAGCGCAACAAAAGCTATCCTTCAGGCTTCTCCACCGGAACATCTCATTGGGTGGAGGATGGGTCGATCCAGTGTGTGGTCGAATGGAAGTCATCTGTCGTTGCACAGGAGAAACCAGGATGGCGGGATTCCGGTGTGAGGAGCATTTCAAGTAGAGATATGAGGAGTGGGAGTGAGGAAGCAGGGAGCTACGACCAGGCGGCAGCCTAAAAACTGAAGATGCCAAAGTTTTATTATTAGTAGGCCGTGTTGTAGCACTACAATCGATAGTGATTAGAGCTGCAGATCGAATTATAATACTACAAGTCGGTAGTAACCTCTAATCAAGATCGCTTCTTTGATGCCCTTCTTGTGTAATACATATGAGAGAGACGGTTTCCGGTTCCTGGCATCAGTTCTATATTGAGTTCTAGGACTCCTTCGAGGACCGAGAGGGAGCGACAGTTGAAGTTTCCCAGAATGCCAATGAGATATTGACGCCTGGGCTCGATTTTCGAGCGGCAAAGATATCGTACGTGCTCGGCTTCATACCGTTCTTCACTAGCAGAACGCGGCTGTCCGACACCATCAATGCTTCGGCAGTGTTGTGAGCGGTCATTTCGGCAAATATTATCCCTCGATGCTTCGTCGGTATTGTCGACTGTCATGCCGTGATCCTTGTCCTCCCACGATTGCCAATTCCGTTGTCGCCTTTTGCGTTTCCCTTCTGTCTTCGTGTCTACATCATTATGTCAGCCCGTTTTGGATCTAGTGTTAACTTAAATCATGGCCTTCTTCTTGTTGTTGTTGTTGTTTGCATGATTCTTTATCTGCCTAGGTCTGTCTCTAACGTAATGAGTGTAATCAAACTATCCCGACGTTGGCATGATAGTGTTTGGGGAAGCGAAGATCTGATGCGACGTTCGGAAAGTTAAATTGGAGGTTTGGAACCAGAAAAGGGAGGCCGATGTGACATCGTCCGAAAAGGTGTTCTGAACGGCTGCAAAGGTTTCAGAGCACTGGACATCCATCGAATCGTTGGCGGTGGCTTTGGTGTGTGTATTGCGCAAAATATGCGCAACTCCGATCGACGTCGAGCAAACATACGTTGGGCACGGATTGATGCAACACGAGTGCCCTGCCGTAAGGACGTTGGACCCCGGCTCCAATCGGCATGCCGACCAGCCCCTGGATTGCCGAAACCTTTCTCCTGCACAAGACGGCTATTGTTCGAAATCCTTTGGGGATTCACAGACGGACTTTGAAGGCCACGGCATGTTCTCCATCAAACCTTTCCAGCACAAATGATCATCGATCGAAGGGTCGAAAATGCCAACCGGCGCAACTTTGTCCACACCACAACGTCACAGTACTCCGCGAACGATAGTGATCCCTTTGCCTCACACAGTTCTCGAAGCCCGAGAAAGGACCCGAGCTCCCAACGGTAAAAATCAAAAGGGTCCCGGCAATACCATATCCCGGTCTGAAGTATCTTGAAACACTGAACTTCCCGTCTTTCGAGGGTTTCACGGAATGGAAAGCCCGTCTTCCCTGTCACCACTCAACAGACCTTGAAACAGTGAACCACCGTCTTCGAAGTTAGATGGAATGGAAAGCCGGTCTCCTTTGTTACCACTCAAGCGTCTGAAACAGTATACCACTATCATTCGAGATTTGACGGGATGAAGGGCTACCGTGCCTTGTCGTCTCAAAAGGTCTTTCTCCTGCTTGCTGAGGGGTCTTTTACCACTGCTTACTGTGGATTCCTGACGGCAAGTACCTTTTATGGGATTGCTGAAAACAATACTACCGCTGCAGTCACATTCGAGATCGTACACAACAGGATACTAAATGGACATCTGTCCATAAGGGTAAATCTCGGTCGTTCAGCTATTGTTGCAGCGTTGCCGGTGACCCAATGTTGATGGCCTGTCAGGAAAAAGAAGAAGTCCCAGGGAAGTAGATGGGAAAATTCGCCGCGCGTGAAAAAAGTCTTGCACGACCAGACCACGGTGCAGTTCTCCCTCGGAGGCAGCAACGGTGGTTCCACTCATACCGCTCGAACCGACATAGTCGGGCGATAGATAGGACATTTTCTCCTCGGATGACGTAAAACGTTGTAGAGGATCGCTTGGAACACGACGCGAAGTGAGTCCGCAGATTGTCAAACCGGGATAACTTGGGATGTATCCCTTTTCCATAAACCGTCACAGTATTCTTGGTACAACAACAATAGGTAGGTTCCTTCGTACGATTGGTTGTTCACTTGTCAGATCATTTACCAGTGCAGACCTTATTCGACAGGTGGCTATGTCGATTTCATTGTCCACCCTTCCAGCTCCTGGGTGATCCTGCTTGAGATATTCATTCTTCCTGGTATGCAACTTCTTTTATCGCCTAGACTACGAAATGAGCCGAGGCAGGCAGAGATGAGGCTTAGGACTACCCCGGTCGCTCGAGGCTCGGGGCTCTCCAGGCGACGGTCCGGAGCCGAGGGCCGATATGACCGGGCCAGGGCGGCGCGGTGGGTTAGAAAGATGAGCAGCGAACATGGTCAAAGTATGCTTCAGCCCTCTTAATTAGGGCATCACGCTGCTTAAACCACAGCCCGAACTCAGCCCGAAGCACAGCCGTAGTCTCAAGACTGCTTCTAGCCTGGATATCAGGGAAAGCCCTAACACCCGAGACTGCAAGAGATTCCAGGCCAATCAACATCTTGGAATCATATACGCAAGTCACTCACAACACCGAGTGACACTTCATTAGAGGCCAGTTTCTGTCAGGCCGATGTCTATCCATTCTCCTTGCATCAGTCAGATAGATCAGCCAGGTTGACTGCGACGCAGGACGGTACCTGTGCTTGAGCCATTGTTGGGGCCAGCTAGTCCAGCCTTTGAAGATAACCCGCGACAGTCTTCCAATCTGGTCAGCAGATATACCATGGTGGCTACTCCTGCAGACATTTCAGGATGCCGTCACAGTCTGGATAGACTCTCTCTGTATTGTGCAAGACGATGATGAAGATTAGCATAGAGAATCGGCCGAAATGGCGAACGTGTATCAAAATGTATACACTTGCTCTGGCAGCAACAAGACAAAAGAGAGCACCGGTGATTGTTTCTCTGTGCAGGACCAGAGATGCAACTCTCGGACGCTTCGTGGAGTAGACCGGAAAGGATGGCCTTTTTACCCTATGTTGTCGACGGAAATTGCCTGACTGGGACGATTATAAATACGCCCGCGAAAGATATTCCTATTACGATTGCAACTTCCTTCTACTTCGCCGTCCCCAGGTCTATCAAGAACGCCTGCTTTCTCTGCGCGTTCTCTATTTCGACGCACAAGCACTCCTTGGGGACTGTATGGCAGATCCTTGTTGCGGGTGTGGGCATGATCGACCCTCTAGCTACAGCCACAGAACAAAACTCCACCACGCGAATGTTATCAGACTCAGGTTAATGATTCCTCATGGGCTTTAGAAGACGTTGGATATGGCGAAGGAGGTTTCGTCTGAGCCATAGGTATGTAGCCTCAAACGCGTCGACGAAATCCAGCGATCGAAAGGCCAACCAGATACCTCTCTTCCAATCCGATTGCCCACTCACAATTTACCCTTGTTCTGTTTGGTTCGTTGTTTCTCTTGATCCCTCAAGACCCTCCGAAGCACCTTCCCGCTCGCGCTCTTGGGCACCATCTCTACAAACTCAATTCCTCCCGCCAACCACTTTGGTCTAGATTTCTTCTGCTTCACAAATTCCAGCAGCTCTTTGGAAGTTTCAGCGCCGGACTTGGATGGATCGACCAGCACGACGAATGCTTTCGGTACCTCTCCGGCATAGTCATCTGGTATCCCAATAACTGCAGCGTCAGCAACTAGTGGATGGCCCAAGAGGAGGTCTTCGAGTTCAGCAGGGGCAACGCCAACGCCTTTGACTTTGATCATCTCCTTCAACCGGTCGTGGATCATCAGAAACCCGTTTTGGTCCATGAAGCCAATATCCCCGGTATGCAGGAATCCGTCTTGGTCATACGTTTCGGCCGTGGCATCTGGTCTGTTGTAATACCCCATGGTTACTTGCGGACCTTTGGCGAGAACCTCGCCGCTCTCACCAACACCGAGAATTCTTTCTCCCTCGCCCTCATATTCCGGATCGATGATCTTGATCACCGTTTCTGGCACCACTTTGCCTACGGTATGAGCCTTATCATAGGTCTGGTCCGACGGCGGTGTCAATGTCAAGGCAGATGTGCTTTCGGTCATTCCCCATGCTTGTCTTATCCGGATATGAGAGAATCGCTTGGCCAGCTTATCGATAATTTCTTTCGCAAGCGGCGCAGCTCCGGTATTGAATTGTTTCACGAACCGAAGATCGTATCCCGCTGCCACAGGATCATTGACTAGACGAATTAAGAGAGCTTGAAGTATGAAATTTGTTAGGATGCAGTTGGGAACGGAGCATTTCCTGCAGGGTTCTTCCAGACAACTTACGAGGAACAAGCCACAATTCATCACACTTGTACTTGACAATCACATCGAGCATTTCTTGCATGTTGAATTTCGCCATCATCACCACTTCTTGGTTTAACGCGAGCGGCAGCTGGAGGATTTGGACAATCCCGGTAACTAGATCGACGCTTCGAACTCTTGTTTTGGAAGGAGAAGGCTCGCAACTTACTGTGATACAGCGGCAACACTCCTAGCATGACCTTCGGACAATCCGCCGCCGTCAATGATCGCATCTGCATGATCTGTGCTATCACGTTGTGGTGGGAGATCATGACCTGACAACTCATTAGCGTCAACACATTCCACCGCTATCGATGGCATTCATCATAACGAAGATCTCATGACATACTCCCTTCGGCAAACTCGTCGTCCCACTCGTAAAGCTCAAATAGGCCGGCACTTCCGCATTACTCTGACCGTTCGCGGGTTCCCAGCTCTTGACCTGCCCATTTTTCCCCTTCTCTTTCCCTTCGCGAATCAAATCTTGGATCGTCACCTTGTCCTGATGCGCTCTGACCCCAGAAGCACTACCAATGAACACAACTTTGCTCTTGCCCAAGCCAACCTTCTCCGCCGCCTTCCAAACCACATCCCAAGACTCACTGTCCGCGCAGACCAGATCACTCTCACTCGCTTTGAGAATATACATCATCTCCTCGAGCCCATACTCGGGCGACGACCCCGTGACGATCGCACCAAGGCGCACCGTCGAAAACGTCACAACCGGGTACCAGATACTATTGCTGCAGAAGATCGTCACATGGCTGCCTGTCTTGATGTCATACCGTTGCGCGATTGCTGTGGACAAATATGTCGCGAGGGATTTGACCTCGGCGAAGGGCAAGAATTCCTGCGACTTGGCGTCTCGAAAGCCAGCTGTCTGATCGCGATTGAATTTGCTGGTCGGCAGCGCCTGGTCAAAGAGCCAGCTCCAGATTGAGATGTCGGTGGGAACCGCTGAAAGAAAGGATCGATGTCAGAAGATGTACGTCTGGATTGCACCCGAGATTTGATGGGGACTGATAGAAGTGATTAGCCTTACGGGTATCGAGCTTGCTGCCCAAGTAGAGCATATTTGTGGTCCACAGATATTTGTGGAACTAGTTCCGGAAATTTGGTCGAAATGATTTTGATGTTGCGAAAAGGACGCGAGCGAAGCGTTGTAACCGACTCCTTTCCCAGGCTTCTCATAACGATCGAAAGAGTTATAGATATCAGCCCGCTTCTCAAGAACCGCGGAGCGAATTTGAGTTAAGAACAAGAATAAGAACAAGAACACAATTACCCTCGCTCTGGTTAGGGCCCGCGGGACAACGAAAGCTCGGCTCCATACAATCTGGCTATTGGAGATACGAGAGCTGAGAGCTCTTCGCGCCCTCTGTTTGAGAGCCAGAGATAACTTTTTGGACCCATATCAGCTGGACGGAGTCATAAAAAGCTGACTCGCCCGCATAACGCGCTGAGTTAGTCCGAACCCCGGAAACTAGAGTTCTCATGGCAACTCGTCATTTCTTCCATTCTCGAACTTGGTCAGTCATCAGGTAAAGTCTTTCAGTTCGTGTTTCATAGACGCGCCCACACGTCGCAGCGTAGCTCTGCCAAAGCAGTTCCCGGGGGATGCATGAGAAGCCTTCCCTGGCTTGAAAGCTGATTCGTCTTTCCCATCGATTCTTTAGCCTTGATTCCGGTGTCAATCATCGTCCTTATGACTTTCTTTGCTCTGCAATGTTCCTCGGTGAGATGAGCGAATCTCAGTCATTTCTTTCAATGCGGAGATAGCAGCTACTCCGTAGTATGAGGGGGGGGAACACGCCCAACGCCGAAACATACGGTAGCATCATGCCAATGGGTATGAATGAGGCCATCTCGATCTTTCAGATCAAAGATCATCCAGCATTCGTACCCTAGAAATCACCAGGACCATCGTTGCATCTTTCTCTACTATATTTACTGACCACCGCTATTATTCCCGTCATCGTGATTACCAAGTTTCTAGCAGATCACTAACACCATGCCCATCTACCACGTTGGTCAGCGCCCGGTTTCACCATTAAAGATCGGTCCGATACTGACGAAAACATAAGTGTTATTCAAACTCAAGCCTGGCGTTACGCCCGCTCAGATCTCCAACTTCACAACGATGGCTAAAGGGATGGTTGGCAAGATCCCGGGTCTGCTAAAATTGGACGCGAACACTCCGCTCCTATCGACGGCGCACCGTGGTAAAGGATTCAATATGGGCTTGATTGCTATTCTAGAGAAGGCGGACGATGTCAAAGTCTATGCTGAGCATCCGGCTCATTTGGAGTATGTTCAAGTTTGATGTCTTATCCTTTTCACCATCGTCTCTCGCTTCTTCCTTGCCGGGGGACTGATCGACTTTGGTAGGGTACAATCTGTTCGAGAAGCGATTTGCGATGACACGCTTGCTTATGATTTGGAGTACTCCGAATAGCATGTTGAAGGATGGTGCAGCGACGATGGTGAAGAACAGAAAAGAGAATAAAACACTGAATTCATAGGTCTGATGAGTACCCCTGTCAGGGTCGTGAGGAATTCAAAACGCAAGAAAAATGATCCAACCGCGGAGAAAATGAATCTCTAACCCCAAAGATGACATCGCTAAAGTTTAGGAACCCATTTCGCATTCCAGCATCCATCCTCCAAGTTCATACCGAGCATCTCCAGAGAATACGCTCCAAAGGTCTTTTCAAATCAATCTGGACCATTTCAACCTACCACGCCCTCTCCAACATAACGTAGGCATCGTCAAAACGGTCTCACGGTGGAGATCGACGTCTTCCAGTCCAGCGACATCATGGCAGCTCGCTGCATGCCGCTCTCCTGGACAGAATAAGCAGCAATGGCGGGTCGGACGGCTATGTATAACGTGATGATGCCGTTGAACGTTTCTACCAGTGTGGAGACCTTGGGTTCCCCGTATTTGCTGTATTCGGCACGTATGACCATGTCTGCAACCAGCCCATCACTTGTAGGATCTTCGCCGATGCACTCTCCGTGCTCATTCATTATGTGGCGACTTAGGTGGCTGCCAGCCACACTCCAGGACAAGCGGCCGGCATGGTGCCCATAGATGTTTGTTTCGATGGTCGCAATACCAAGGTACCCTTCAAATCCGAGAAAGTATGGTAAGATATTCCGTGGCTTGCCGCCGTAGAGGGCTCTGGCCAGGTATGGGGGGGATCGGCCGAAGAAAAACTCCAAGTGCGCGAATGATATATAGCCAAACATCGATCATGAATATGAGCCTAAGGCTGGAAATCCGAAGTCAGTCCAGTATCATCACCACAAACACTGGCAATTTGGCCAGTAGATTAGATATCCCGAAGATTCACATTGCACATATCCGCAGCATTGTACCATAGTTAACCCTCAGGATTTTAAGAACTCAGTACCAAAATGGCGAGCTCAAGACAGCTGAGAGTAAGACTGCCTTCGTAATGGTCGAAAGCGGCCTTGTCAGACTGGTGTCGCTCCACACAATCTTTGCGAGATCCTTCTTCGGCAGTTTTTTGACGAATTCAGGGCATCCTTTGCGAGCGTTATTAATCCGAAGGGCCCTGTCATTGGGAGCAAACAGAGCTTCGGGTAAAGCCCACATCCTCCAACCCCAGTCTTTAAGCAACTCATCATGCGGACAAGGGCGCTGTCTTCCAGGCTGTGGTTTAATAGCAATGACCACCGAATATGCAGCTCGGATCACATCGATGATGCGAAAGACGTCTTCTAGCTCACGCTTATTCTCGGACGTATACGCTGATCCTACCCAGCAGGCAGGGCATTGGCATCTCTAGCAGCTTCTCGGTTAATAGGATGCAATGTCTTAATATCTTCTGCAGTGTCTGCAAATTGAGTTGAGTTGTATGCCACTGACGCGAATTTCAAGTCGTGATCGATCAAGTTGTGGCGCTCGAGCCACTTCTTGACTTCATAATGGTGGATTCCATTACCGCTACCATCACTGTCGTAGAGAAAGCGAATCAATCGTGGATAGAGGCCGAGCCCCAGCCATATCTCTAGAGCGTCGCGGGCAGCCCCAGTATTTGTATGAAAGGCTACCATATCGGAAAAGGGGAGAAGGACCTCCAGGTTTCAACATCTAGGCATTAAGCAATCAACCCATCCTGATTACAGGAGTCTCTGGAGCTACTTACCATGATCGTGAGTAAGACGCATGGTAATAACCACTTCAACACCAGCATCGCCCAGTTATTTCTGACCATTGTTTTACGTCTATGGAAGCCGTATTCTTAGGCCAGTGTGCCACACGGATAGCATAGGGTACCGTGATGCGTACGAATGCTCAACGCCAGGCCGAATATGCCGCACTGTCATACAGTTCGTCAATGCATTGGACCATCACCCTGCCGAGAAGACAGCCTTGAGCAATGAACCTATCCTCTTCGATGCCGATATAAATTCTTCTGACCGCACCTTAATATCAGCAAGTTTGGCCAGAGGTATAGGCAAGACCGGGCCGCTGGTAGCTATGGAATGACTCCCAACGGAAGATGGTTCTGTGAGAGAAAAGATATCTGTAGCCCTTCTGGTGCATGCAACGACGTTTCTGTTCTATAGTCAGAGGAGCCGATTCGGACTTGAGGGGATCATACAGCAACTGGAACAGGATAATTCGAAGTGTTGAGCTCCTTTTGAGATGCACCAACGACTTGGATGTCAGCTCGATCCTGTTTGGTGCCGAATTCGTTGGACGCCGCTCATGGAAGTCTGTCAACGTGAACCAAGTCCTTCTCTGGTAATCATTGTAGCTGCACCTTGCATGAGGGGTGCACAGCCAAACGCATTTTTTTCTTCGGAAATTGGAGGCGGCAGGGCCAGTGGGATTTGAGAGCTGATTATGTGGTAGGCCTGTGACGGGTCTAGCATTGCTCTTATTCATGGAGAAACGGAATACTCTTGCATTGATAGTTCTTTCATCTTCAGGCGTGCCTGTGTTATGGCGTCATCGGGATATTGGCCTGCTTTGTTCTCACGCGTCAAGTGTGGCTGCGGCCAGGGAAATGGTTGGAAAAATGCATTATTGCAAGCTGGGACGATTCGTCTCGTCCGAAGTTAGTAATATTCAATAACGGTCACTGAGGTGGAGAAAGTAGATGCTCCCTTACGGTTTGGGATCTGCACTGCTGTCGGACATGTGGAATTAGAAGCTGCCTGACTGTCTGGACTATCGGCTGCAGTTATACGAGACCCTTCAGGTAATCATGAGCCGCCATGGCGTCAGTAGCCAGAGGGGGTTTATTGGTAGCAGATACCGGTGAACTGGTCTCGTGTGCCGAAGATCCTGGGTCGAGACTCCGACAGAGGACGTATTAGCTGAGAAGCGTCTTATGAGAAGCAACCCGCTTGCGTGGGTGTACTCTAGCTGGGAATTCTGCACAGCGCTTTTGGACCCTTCTGGAAGGCGACTGCATCCATGTTGTCCGCTTTGATCCTGATATGATTGGTCAGCCGTATTGCACAGTGGAGGTTGGAAAAGCGTTCACCGTCTTCTCAGGACCACTCAAAGCATCATGACAGACGTGACACGAGTTCGAGTTACGAAAGAAGAGAGAGAGAATGACCTGTTAAGCTGTCTGTAATACTTGACTTCATCTATGCCGTCAATGCAGACAGCCGTACCATCTCTCTCTTGGATAAAACGGGGCCATCCTACTCAGGGGCTCATGTTCCTATATCCTTCGCAGCCGAAGGCATTGTGATCTCAATATATCGGTTTCCAAGGGGACTGTTTGCAATGAGGCTGGGCTATTGCGTGGATTGTCGACGCATGGCACCAAGGTCTGATGAGGAGCAAGGATAGATATCGATTGGCCGCCACCCATGTTTCCAGCACTGTTGGGAGACGATTGGTGAACTTCCATGGATAAGGCTGGCCCTACCAAAGGCGCACGAGGACAGCCCTAGGAACAGCCCCGGACTCTGTATAGGATTGTCGACCACGTGTCGCTGAGAATATAATATTGCTGCCGCAGGCAACATTTGCGGAGCTTCTAGAGACCTCTAGATATCCAATGTCTGCTCAAGATTATAAGATGGAATTCTTCAACATCTTTCAATCTGCTCCAGGTCTATATGGCATCTCTGGCGAAGCTTGATATTCGTTCATCAAGTGTAGGAGAATTAAGTCTGCTGCAACCTGGATGCGCGTCTATTCCGGATCCTGCAAGAACTCAAGCCCTTTGATGCCGACTAATGTATGGAACGCGCATGAAATCACGGAAACCAATTGCTTACCGGACTCCGCAGATTTGCACCTTTGGATTATCCTATTTCCTGTGCATTCAAGCCTCTCAGGGCACTATTTCAGCTTTCTTCAATGCCCACTGCTTTTATTTCTGAGGAGTCCAGGGCGTGGCCTACTCCTTTGGGCTTGAAAGGGGTTATGGGGAAGGGTTCAGTGTTGGAAGACCACTCGGCCAATTTCTGGTACGAAGCTGACTTTGATAAGGCTCTTGGTTTCGTTTCTTGCGCAAAGCCATCGAACCCATGTAGAAGTGGATACTTCTTGCGTCGCGACTCTCAACAGATAATCATATTGATCTGTTTTGGAGCTTCGAAAAAGTGGGGGGAAAGACTCGAAAAGCTTCCGCTCACAGGCTGGAAAGATGTCGTCCCGGATCCATTAAGCCTCTTAACCTTGAAAAAGTATGAAGACGTCAGTTGATTCTAACTCGTACAGCAGGTTATTGATTTCGCTTCCACCCCATGAAGTGCAAGGCTTCAAACCAAAGTTCTTGGGTCCACATTACATTGCAGAGAACATCATCCATCTCAAAGACGGGTTCGATGCAGTTCTTCGAACTACCTCGCAGATGGTGAAGCAGCAGTGATAACGGATTTTCCTCGTCGATAGGTGACATGGAGACAAACTCGGCGCTGCGATATCAAGAAAGTTCTTTCGAATCGACCAGCATAAGAGCTGCGACTATGGAGAAGTAAATGACCTCGAAAGGACTACTCATAAGGTCCAGTGGACGAGATGAATATAGAAGGGTAAATAATAGCCAGTCGCTTGTCGGAAAGAATGATCGTTGTTCGAAAGCTGCGGGGAAGTAGAAGTCGAAGCAAAAGTCTTGTCTCCCTGCCGCATTTCCGATTCCGCCTGCTTCACACGATGCTGCCTCTTCATCGTCCCGACGGCCCGCGTAGTTCCCGCCAAGTCAATTAAGTCAGATCTAAGATACCTGGAGTAAAGCTATTCTTCAAAGTGGTGGTCGTGGTGCCAATCTCATCTACGTGATCTCGAATTATCGTCAATGTCGCATGGTATTTTTCATTTCACCATTCTCCAAGTGGTCGCATCTAATGCTCCTTGAGTTATATCGAACTGTGTCGTCTATCATCCCTCTTGTTTCGCTTAATGCCAACCAGTTGGATCATTTCCGTCCAAAAGCCAACGGGAGGTGATAAGAAAGAGGCTTCGTATGCATCAACAATTGGGCGCTCCCAGACGAGGTCTGCCTCGGATGGACGGATAATTCTGGTGCGTTTGATAATCTTCCAACCGAAGTAGAGGATAGGGGCCAATATGACCATGGTGTAGTAGGAGAAGAAGGTCCCGACGTCCCAAGGCGTAAAGCTGGAGTATCCATAGAAGAAGACAACAAGTAACATTCCGGTGAGCCCGATATATCCGCAGTATGGCTGAAACCATCCAGTGTAGGGAAATGTTTTGCGGTCGACACCTTGTGCGATACAGGCACGATAGAAGAATATGTACGTCACGCACATGACGATAAAATCGATAATTCCACCAGCCGTGATTAAGTTGATGAGCCATGTCAAAACCTGAGAAGAGCCATTCGAAACCTGCAGGAACGATAGGAGTGGGAACAACATGACGACACAAAAGGACCAGATAGGGACACCATTTCGAGTACATTTGGTCAAGAGGTGTGGAGCTCTCCCTTCGAGAGCCAGGCCATATAAGCTGCGAGTTGCACAGTAGGTGTAGGTATTTCCAGCCGAAAATATACTGGTGAGCATGAGCGCGTTGGTGACATGGGGCAGAACGCTGACCCCGAGATTGTTCATGGCGATGACATATGGTGAAGCGGCGGCTGTACCGCCGCCCGACTGTTCGCCACTAACAATACCAACAAGGGTGGGATCGTTGTAGGGTACAACGATCCCGACGCAAAGGGCGCCGCAAATAAAGAAAATGCCGAACCGCCAATAGACTGTCTTGAACGCTCTCTTGATGTAGATGCGAGGGCGTTTGGCTTCGGCAGCCACCATGGCGATATATTCTGGACCTACCACCGTGAATGAGGCGGACCAGAGAGCAGCTAGGAATCCTTCGAAACGACCCAGGTCGCCAGTTGTATGATATTCAGCCATTGGCCCAGGGTTATTCCAATACCGAAAGCCGTAGGCATCGTGTTTCGGATTTCCACCGACCATGGTGACAAACGTAAAGGAGAATAGAATCATAATCAAAATGACTTTGCCTCCGGAAAGCCAGAACTCGGCTTCACCGTACGCTCTGACCGCTAGGATATTTAAAAGACTAGATATAACGTTTAGTTGCTGGTCGCCATGGGAAGAGTCGCCTTGGGAAAATCTCACGCATAGAGCACGATGCAAGCAGCGCATACGGCAGCAGTGGGGATATTATCCCGCCAAAAAGACAGAACCAGGTTCAAAGCAGTAATCTCGAAAGGGATCAACAGCGCTTCGTAAAAGAAGAAGTTCCATCCAGCCATGAAGCCGAATGCGTCGTCAACCCATTTTCCGGCCATTCGGATGAATCCACCGCTGACAGGGTGAAAGGTAGACATCTCGGCCATACAGTTGTTGACCAGGCCCAGAAGGCAGCTGTAAATGGTGTACGCAAGAAACAAGCTCAGCGGTCCGCCTCTTACCAAACCACCGCCAATACTGACGAAAAGAGCGGTTCCGATAGAACCTCCGATGGCGATGAGCTGAATTTGGCGGTTGTTGAGGCGACGCTGAAGTTTGTCGGCATTGTCAGAGACTTGTCCTGGTTGGAGATCGGAATATGTATTGTTGCTGTCGTCGAACGCGGCCCCGGCGTCGACATATTTGACTTCTTTGTCGCTCATGATGGGTTGCCTAGGATGATGGTTGATTGTCCGTTTGGGAAAGGGAAAGATGAGAGAAGGATCCCACGGCATCTATTTAACGAGGAGCATATCGCATGCCCAGACTCAGGATCTGACAGCTGCACCACTGACCATGCGACAAGTGCTGAGGAATACCCATCCGGAACTTTGAGAGGAGGCAAAAGGCGACTCGCTTCTCGAGTGATGCCGATCCCTGGCTGGCGAATGAGCAGCGTGATTATAACTGTTCATACCCCGCTCTCATTGCTGGATACCTGAAGACCGGCTCCGCTAGCGAAGGTTACCTTGAGAGAAGACCAAAGGTTTTTCGAGAGTGAGCTCTGTTATTTGTTTTGAGTCGTACCGTAGTTGGAGAAAGGCTCCAGGGGCGAAGTGGACCAGACCTCCACACGATAAATGTAACGCGGAATGGGGCGCGGGATAACTCACAGGTCAATAGGCGCCTTGCACCCAGAGGCACTAAACTCAATCCAGCATCGTGAATTCTATTAACCTTTTTCACAAGGCCGACATCCAGGAATGGTGTCACAAGATCGAAGATCAGCCTTAGCCATTGAGTGAGAAACAAAAGGAAAGGGCAATTTCTTCCTGCAGTAGAGGGAGGGATATGGGACCACAAAAATTGACGTGCATTTGGTTGATTGAGTTGTCGAAATATCTATGGTGCGTATAATGGTTGTTTTTTCACGTCGGCGGTCAAGGCTTTAGGGTGGGAAGACAATTCTTTGATTTTGTGACCAAACAAACCTCCGCCCACGGAATTCCAAAAAGAAGGACACGGATACCACGGACAAAGGCAAACGGTAGATCTTGGCTGATCCATCTGGTTGACCTTGCCGGACTTGCCACGAGAAGGGTTTACGTAACGGCGAATCAAAGTGGTTCTTTTCGGGCGAGGGGGTTGTGCAAACTGCAGAGCAAAAGAAAGCGAAGAAAAGCGATAGATCTGGGCAGCCTCGGCGTGTTGTTACCTTCCCAAGAAGTCCCTGATAAGGAATACATTCGATGATAGGCCTTCGGTGGTGTCAAGACGTTGAGATGTTGAGAAGGGCTGCACCCGCAGTCTCTCTACTCCGAGGTACAGGCTGGTACTCAAATCACATGATTGTGTCACGTGAAACCAGGGTTTTCTGTATCGTATTGATGACTTGATTCCGAACATTGAGGGGACCCTGGATGATATGTTACGCCTAATGGTTGGCGAACCGATGTGCGTTCGTTACCAGAGCTGTCCAGGACTGTCCGAAGCCGTTGGAGAAAAAGGTCATGCACAAGGCATAGAGCGGCAGCCAGAATCCCCTGTCTAGCTAATCTGTGATCAAAATCCAAGCTATTCGAAGTATCTCAGCTCATTCTTAACAGTATCAGATCCCAAGTACAAAGACATATCTATCATGAATTAGCATTTCGTTTCGCAACGATGACCGAAGAATATTACCTGACGGTCAAAATCGAGACCGCGACGTCGGAGTTTTCTCCCACCAAACCAAGGTCTCAGCGGACTGCCGCTATAAGTGAGAAGGCAGGATGGTAGTTGGTGGGGAGAAAACCAGCACAATATTGTTCCCGTCCAGATAATTGAACAGGTAGAGTATCCAAACCATTGGCGTCAGAATCATATCCAATCTCTTTACGAATTTCTTCTCTTTGAGTAGCCTTTTGGGGAGCAAGGGTAGGATCTTGTTCGGTATTAAGGGGATTTTGAACTGTTGGTTTCTCATCAGTGGAGAGAGTCTCTCGATATTCTGACTTCTCTTTTCTGAAGACATGTTAAAATATCTCGTTTAGTATGTTGAGTTAGGGAATGAATAGAACGGTGAGATTGAGAGCTCAATTGATCCGGAGAGTGAAGAATATAGACCATTGGAACATTGTTACACAGCTAGTTCTGTAGCCGTCCTGACTTGCGACCCGCGAATCGCCAGCTAATATGTCCGTATCAGAGGTCTTCCTCGACCATAGGAATCATTCCTGCTCTCCACGGGAACTATCCTGGAGTCAATGTGAGGGATAGGAACATTCTGATGGCCACGTTCGGATCGTCGAAGATGCATTTTTCCTGGGGCAACCTTCAATAGACAGGATAGGAGCCTGGGAGGACAAATTCTGGTCTCTTGACTTCTCCGAACGGGGCTGAACACATCGATATTCACCTGACTTCAATGACCGATGCGGAGGTCGAGGGCGAAGAGGTACGAAAATACTCGACGCTAATAAAAAGGAAGAAAGGTATTCAAGAGGAGGATTTCTGAACACCAGTCATTAAGCTTCCCTTTCCAAACTTACCTTGATCCGATAACAATCGTCAGCCACTATGGTCTACTCCAACGGCCACCTTCAACGGCCACTCAACCGCACAAAATCCCGGCGTCTAGGAAACAGCTACGATAGCTACTGGGGAGAAACCAAGACATAATTGTTGCTCCAGGAGTAGTATATGATGGCTTCAGTGCCGGAATTGCCCTGGAAGTCGGATTTGATTGCATCTATATGATGAGAAAATGCATTCAAGATCTCTTCGCCGGATTTCAGACAGATCATCGAGCGAGGTCGTCGGCATTTCGGCTGAGTTGTTGTCGTCTTGCAAAGAGGATATAGGTTCATGGGAGGAAGCAGCCACTCACTCAGACGAAGGACGGGTAATTGGCGCTTGAGATTGCTAATCTCCCGTTCCAACTCGCCAGATCTCTTACAATGGGTCAGTTATTTTCGTTGTTATCACTGCTCCTCCTCTTGCTCTTACTTCCGTTTTCTCGTCCTCTTGAAGGTATCCTCTACTCGGCAATCCAGGCCCAACTTCGTGCATCGAGCCCAGACGTTCGAGGACGGAGCGACAAGTTTTGTCAGACCACATCGCAGCTGTAAGGCTGGCTTAGCATTGTAGTGATAACGTTGGCATGAGCAAAACTCCACCTTGTGTTGTCTGCAGTTGTTGCAAGCTTGAGCTTTCTGACCATTGCTGCGGCTTTGAGTCTCAAGACTGTTCTGACATTCCAGGACCCCAATTCCGTGGCAATTGACTTATTTGGATTCGAAGAATGGGATCATATCATTCCAGGACAAATGAAAGAGTGTTTATACACATTTTGGCACCCTCATTTCAGGTCATGTCGCGTCTCACTCGTGTCAAAAACGGACAAATCCAAAATCCGGGGTTCACAGGCGAAAAGCGGGAGCTTTACGGGAAGAATCTGGGGAAAGCTTCTGCCCGGTAATTACGGAAAGTGTACCGACAGAGACACCGCTGCAAGGCTGAGGATCCTTTCTAACGCACAGGGGTATACTCTCCACTGGTATGGGTATTTAAGTCTTCAGATCTCTCAACTAACTAATCTCGATTTCTACAGTGTGCACATGATTTCTCCGCCCGATCAATGGCTGAGAGACCCCAGTCACGTCGGTTGCTTTTGCCACTAGCCTGTACTTGCCGGGTTGCTGAATTAGCACCTTCGATCGAAACAGCTGCCACTCAAATTCATGTCGTGGTAATACACTGGTAGCCTCGGCTGGAAGCCAAGTGTCACCTCCGTCGACACTGATAACAACTTGGGTGATTTCCTCACATCCCCAGGCTCTTCCCCAGATTTCAATCACTGGTCCTGGCAAGACTTCATTCGGCCTTGGTCTGACGATCATAGAATTTGGCTCGACCATCCAGACAGGCCTTGTTGTCTGTCCAATGGGATCTGTTGGATCAATCTCATTATAGAATTTAGTGGTGAAAGGACCAACTGCCCGGTGATCCTGTAATGTGAGCCGACATATCCACTTCGTCGAGTTTGTCCCGAACCAGCCAGGAACGACCAGCCTCACCGGTCCCCCTCGATTCTTGCTCAACGGCTCACCATTCATTTCATATGCAATCAACACTTCGGGACTAAATGCTTTCTCTATGATGAGATCTTTCTCATAATGATCGGCCGACACGCCAGCAAACGATCCCGATTCCAATCCTCGTGACCAGACGTGGGTGACTTCGGCCTTTGGTTTGGCCACCCTGAGTAAATCTGCCAGACGGACTCCGGTCCACCTGACATTCCCAATTCTCCACAGAGCGTGAACCGGAGGTGCAATAGGGCTTCCATAACATTCATGGAAAGAAGTTATGGTGGCCTGGGGCATGCTTTTCAGCTGGGTCAAAGACACTGTGAACGCTCTTTCCACCAATCCGTCTACGAGAAGGCACCAGTTGTCCTCATCCACAACGGCAGCTCCCATGTGGATGGTTAGGAAAAGCTGCGAATCCTTTGTAAGCTCAGTGTCCAGTTCGTGCGGTTTTGGCGGATGACGGATGAGACCGCCGGCTGGATCAATGCCTTTGAGTGCATTTCGCAGAGAGCCATCACTTAAGCTGGTAGCATCTGTGACGAAGCTGACATGACTCGAAAAAGTCTCATCAACGTCAGCAGTCATCTTTCCTAGTGACAATTTCTTTCGAGAGCGCAAATAGTGAATTCCTGTGGACAGTTATCGCCGGAGACAACAGCCTCGACAGCAAATCTCTTTGCGGAAAGGACCCTCATTCATCAAGTTCCACTGATTCTAGAGTTCACTGGATTCGCTGGCAACCTAGTGGAAGTCGAATTTTTTCCTTCGACGACGGAACGACGCGGAGCCACATAAAGAAATGATGAAATCGGGGAAGCTAGCCTTGGCATTCCATCGGCGCGGGAAACTCATACCGCTATCAAGTATCTTTTGTCTATGTCAAGGACCAAAGGCTAATAGGTTCCCACGTTATTTAATCAGGGTCCTAAAGTCAAAACAACGCACATACTACCTGATGCCATTGTTATGTAAAATTATGGGATCGCCGAAGTCATGACCAGACCTAAACTGTCGCTCTACTATGACCTGCACAGTCCATACGCATACCTCGCCTTCTATGCGATCAAGGTTTAGGCCGACAAGTCCCGAGACGATGGAGAAGACAGTCGCTGACGATGAGACTTCAAGAATTCATCCACCTTCAAGTCCTGCGACGTTACGTACATTCCTGTCCTCCTCGTGGCATACATCAAAGCCATCGGCTTGCAACCACCTTGGAGTTCTCCAAGTATTTCACCGACCCTACGATCAAGAGACACAACATTACTGACATCGATGTCTAGACAAAATCAACTGGATGGTGACTGACATCACCCGCTCCGCTCGTGAATTTAACATCCCCTGGACCCAAGGATGGCCTATGAATTATCCCGCCATGGCGACGACCGTGAAGGTACCTCATCCAAACGGCAATGTTTCTCCTTGTCGGCTAATGCAAAGAGCCGTAGGTCCAAAGAGTTCTCGTAGCCTGCTCGCATGAATGTCCCGAGCGCTACCCTGATGTTATCGGCGCTCTCTTTCACGCTTTCTGGGTTGAGAAAAAAGGCGTCCAGCTCCCCGAGATTTATGAGCCGATTATCACAGATATATTGGGAAAAGAAATCTCTTCCAGAATTGTCGAACAGGCATGAGCCCACCCCCTTCCCCCCTCCCTTTTTCTTCTTAGCCATAACTTGTCCGAGAGTCTGATAATCTCCTTTCAATGACACTAATCAAACCCCGACAGAGTTCTTCCGACGAGATCAAGAGCCGATTGAGACAGAACACAGAAGAAGCTATTGCGACAGGATCACCTGGACTCCCGTGGATCAAAGCGGTGAACGCACAGGGTCAAGAAGAATTTTACTGGGGATTCGATCATTTGGGTCAAGTGGCAAGATTTTTGGGATTGGCACAGGGGAGCAGTCCGCATTTGTGAATGTGTTCCAGTCTCCGATTATCCTGATTGCAGATGATTTTTCCACCGTTGCTGAATGATCAGTCGTGCAGGGTTCTATAATTTTCTGGAACAATCGATTTTGCCTCTAGGCCGTCGTCATTTGCTACCAAAGCACTAACATACAACCTGATCGAATGTAAATGTCCGCTCAGCCGGCCCTTGCTCCTTTCCACGACCACAGACCGTCTACAGCTTCGAAGTAGTTCCCTCGCAGCCAAATCCTGCAACTTTCTTCTCAGAATCTTGCCTGACCATTCAAAATTCGTTAGCCATCCTCTTGTACTCCGGTTATCGAAACATACAGGATTTTTCGGAATCGAGACCACAAAGATGACTCCGCCCGTGAGTCGTTTGATCTTAGGGACGCGCATGTCGGCAATTTCTGCAAATTTGGCTTTGGTCATCCGTAAACCCGGCGCGAGTTCGACGTGTGTCCACGGATCGCTCTTGTCACACTGTACAACGGAACCCAATCAGTTAGTAACTTCACGACCCAAGCTAGAGGCGGAGGGACAGGGAAACGTACGCTTTAATTCCAATCATTGCTGCGTCAACAATCTGCGGGTGTTCGAGAAGAAAACCCTCGAGCCCTGCGGGCGTCACTTGAGCATTGCGGATCTTGATTAGCTCCTAAATGCAAGTTCAGCTCAGGCCTTATACTTCAATATCAGTCGAATAGAACAAGGCGCCCGCCTTCTCTCGATCCACGATATACCATTGCCCTTTATTGTCTCCGTACGTGGTACCGCCTATCTTCAACCAGCCCCCGGACGTGATCATCTCAGCCATCGCTTGCGGGATTGCGCCAAAAAGCCTTCAGGACATTCGGTGCTAGATCTAGAACTCACCTCATTCAAAAGTCGGGTTTCCCTCTCGCTGTCTTCCTTGATAAGCTTTTCTCCGCCGTCGGGGACTAGCTCGCCGATGGAAATCGAAGATGGACCCGAGCTCTCGCGCGGGGCCCCTGGCTACAAAGTTAGTAAAAATAGATTTGATATCGGATGGGAAGTGGGTAGCATACTTCTGACATCCCCCATCCCAGTTGGACTTTTTATCCTGCCGTTCCACAACTCCTCGAATTGCTGCGTGGCTTCCACACCTAATAGCGCCGTTCCAGACAACACTCTTCGTACACTGCTAGTATCAAAGTCCCGATCTCGAACCGAAGGGTGCTTAGCCATCGCGACCCAATCGGCAGAACACGCAGTAACTCCGTAATCTTGTACATCTGAATATATACTCCCACTTATCCGGCAAATTGTACTGCTCCATCCCGCATGTTTGCATGCCCCGCTTCTGGGCTGTGAATGTGTAGCAATACAAACCCAGAACATGATACATAGGGACGACGCGAAGAATTCGTTGGACAGTGACCCTGGGATCGGATAGACGGACTCTGTTTGAGCTGAAGTATTGGGGACCACGTTGCAATGCGTTAATTCGACACTTTTCGGTAGACCTGTCATTCCAGACGAGTGGATGAGAACCGCCCCACGGTTGCAGAGGTTTCTGAAGTCGAGATTCTCCCAGCCGAATTTCGAGCAATCTTGGGAGACGCAAGGAGAGTGCTCCAATGTTGAAACTTTGACCGCAGCTCCATAGGTTATTTTATCGAGGCGTGGTCGCTGAATGGTAGGTCGGTGAACTGATAGACTCAATTTCTGTCCAATCCGACAGGATCTGCTTCTTCAAGTGCGCGATCAAGATATTTTTTCGCAGTAAAGACGAAATGGGGCTCAGAGTCCTTCAAAGGATGAGAGAGTTTTCGAGGCGTATGTGCCAGGATCGGCTCGGAGACTTCAACCTCGCTGAACAAGGATTGTCGTCAGTACTGACGACAAAGCAAAATCTCACCGTTTATTTCGGTCCACACCCTCCGGAGGCCGAATTCAACGAAGAGGAATGATGCGACAACAAGTAGGGAGAATGGAAGTTACGGGCGTTGGTGAACAGAAAATCGCATTCTGTCACGTGAGAGGAACTTGTCACGTGATATTAGCGTCCACGTTGGTACGGTGGAGTATAAGTGCAGAGAGTGGCAATATTAGAATGTTACGAAGCAAATTTCTTGAGTATTGGCTTCAAAGCTTCGCAGCCTTGCTCAACCCCAGCTCCCTCTTTGCCCGATCTCTAAGCTCTCTTCTCAAATATTTTCCAATTGCATTCTTCGGCAACTCATCCACGAACACGACTCCTCCTCGTAATTGCTTGTGCGGCGCTAGACGCTGCTTAACGAACTCTTGGATTTCATCCTCACTCACTTGAGATGGATCGGCAACGACATATGCTCTTGGAAGATCGGTGCTGGGATCATTGGGCATGTTGACACCAACCACCGCCGCCTCTTGGACCTTGGGGTGCGTGAACAGCAGGTTCTCGATCTCAGCTGGAGCAATTTGGAGGCCTTTATATTTGAGGAGTTCCTAAAAGCCACATCAGATTCGTGACGGCCGAATAATGGGGAAGACATACCTTCTTCCGATCCACGATGTAGAATTTGCCATCCCGTATGACTCCAATATCACCAGTGCAAAACCATCCATCGTGGAATGCTTCTTTTGTCGCTTGAGGATTATTGAAGTATCCTTGGGTGACAAGAGGGCCTCGCACTAACATTTCGCCTTCCTGTCCCGGTTCAACATCAATGTAATCATCGTCGACCATTCTGTTCCCGTGAGTAATCTGGGTCAACATGCTGGAGGATCGTGTCCTAACCTGATCTCTACGTTTGGCAATATGGGGCTGATACTTCCAGTGACATCAGTCTGCCCTTTCGGCATCATTGTGACTGCTCCTGTCGTCTCACTCAATCCCCAGGTCTGACCGATGTACGTCTCTCCACTGCCAAGTTTGGAGTTTGCCGCCGTCTGGAGGTCTCGATCCATAGGAGCAGCACCAGTAGACGCAGCTTCCACCGACTTGAAATGGTCTCGAACGTCTGGAGACTTGGATATTCGAAGGTAAATCGAAGGAACGGTGTAAAAGGTCGTAATTTCAAACTCTTTCACATATTTCAACAGCTTCGACCACTCATATTTCGGCATCCATACCACGAGACCACCAGAGTAAAATGGCAGAACGATATATCCAAACAGGCCTGCAATATGACTGATGGGCAAATGTGCCAAGGTCCGGTAAGGCTTGAGTTCTTTGCCGGCTTCAATCTGCTTTGCAGCCCACTCCCGGCCAGACGCCGATATCACAAAACATTCTTGGACCAGGTTCTCATGTGAGAGCATAACGCCTGCATTTTATAAGTGGAGTGGCTTTCCTTTTGACAAGCCCACGTACCTTTAGGAAGACCCGTGGTGCCAGACGACCACAAAATTACAATGAGACTCTTGGTCAAAGCCGTTGGGTCGGTGATTCGCTGCCAACTAAGCTTCTGACTAGATATAGCATTTACCTTGCCGTCGAGGCTCGTCAAACTCCATGAGGGACTGGACGCTAAGACCAAAATTCTTTCTAGTGGTACACCACATTGACGTGCGGCTTGAGTCACCAGATCTTGGTACTCTGAACTACATATAATCAACCGACTGGTGCCAATCGTGATTTGCCGAGCTAGTTCTGCGACGGTTGAAGAAGGACTGGCGGCTGAATAAACTCCACCGGCAGCAATGATACCGTAGAAGGCAGCGGGAACCATTGGTTGACCATGACTGATGACTGTCACCACATCTTTGTTTGGGCCATTCGTGCCGATGTGGTAGTGGTAGTGCAAGCCATGAGCAATTCGTTGAACTAAGTCTCGAAGATCTTTCTTTGTGATTTTATTTGATGGATTGGCTGCTTCTAGATGCAACACCGTGTCATCTTGGGCGACACCATGCTCGGAGTCTCGATTAATTGTCAGTATGCGTCCACCCTTTCCGCTTATGGTATTTTACCGAACAGCAAAGATAGCAAGTCCAACTTGGGGACGTCGATGAATGGCCGGGGGTTCGTGCTGGTGTATATTCTAGGCATTGTGCCCACAGAAATCTAAAATTCGGGGGAAAAGGCTCCTCTAAGAAATGTAAATGTGAATGCAGATGCTCTTGTCCAGACGGATTCCCATGGGTTGACTCACAGTTTTTTATGGTTACCCCATCTCTCCCTTTGTCAAATGCATGGTCAACTGCGAGGCCCCATATTCGCATGAGCCGAAGTGTGGGGTTAGTCAAAGTGCCGAGGTCTTCCGGCCAATCAGTATTACGGCGTATACTTGAGGAAACTTGCCTGTAACAGACTTTCTCAAGGAAGATGCTCGCTGGCCCTGCTCCTACAGACTGATGTTTCCCTACAGTCTGCATGAAAAGGGGCATGATAGAGGGAACATGGTCGATGGTCGATGGGGTGGCAGGGGGCCTCAAGCCTCGTCACGACCCCACAGATTTCCCGTGACGTCAAGGTCCGCCTGTTGTTACTGTACCTCGCGTGCCAGGTTTCCTCTTCTGTCACCAGCTTGTCTCACTTTTCTCGAATGACTTACTGATATCCTCTTGCGCAAGACCCAATCTTTGCTTGCTACAATACTATCAAATCATGAACCGTCGCGATAGAAAAATAGCGCGCTCCATCGTCTTCGCAATCCTCAGGGATGACAAAGCTGACAAGCGATTTCGACTCTGGCGGCCAGTTCGGATTTTCTTTGCGATATACGGACTCCTCCTTGCCAAGTACCGACCGGACCTGTTCCAGAAACTGCGTACACCGATATGGAAAGTCTCAGATGATGAATATAAGTCTAGCTTTCAGGAGGGTGATGCCTTGTCTACGAGAGGAAATATGGGATATTCCGGCTCGGTGAGGTTACCTCAAATTTATCTGCACACAAGACTACTAATCTGTTTAATTCGAGACCTTCTTCATTACCAAAGATAACAAGTACTTGATCAAGTCCATCCCCCGTCAATTCGAGCACACATTCTTCCGCGATGACTTGCTCGATCCCTATGTCTCACATATGGAATCTCACCCAAATTCCTTCCTGGTGCGCATCACCGACTTCTTGATCTGGCAATACAAGAGTCTCGGAGGCCTCTTCGGCTTAGCACCCACCTATCACCTGGTCATGGAGAATCTCCTGCACGGCCAACAAGAGGACTCGGACTGGCAGACCTTCGACTTGAAACCAATGTCATATTTCTACCCCGAACGCGACGTTGCAGGGGGCAAACTAGCTTCACAAGCCACCAAATCTAAACTTGCCGACAAATTCGACGACAAATTGGTCCTGAGCCGCGCTCAGGCTGACGAATTCTTCCGCAATCTCGAACAAGACACTGAGCTCCTTGCGAAGCACAATGCTGTCGACTACAGCCTGATGATTGTACGGACACCTAAGACCGCATCCATTGACAAAAATCCGTTCAAAGATCCCACAACGGCGGACTGGCGCAACGGTGTCCCCTCGCAAGACAACAAGTGGTTGTTCAGGGCCGTCATTCTCGATTTCTTCTGGGCCAAGCATAAGGCCCACGCCAAAGCAATGACGTGCCTTATCAACACGTGGAATCTCATTGATCGCCAAGGACCAATGAGCATTACTACCCAGTCGCCCGAGTACCGGAGTCGGTTTTTGAATATGTGCAGGGAAATTGTTGAGGTGATGGAATAAGGGTTTGGATCGAACTATTGAGCGTTAGATCAATATGATATCCCTCTGTTTTCATTGGTTTTAACCGTATCACGAAGTCTCCTACGACAAAGAGCACCATTGCTCGACTTTTCCCGTGGAAGACGCCTTCTCGGGTTAAATTTTCTTATCTTATTTCGGGCTCTCGAGTGAGACCTTGTAGGTGGAAATCATTGGCGGGGACCAATATATCTGGACGAGAATGCATCTTTGTCCGGACCAATGGTAACTATATGTTGGAGACAACCTTCTGGCTCGTAATTGAGTAGCCCAACAATCTCTAATCAAATTCGGGACGCTCACTTCCTTCGGACAAGTTGCATCACAGATTTGACTTTGGCAAGCCATTGATCATGTCGTGCGTGATCATCAATATTTACGGATTGGCTGTCGAAGATAAAACAGAACGAGGTTCGATCATCATTTCCTCCTTGTGTAGGCCCTACCATCGAAAATGAAAAGGAAAGAGTGGTTAGAAACATCGTCTTCTCACCAATTAATTTTTTGAAATGAATATTGGGGAACCTCAGTCCAGGATGATCTTCTTCAGCCCAAAGGCCGGGAACTGGGATTGTTGTCTTACGAACGCTTTTATCTGCGTCCAGATATGTCAAAGGAATTGAATTGGTGAAGCTGCGAATGCTTCTCGGCGACACAGCTGAGATTCAGTTCCAAAAGCACGCATATGGCATAAGGGTAGCGATGTCGTGAGTGCATTTCAATGACACTTGTTGTTGCCCTCTTTGAAAATATGTCCTGTTCTAGAAAGATATGAATACCGAACACTTTCATACAAAAGCTCATGAGGCGAGGAGCAAAGTGCGTTTTCTGGTAGCGACGAATTTCACAGAGAGCGACGCTACAAGGCTTGTGGTGACAAGGCTTCTTGACACCTATAGTGCTGGCAAGCGGTCTTGGAGGCGTTACAGTCTGCGAAGAACCACAAAATACAAACTTGGTAGTGGAAAATTTTGCATCTCAGTTGTTGAAGGAGCAAGGGAAGCACGCGGTCAAGGTTCACTGAGGAGAGAAGGGAGACACAAGGCTGGCCGCGTAAAGGGGTTGTGGCTACTTTAACCAAATAAAAATGCTAACCGAATACGGCATGATAAATTGCCGCCGCTTTCCAAACCCCGCATCTACAATTTGATGGCTTCGGGCAGTACTTAGCTTCATGTATCATTGGCAACTCTGTCCAAATGTAGCAAATTCCGTGCTCCAACCGTGGTATGACATCGGTCAGATGTTGAACCCAACTTTGTCGTCGCTGGTGACATCGCTCCCTATCACTAACGTACTGAGCGTCTATTACTCTCAGACTCCTTGTTGCAGCATTGAGCCTCGTCCTTCTCTTCTCCCATTCCTCGGACACCATTTCTAGTCGCTCGACAACTTTGCCTAGCTCTCAACCCTCTCCATTCGACCCATCTCAGACGATATGGAGTCGAATCTGACAAGCACGCGCATAGATCCGCCCGCTGGGCCGCGGGCAAAATCAAAGACGTCTACCAAGAAAGAGGATGTGATTGAGTCCTGGGAAGATGATGATCTCTTGTCGCCTGTCGACAGTGCTTCGGGCACTCAAACACCTACTGAGGCAGCTGACACCGCTCTGAAACCTGTCGAGTCATTGGATCCTGTCCTAAACCCTCCCCCTCCAACCCCGATTTCTCCCAACGACGGTGATCAATATATCGACTGGTCTCCTGCTCAAGTTCTCGGAGGCGGCCGCCCAAAGCCTTACAGTCCTCCCACTCCCTCAACGTCTATATCAGATTCTGATCGAGAGCGACGCAGACCAGAGAAAACCACTGTTGCTGCAGGCCGAATGATTGCTGCTGGGTTAGGCATGAAGACAACCAAAAGGACCGAAGAACAAAAGCAATATGATCGAGCAATCAGAGAGCAAGAGATCCGACGGAAGAAAAAAGAAAAGGAAGAAAAGGAACGTGAAAGAGAAGCAGACGAAAAAGCTAAGGCCGCAATCTGGGATAGTTGACAGTCGATTCATTGCCGAGGTCGTCCTGGGGGGCAGTCTCTTGATTCCCATTTTCACTGCTGGAGCCATTCTTGCAATTTTGACCTTTATGGTTGTGAAGTTCGTCAACAAGTGGCACCCTTCTGGGAAGTCGGGCACTATATATCTGACCAGAGTTGTGGAGCCGGCGAGTCTGTGGCCAAGTGCCGGCATAACCGGATATTCTCACCGTGAAGGCTTCCTGGACAGGGCTCTTTGATGTCAGTATCCTGATGGAATCCGGCCCGTTTTAACGACAGTTTGCTCATCCGAACCTCTTTCGAACTTTTGGGCACCGCGCTGTCTCAATTCCTGAAGCTGGAAATCTGTATATACCCAATAATCCTAATCAATAGTCCTATACATGGTTTCTAGGAAAAGTTGAATATGCTTCTTTGAAGAGGCTCGTAAGAGTGTGGTGTGTCATAGATGTGGAGTTCTATTGCTATGTGCGTGCTAATGTTAGGCCAAATCTGGCCGGATGATGCAATGCAGCAATTGAGAATACTTAAAGGTACATAAATTGCCAAGGTACACTGACTCCTCGATCAAATTTGGAATTAAATCCCCATCTTTGACGATTTGACCTCGTTCTGATCTGGTCCTATGCATGCGGACTGCCAATCCAATTGATAAACGAAATCTACCATGGTCTGGTCTGCTCTTAAATGCACATATATTTCTGTACATATAGCTGCTGACAGATCCAGGGCCGTCTCCCAGACGATTTGAAGACCGACCCGCCGTGTCATCCTAGAGCTGTAAATATCTTCCCGTTCCAACTTCCCATCCCCGCTTACATCTTTTCCCATCTAGTGTGCCATTCAAGGTGAGCAAGTACCAGGAGTGTGGCGGAATAATCCATAACCAATCTCCTTCCGCAGACTGTTTGCAGAAGAACAATTACAAGGAAGAAAAATGTAAATCAGCAATAGATGCTCTATATGAATGCTGTAACGCATTCTACAAGGAGAGAGGAGATGATGCCAGCACAGTGTCTTGTCCCAAACCCAAATTGCTGAGGTTGAAAATGGAGCAGCGAGGACAAATGTGATGGGAATGTTCATGTGGATGGAAGTCATGATCCCCCCCCAAGACAGCCGTGATGGGTATATTTTCAACGGATCATAATCGGCGGCACTACTTTGCAAAACATCGAGTTCGGTGTATGTAGCAAATCGTATTTTTCTACCTGAACCATCGTCCCTTTTTGGCGAGGTCTGGTCAGCTGAACAGCGAATGCAAATATGCTCTGAGGCAATCGTGAGCACGCAAGAGATCCAGCCGGATCCGAACAAACATTGAAGAAAGGGGTCTGTTCCGAGACTCTAATGACTACCTGTATGACATTGATGGAGAAGAGAAAGAGAAAGGAAGAATGTGGAGTGAACGATTGGATCGCCATTTTTTGTTCTGCCCTCCCACCAATTTGGGGATAGCGTCTTAAATCGTGAACTTCTTTTCACGTCGCGTTTTTGAGAATACCTCACAAAAGCTGACAATCCACCGAAGCGTCTTTACTCGATCACCAGCGCCATAGCGAGACCTTCCATCTCTCCTGGTGCTCCTTGCGAATGGCTCCCATTACACGGTCCTCGGTCCAAGGACGACCTTTGGACGTGTCTCAAGTAAGGTCCATCTCGAGCATTCTAGCTGCCACAACGATTTCCTGACCTTTCTCTACCTTGAAATAGGTCGATGAGCAGAGCCACATGGTGTCCCAACTGCCCAGCAACGAGGCCGACGACCAGGAAATGGCCGATGACTACGACGAGGACTCTGTGCAGGAAGGTGCGGCACCCATCACCCCAAATTTCTTCACCCGCGCAACAAACTCTCCCAACTCCCCCAACTGCATTGTGCCATCAGAATAGAAAATGCTGATCAATACAACAGATCCACAGTCCCCCTATCAATCTACCGCTCAAGAGATACTCCAACCTCTACAAGACACCGCCGATCGTGTAAGCAGACAAGTCGAAGACTTCGCCAAAGCCTTGGACAAGTTCGTCCTCGATCGAGAACCTACCGACCAAACGTTGTGGGATGATGCATTCATATTGTTGGAGCGTTATAGCAATATTGCGGAGACCCGGAGGTCAAAAACACCTGCAGATGAAGCCGACGCACAGATTCAGAAGATCCAACTCGAGGCCCACCTCTGGATTCTAGTTCGGAATCTTCTGTCCTGCAATTCTCCAGAAGCTGCAAACAACGTGCAGATTGCCCAGGAATCGAGATTAGGTGGGCTTCACCGATACTCGGGCAACGTCGAATTGTGGACTGCTTTTCTCGATTCCGATGCTGTCGCTCAGGAGTACGAGTGCATACTGGGGTGGTTGCAGGAAAGAGCCGCGGACACTTCTCGGCCCATTGAAGACATCTTGCGCAAGTTGATTGAAAAGTCGGAACGCGGCGATGGGGTATGGAGTGCTGGACCCATCTACACTCAAACTGCCATCAAGCAACAAAAGCGAACACGGGTCTGGTCCATGCCCCTGGAGCCGTCGAACCCTGGGCTCAACCGTTCCCATGTACGAAAGACAGATCATGCACCACTTGTGGCACAATTGGATCCCGATGCTCGCTCTCGCGAGTCCGCTGTGCTTCAAGAACAGGATGAGTATCATGAACAGGCCGCTTGGCAGACATGTTGGGAAATGCTACGCCGTGGACAGACAGCCGCCCAAATCCGGTCCTGGTGGGCCGAACGGAAAGAAGTTTGGCGATATTCAGTCCTACAAAGCTGCATTCACAACAAAGGCGAGATGGCAGACTCGCCCTGGTTCCGCATACTTAGCCTTTCGTCCAATTCAGAGTGGTTTGGACGCTGCGAGATGCTTGCACAGAACCCTGCCATTCTTGATCGGTATCAAAAAGCTGTCTACGGCATTCTTTGCGGCGATACAGAAGCTTCTAAATCAATAAGCAAGACGGTCGACGATCATCTGTTCTGTATCTTCAACGCTCTTTTGATCAAGAGATATCAAAGCTACCTTCAGGCTTACAACAACAAATTGACCAGTCCCAATGTCATTGCATTTCGACCTCAGCCACCTTCGACCATCCAGATTCGACATTATTCCAGTATAGCTCAGTCGGACCCCCGAACAAAGGACGAGACTCATCTGCCTCACCGATTCATGGAGATGGCAATTGTATCCAAGGACTTTGATGCATTTTTTGTCGATATGGGCCAGGCTGCGGCCCATGTGGCGCATACGACTGGTCAGGGTTCTCACATTATCGGAGCCGACCAAATTCAGGGCAATGAAATTGCAAAGGTAAACGCTCAAGACCAAGATTCCGTACGAATGGTGGCACACCTCCAGCTTGTGTTACGTTCTCTGGGATTGCTAGAGTCGTCGTACGCAGACCACGAGTACGAGATGGAGAACAACATCGCCAACTACATCAGTTGGTTAGAAAGCCACGGCAAATTCTCTTTGATACCTCTCTATGCTGCGAAACTGTCCGAAGAAAGATGTCAACATGTTCTGGGCGCAATTCTGATCAACGTCACGGATGCTCGCGAGCGGGACCTGCAAGTCAAACTCATGAAACAGTACAACATCAATGTTCCTGCAGTTGCATATGGCATCTTTTCCTTGGCCAATTTCAATGACATTCAAAGACTTCGAAATAGTACCAAACCACCGACTCCACCAAGAATCACTGTTTCGGTCGGGATAGGCAAGGTTGCTCAATTAAAAGTCCGACCGAACTTGATGACTGGGGAAATTTCTGAGGCTGATGAAAAGGCAATTCGAAGCGTGGAATGGTGTCGATACGTCGATGCCGAGAACTGGGGGAGTGCTGCTTGGGCCGTGACAGTCCTGTATAAGGTGTTTTTGTGCGATGGGAGATTTGTGGCATTACGTCAACTTCTTGAACGAGTCAGTCTATCGGAAACCTCTCTTGCTGCCGTCGGCATGAATCTCAATTTTGCGGATGGGGAACCAACTGTGGAAAATGGTGGAGCCGGGAATGAAGAGCAAGATGACGAAGATCGAATTCACCCCATTAGTCCGAGCCGCAAACGAAAGGACCCAATACTAGACCATCCTTTAACAAGAACGGGTACGGACCGTGAAACATTGGCGTTCAAGTCATTGATTTGGAGGCAATTGGAACAACTTGTGGCTGCCATTGACAGCTTAGATGCTTTCCAATACACGGCTGATAATCTTGAGGCGTAAGTTTTTTTTTTTTTTTCCCGGGCGAGGTTTCGAGTCGAAACTTACTGGAATGAAATAGGAACCGATCCAATCCGTCACTTCTACGAGCAAACAAACGTGACTTGAAGAAGAATCTCGATGATGTTCGACAAGCAATGCAACCTCTATTTGACACCGAGTTTCTATGTCAACCTCAGGATGATATGGAAAGCATTTTATTGAGAGAACTCCGCAATCATTACATTCCCGAATGCACCCTCGCTTATAATAGTGCGCTGTGGTTTGCAGGACACTACCTTTCCCGGGCTTGGTTGGTTGAATGCATGCAACTCGCACAATTGGTTGCTCAAATTCCAATGCTGACAAATGCATTTATTGAAGGTGGTAGAATGAAAGAACTGGTCAGAGCCTTTGCCGTTGACAGTCAAGCGCTCTTGCAGGCGACTGAGCAAACTGGTTCCAAGGCAAAGAAATTGAAAGCTGATCAGGGCAATGGTGACATTTGGAAAGTCAGTTGGAAAGAGCAAAGCTCTCTTGATCTGGAGGCTGTGGATTGAACTAGCAGACGACAATGAGTCAACTTTTGTTTCTCCAAGAATCAGCGAAGCAGACAAACCCACAGAGTGTATGGCAAACCCGACTATTTTCATCCACGAAATCTTCTCCTAAACATATCCTTTTCATTTTAATTCCTTCAGCTCCTCCTCCATCACGACATGATCCTTGCTGGATGCGGCTTCAATGTGGCCGCCCACTTCCTCGGTACGTGTCATTCTAATATTGATCTTGATTCTTAGGTACGCAGGTGATGGATGGCTGAGACGCGGAGATGGTGGGTATGTTAAGTGTGGAGGACGGAGGATGGGGGATATGGGCAGTAACTCGTTGAGAGATCCGTTTTGGCTATGAGATGCTCGTCATTAGAGGAATGGGAGGGAGACTAGGAATGAAAAGGGACTCGTGAACGTACCTATGTACACGCGTGAGTACCCAGTGTGGAGGAGGGGTTGGGGGGTTTATGTAACGCTCATGAGACTAGAGAGGACAGGAGGAAGAGTTCTTTCTTTGCTAAAAAGGACAAACACGACTGTCAGTCTATACCTGCATGGCCGGAACACGTTGGAGGGAATATGTTGAAATTTTGACGGTAAACGAGGCTGTACAAGAAGGGGGTGAAACGAGTTCCTCCTTTTGCTCCAGTTCCCTCCTTATTTTTCGATTTCTATGCACTTAAAGGATTGAAAGCCTCCGTAGGTCTGCCTCGATCCATCAGCTGTAATGAGCTCTGCTCACTGCTCTCTTTCGGGATGGGTTCCTCCTTGACTTTCCACTCTTCCAGACGTGGTATTGGTCATGATCACCCATTCACCTTGAGCCCGAACTGCTGATCAACTGGTTAGCGAGATTCAAAGGGCTTGACATTTCTATTCCGCGCGCGTTCTACTTGAGCCGTCGATGGTTGCCTTGCCTGCTTTCCATGGACGGCTTCCATCGTGAACATCGGTTTAATTTGAATTTCCTGGCCTCGCCAAAGGTGCGTGAGAGCCGATGGAATGGGGGGACATAGCACATTCATTCGTTCGGTCAGATCCCTCAGCCTTTACAATTAGTTAGGTCTCGATCGAAGTTGGAACTCTTTGTTGAATCCGCCTGAGAAGTGCGATGAACGGGCTTCAAGCCATTATCCCAACGTATGCTATGCATTTAATCTCCTGATTTGACCGTCGCATCGTCAAGAGCCGAAAGGGCAAGTAGGTGATAAGAAGCATTGTCAATTAGAGGCATCTCCAAGAAGTGCGATGCGGGAGTAGTTCTGTTTGAAAAGAACGCCGAATGCCTCGCCGACCCATGGGATTGATCCGTGGAGACCAGGAAGAGAATGGCCATGTCCAATGCAAAGGGGCAATCCCTAACGGAGTAGTTTGCAACCCCGTACGGAAGAACTTATCGCCAGCTCCGTAGTAATCAGACAATCAGACGTAAGGCGTACTGTCAGCTAGTGGAGCGGCATTTTCCGGAGAAGCAGGAAAAAGAGAGGGAAGTGTTAGTAATGGCACATTCTCCAGCCTATCAAAGCTCACAGCGATCACCATAATGGTGACATGTACTGGCCTTTGAGGGGATTTCAGCCTTGACATTGACAAGAGTCTTTGCTCCCTAAATGGCTTGAGGGAACGTAATGTGATCATGATACAATCAAAGAAGGGGGGTGGCATGGAGTAATATATCAATGTATATATTAAAGTGTCAGCAGACATCTTTGGTGGTCTCCAGCCAGGTCCCTCAAAGAGAATTGATTCACTATATTGAATTATTACTACCCATAGCACACAAGGCGGTCTATCTCCATAACCAACTAACCTATATTAGAACAGAACGCGTAATCTGAACAATTTCAATTTCACTCGAATTCGACCCAGTAAGCCCGCCCCAGTTGCATCATCCATCTGCTTCGCCGATGCTCCGTACCATGGCCAACACAGCCAAATCGTACGGGTTCACGGCCCTACCGGCTGATCAATCACTGCAAAACCCAAAAACAACCAGCCCAGGCCCTATGGACACCTCCTCTCTTCAGCCACCGCGTACACCCCTTGCCACGCGTGTTGCCGCGTATGCCAAAGCTAAATTGGACGTCGACACCTACCGTCACAGCCTGCGCGTGTATAGCTACGGCTGTGCCATTGCCCGTCAATGTTTTCCGGAATATGAACTCGCTCCAGGCTCGGATCTCGAGGAGACGTGGTTCTTGACTGCTATGCTGCATGATATCGGGACCAGCACCGAATTCTTGACAAGTACCCAACTGAGCTTTGAATTCTGGGGCGCGTATCATGCTTTGCAGCTTTTGCAAGACCCAACGATGACTGGAGGAGAGGGTGTCGCGCCACGCGAGCAGGCCGAGAGTGTTACGGAAGCCATTATCAGACATCAAGACATTCAGGATGAGGGAAAGATCACCTTGATAACAAGGTTGATACATCTGGGCACGCTGCTGGACAATATCGGGGCTGGACCTGAATTGGTGCATCCCGAAACCATTGAGAATGTAGTCCACGAGTATCCTCGTCCTGGGTGGAGCGGATGTTTCAAGAAGACGGTCGAGAAGGAGAAGGCCGTCAAACCGTATGCAATGGTCAGTCGGATTCAAGGATTTGAGGAGATGATTCAGAAGAATGGAGCCAGCGGTGGGTTGATGGCAAAGTATGACTGAGTCGTCTTCAGGTTGGTTTTTGTCTGTGCGGACCGAGTACTGGACGAGACAGATTCAAAAAAAAAAAGGAGTCCTAAATCCATAATACAAGTTGTTTCGTGATGTTTCCCTGGATTTTAGTCAACTTGACCAAGACAATGAGCTTCGTGATTTGTGTAGCCTGTCAAATAGTGCCCGAGAAGAAGTCTATAGCCAATTACGGCAGTTTGTTTTTTTTTTTTTTTTTGGTCAAGCTATGATGGCATGATGGCCAGCAGGTGCAGTGACGGCATTGTCCATGTACCGTTGGCTGCTTCACTTTAAACCAACATCATGGTTAAACCTACAGGTTGGCGGTGTTAGTGTTTGAGGGATCTGGCAACCACTTGACAAAACAGTTTGACAAGCAAGCCGGAATCCTATCGTTTTCCCGTTCAAAACACCGCCCAGCTTCATTAGCCTTTCTTGGGTCTGAGGGCCAAGGCCGTCCTATAATCAAGAATTCTTATTGCCAATGCTTGTGTCTTTCGGGGGTAACAAGTGACTTTTCAGGACCAGGATCTACATGTCCGACGGTGAAGTAAGATTCGAAAAATGAGGCAGGAGAAGAATCACTCTTGAATACTGGCTTTATCAGCTGCAACTTTGGTGTTGAGGAAAGTAGAAATACCCACCGTATGAGCGTCATGTCCAACATGTTCATCCAAAACTCGCCACTCGCCACTTATAAGCTGGAAGTAATAGTTCATCTCCGATACAGATCCTGATGTTGATGAGGTGGTAGAGTGACCAGCGCAGGGTTCCGCAGTGGGAGATAGGAATGTGAGATGTGGAGCCCAATCAATTTGGCGGGTGCATTTCATCGCTCGTGGCCTGGTCCGGAGCATCTTAGAAGGATCAAGGAATCACAGGTTACAGTTTATTCCCCGAAGAGATGACTGACTTGACAGGGAGGATGCCTAACTTGCGAGAGACTTGAAAATTTAGTACGGTGGCAGTGCAAAACGCCCTGACCACCTTGTTCCATTCGATTGGATGAAAAGCAGGAATTCTGGCGCGCAAACGAAAGGGCGGGGCATAGTTGAGGGTTTTTCTTTCTCTCGCGGCTGTGTGTCAGATATTCTAGTCGCTGGCGGAAGGAAAGGATGTTGAGACGGGAGTCGAGATGGAAATTTGAGCGAGGTTGAATGCCAGATGGATGGAGATCTTTGACTACGAATGCCCCCCGGAGGAAAAAGAATAGAAAAGGGTTACCGCATGGATGGGCAGTAGACGGAGGGCCAGGGGTCAACCGGGCCTGGAATCTCCGTGTTGACTTTCACTGCCGGGATGAGGTACCGGCTACCTGTGCTTCGCTAGAGCTGGGCGTAGTCTGGAGGTACCCAGTACTAAATCTCCAAGTGGCTCTCTCTTCGGCCCTCCATCTTATTGGTGAGAACCCTAGCAGCACCTCCTACGCCAGGCCTAAAAGAGACATCCTGTATCCTGCAAGCTCCGCAGAGTCGTACCAACCATCGACCGTAATGTTCTCTTTCATGTCGACAATACTTCCTTCTCCTCTCTCTACGAGTCGCAAATGGCACACCCTGCCTCATACTTGCATTTCCATTCTCTTTGTTCATTCAACCGCTAACTTGTTTTCCTTCTTTCCTTTCGCGTTCCCCCATTGTTGATCCTCCTCCACCCCCCGGTACATGGGTGAGACTTTGTCCACCGAACACGGTACGACACAACTTTTACGGTTACCGTTGTGCCTCCGTGACCTGCGTCGGATCGACCTTAAAGTTCAAAGCAGGATTGGTTCTTGGAGGTTTTGTCAATACCTCCTCCCCAGGCCGGTTGCTTGATATTCACTGGAGGGCTATTTTTTTTTTTTTTTTTTTGGGTATGCAGCCACTCCTGTTTGCTTTGTCGTGCATCGACACGTTCTGACAGCTCATTGTACCAGTGTGTTTGATTTAATACAAAACCAACAAACTGCATATCCATACTGCCAACATCTTCTTCTCCTGCGGGTCCGGACATATCGCCAGTTCAAAAATTTCATGCCGCTCTCACTTTCCTGTTGAAATCCTCCTTATATCATTCTTGACCCTCAGCCACGTCAAAATCACTCAAGAGACTTGGGACATTCGTCTGGAATACACCCACAATCTGGCACCCACGTACCGCAATCTCTGCAATGCCTTCAACTCCGGATGGGCAAGACCCAGAGCCACCGAATCCTAAACAGCCGCGCCAGAGGGCTCCCACGATTAGTATCGACGATTCCGCTGTAAATCCTTCCGCGGAAGAGCCACCCAGCGCCGCTTCTGACAGACCGGGCCCTCTACCACGCATACAAACCGTTGGCCTGGACTCGGGCCCAACCCTGTCCTCCCCCCTTTCGGTTTCGCCCACTGACGTTCGACCATCCTCTGATACACGCGAGTCCCGACCTACATCTCCCCACAATGTTTCGTCTCCCAGAACCCAGTTCCTCGATGGAACAGCACAAAATTTTCTTTCTGTTCCTGGGTTAAGGGCGAGGGCGACGTCTATAGAGTCTGAAGTTTCGCCCACGTCGGAATTTGGGGGAGAAACCCAGATTGCCTCCTCTACCACTGGCATGGACGACCACTCGAGCAAGATTTCCCTTAGCAACAACGATGATGTGATGAACGATGCGGACGCACTAAGACCAGACCCTGGCTCCGAGGCCGATTTTGAAGTTCAGGACAACAAATTCGCCTTCTCGCCCGGGCAGTTGAACAAAATGATCAATCCTAAAAGTTTGGCTGCTTTTCACGCTCTCGGTGGATTAGGAGGTTTGGAAAAAGGTCTCCGGACGGATCGACACAGTGGCTTAAGTGTCGACGAAGTTGGCCTGAGCGGGACGGTGGACTTTCGTGAAGCGGTTCAAGCAGGTGCTGAAGCCGAGGAAAATTACGGCACGGTCAAGAGAATCAACACATCCAATTCAATGACTGCTCCAGCGAAGATCTCCGAGAATTCATTTGCCGACCGCAAACGCATCTTCAAAGACAATCGACTGCCCGAGAAGAAAGCCAAAACATTTTGGCAACTTGCTTGGATCGCTTATAACGACAAGGTGCTGATTCTTCTTTCCGTCGCCGCTGTCATCTCTCTCGCTCTGGGTATCTATCAGACTGTCAATCCCGTCCCTTCTGAAGAGCATGAAGCTCGAGTCGAATGGGTCGAAGGTGTCGCCATTATGGTTGCAATCTTTGTTGTTACTTTTGTGGGGGCCTTGAATGATTACCAAAAGGAACGCCAGTTCATCAAATTAAATCGCAAAAAGGAGGAACGCTCGGTCAAGGTTATTCGATCCGGTAAATCTCAGGAGATTTCGGTTTATGATGTCTTGGTTGGAGACGTGATGCATCTGGAGCCTGGTGATCTGATCCCGGTGGACGGTGTATTCATTGATGGCCACAACGTCAAGTGCGACGAATCATCCGCCACCGGCGAGTCTGATATTATTCGGAAAACACCTGCGGATGAAGTATACCACGCTATTGAAAACCACCAGAGTCTCAAGAAAATGGACCCGTTCATTCTTTCAGGCGGAAAGGTCTCGGAAGGTGTGGGCACATTCCTGGTCACCTCTGTGGGCGTCAATTCCAGCTATGGCAGAACCTTGATGTCTCTTCAGGACGAGGGACAAACGACACCTCTACAGTCGAAATTGAATATTCTGGCCGAGTACATTGCTAAGTTGGGATTGGCTGCGGGTTTGCTACTCTTTGTTGTGCTGTTCATCAAATTCCTAGCGCAGCTCAACAAAATCGACGGTGGCTCCCAAGGCAAAGGTCAGCGTTTTCTTCAAATCTTTATCGTCGCGGTCACAATTATCGTCGTCGCGGTGCCAGAAGGATTGCCCTTGGCCGTCACCCTCGCTCTAGCATTTGCTACGACACGAATGCTGAAAGACAACAACTTGGTACGACTCCTCCGTGCCTGTGAAACCATGGGCAATGCCACCACGGTCTGCTCGGACAAAACCGGAACTTTGACACAAAACAAGATGACCGTAGTCGCAGGAACCTTGTCGACCGCCTCTCGATTCGGCGACAGGCAACAGCCTATCAGTTCCACGGCCGTGAGCGAGGAAAAATCTGAAGGCGCCGTCACGTCTTCGAACGACGTCTCTTCATCCGAATTCATTTCGACGCTCTCACAGGAGACTCTGGCGCTCCTCAAGGATTCGGTGATACTCAATTCAACCGCATTCGAAGGTGAGGAAGGGGGTAGGAAGGTCTTTATCGGTTCCAAAACCGAGACTTCTCTGCTTTCCTTTGTCAGCGATCATCTTGCCATCGGATCCCTCAGTGAGGAGAGAGCCAATTCAGACATCGTTCAAATGGTGCCTTTCGACTCGGGTCGCAAATGTATGGCCGTCGTCATTCGGCTTGCCAATGGCAAATACCGTATGCTGGTCAAGGGAGCGTCTGAGATCCTGATTGCTAAATGCACCCGGATCATCAGTGATCCGACCAAAGGGGTTGTGGACTCACCGATCACTCCGGAACAGGTTGAAACCTTAAACGGCATTGTCAGCAATTATGCTTCGAGGTCCCTGCGTACAATCGCACTCCTATATCGAGACTTTTGCGAGTGGCCTCCTCGGGGAGCTGCTTTACCAGATGACAAGAAGCAGGCGGACTTTGATAAGGTTTTCAAGGACATGGTCTTTTTCGGTGTTGTGGGCATCCAGGACCCGCTGCGTCCGGGCGTCACCAAAGCCGTTCACGATTGTCAAGTGGCAGGTGTTTTTGTGCGCATGGTAACTGGCGACAACATCATGACAGCTAAAGCTATTGCCACCGAATGTGGGATTTTTACTTCGGGTGGAATCGCCATGGAGGGTCCTGTCTTCAGGAAGTTGAGCTCGAAGCAGCTGACTCAGGTCATTCCACGTCTACAAGTCCTCGCCCGATCAAGCCCTGAAGACAAGAGGTTACTCGTGGGCCATCTGAAGAAACTCGGTGAAACCGTGGCAGTCACGGGTGACGGTACTAATGATGCGCCCGCGCTCAAGACCGCAGACGTAGGTTTTTCCATGGGCATTGCAGGAACTGAGGTCGCGAAAGAGGCTTCAGCAATCATCCTCATGGACGATAACTTTGCATCCATTGTCAAAGCCATCTCGTGGGGCAGAACGGTGAACGATGCAGTCAAGAAATTCCTTCAGGTTCGTCTTGCACGAATTCAAACACTGGTCCCAGATCTAACTTGCCCATAGTTCCAAGTGACCGTCAACATTACGGCGGTCTTTTTGACATTCATCTCTGCCGTGGCCAATGATGATGAAAGCTCTGTCCTGACGGCCGTCCAGCTTCTGTGGGTGAACCTCATCATGGATACATTTGCAGCCCTCGCATTGGCTACCGACCCCCCTTCGCCCTCGATATTGAAACGACGACCGGAACCGAAGTCAGCACCATTGATCACCATTACGATGTGGAAGATGATTATTGGCCAGTCCATCTTCCAGCTTGTTGTCACTCTCATCCTATATTTCGCGGGAGAGAGCATTCTGTCATATCAAACAGAAGATGAAAAGGATCGCCTGCAAAGTACGATTTTCAATACGTTTGTGTGGATGCAAATATTCAATCAATACAAGTAAGGAGGATTGGTTCCACTTATGGTCGATGGATGGACTGACTGTCTCTAGCTCGCGACGACTGGATAACGACTTCAATATTTTTGAAGGAATCCTTCGAAATTGGTGGTTCATTGGAATTCAGTTCATCATTGTTGGTGGCCAATGTTTGATCATGTTTGTTGGAGGTCAAGCATTCTCGATACACCGAATCAACGGCGCTCAATGGGGTTATTCGATTGTTCTCGGTGCCCTCTCCATGCCCATGGCCGTGGTTATTCGGTTGATCCCAGACGAGTTATTCGCGAGACTCATTCCCAGTATTCCTCGACGGAAGAAACGGGGACCTAAATTCATTGTTGAGGACGATGAGGATAGAGTTCAACAGTGGAATCCGGCTCTAGAGGAGATTCGGGATGAATTGACATTCCTCAAGAAAATCCGTGGTGGTCGGATGTCGGAATTGGCATACAAACTACAACATCCACGGGACACATTCTTACCGCGCTCACGCAGTCCTTCTCGTTCTCGCTCAACCAGCGAACTGCCCCAGACACCGGATGGTGAGCAAGCCGTGTCGGATGCAATGACCGGATCTCCCTCGACTCCCGAGAAGGCCAGACGACGAGCGAGATCTAGTTCGAATTCAGTGTTCGGACCTGCAACTGCCATGGCAGGAATCATTGCAGGGAGCGTCGCAGGAGGTTGGTCTCCGATTGAAAGGCGCCCGGAGGAACAGGAGACGGTACGATTTACGAGATCTCGTTCTCATTCGGGGGTGGACGGCACTAGTGGAATGGAGATCCATCCCGCAACACCGGCAGAGGACCCTGTCTTTGCGAAGAGTGTTCCAAAGACTGGTATTCCTCCCAGTCAAGATCCCAATCTCGCGCCTCACTTTGAGCACGCACCGCCTCATAGTCCCTCTGGCCGCTCAAGAGGTTCACACTCTCGACAACCATCTCCAATCGCCTGAAATCGAAGGCAATGTACATTGCCGTCAGATGTGGAAGAACACTGTGTGGACTCTGACCACAGAAAACCGCCCATGCCAGACATTTTCCATGGGGCAGTAATTGTGCAAACATACGGGGTTGCAGCCTCACCTTTTCTAAAGAGCTGAAATCGCATTTGTATCGATTAAGGCACACAGTGCTCAACAGAGACATGAACGCGAAGAGCGGCACCATGATATCAAAAGGCCTGAGTCATTCAGGGGCAAGAAATTTTGTTATCTGGCGCCATGGCGTCATCCGGATGGCCGTAAAGATGCTTCCGACTTGCTTTGCTGTGCCTCAGGGCTGAGCTCAAGGGGAATACGGAATACGACATATATTTGGGCGGACAACAGCCTTGAACGAGGCTAGTGGAGATCAAATCTTCACTGTAGAAGCAGGACTGTGTCTGGATAGATTGTACTGTACAATAGCACTTCTTCATCGGGCCATAGAGAAGCACATGTCGGAATGCTGTTAAAATCGCTGAAGATTCTGTCCGAGTGGTTTCCGCGGGGCTGAGCCGAGGCATAGACTTTTGCTGTTGGCAGCATCTTATGCAAATCGGTGATTTGTTTTTTCTTATTCATCCACGGCGGAAAATCAAGGCCCATAATTTTGGCCCATCCGAGCCTCCTTTTTCGGCCTTCCCTCGCCGCATCAAAATGTAAACTCGTTCACTTTATCGGCCTGCACGGAGAACTAGTCGTTTCTGTCTTGTCACCATGGTTCCAGGCCGGTCAACAATAAATATCCTCCTCCTCCTCTCTTCTCGGCCAACAAGTCTCCCCAATCGGACGCCAATCATTCCTTCGATTATACCTCTGTCCTCGTCCTCCACGGCCCTGCGACGTACACTCATTCGTCAGCAGCCTATTCACACTGTCTCTCCCTTGATATCATTTCACTTACGGAGGACAATACAACCCCTAAGGCGGGTCAAAGGAGTTTCTTGGAGTCGAAATTCTACTGGTGAGCTCGGTCCCGCTAATGCTGGTCATATCGATTACTGACATATGGATAGTGGTAGTCCACAGCAAAGGAAAAGCTCGATTCCGGCGGACAGTTAGTTTCCTAATTATCAGCACCGTCTCCTTTGCGGTGGGCGCCTATATCGCTATCTTCTACTCGCCTCCAATCCTCGCTCCTTTAATCATGGGTTCTATGCCCACAGATGTGGAGAGCCTGTCTCTCTATGAAGCCCCGGATGACTTTTCGCGCGAGATTGATGAACACATTAAAAATTGTGCCCTGGCCCAGTCATTACGAGCCAACCCAGACTTCGTCGAGTCAAGACCACATCTCAAAATTCCCCAGGAAATACGGCAACACAATTTGACGGCGGGAACATTGTCTGGTCCAGGCATGATCGTCGTGCCTCCATACTATTTCAACGAGAAGGACGGTAAATCAATGGTACAGATCTTTTACGTGGGACCAGATGTTTCCGGTCACCCCGGAATTGTACATGGTGGATTTTTGGCTACCATGTTGGACGAAGGTCTCGCCCGCTGTGCTTTTCCCGCCATGCCCAACAAAGTCGGTGTCACCGCCAATTTGAATATCAATTACCTCAAGCCAACAATGGCTGGTCAGTTCCTGGTGCTGAGGGCGAAGACGACCAAAGTTGAGGGTAGAAAGGCCTGGGCAGAAGGGTGGATTGAAAGCCTCGAGGTTGCAGAGGGAGAGGAGCCTACGAAACTGGTTGAGGCATATGCATTGTTCATTGAGCCCAAGCATGCTCAGGTGTGTGAACAGAGAAGATGCCCGTTTCTGTCTCAAATGCTAACATTAAATCTCTCAGATGTTGAAATCACTCTACAGAGTTGGTGCATGAATATCAGATGGAAACCGGCATTTGGATTTCAATTTATTGGAACTATGATCTTTTCGGGGCGCTTTAGACACGAGGGGCAGGATCGAAACTGCATGGTAGAGGATTCTACTGTTGATAGAATTTTGGGCGGTGGGTGGAGGAATACCCCCTCTTGAGCATATCTGACTTTTGGGCGGGGAGTACGAGTTCAATACAATGTGTTGATTACCAAGGCTCTGTGGAAACAATCATGACTGGAACAATAGTAATTTGTTACTGACCTGATGGTTGTTATCTTTATTCAGACACTGGTCCATGTAGTAGGTGACCGAGTAGCCGTTGGCGCTTGGCATACGCAGCTTGAGATGCTGCAGCTATATTGATAGCAAATCGTAGTGGTCCAGGTACCACCTCAGGTCTTTTCGAAAACAGCCCGCGACAAGCACAAACGAGGCATCTTGTGGCTCTTCTTCACGAGTCAAGTCTTCTTTTGCCGTCGACTACACTCCCTCTCCCTTTTGCCTCAAGAACCCTCCCAACATGACCTCCAAATACATTGCCGTCTCCGTCCCCTCGTCAGTCACCCCGTCCGGACACAAAGAAGATGCGATTTCCTCGTTAGAAAAAGCGGTGAATCCATCCAATGGCGAAGTCATACCATTTTCCGTCCCTGAATTCAAAATTGGCACTCTCGATGCTCTCCTGCAACAGTCGGACGACCTGGCCAAACTCGAAGGTCTATGCAATGCTGTCGTGAGCAAGGTTGGAGATACGCTGAAGAATATCCTGGATGGAGACGAAGAGAAGATTGCCATGCATAAAAATGTCAATGATAGTATGTATGCGGCTGGCCGGTGGTTTCTTGAGTGAAAGTTTCATTGACCGGTCGGCAACGATCAGAACCTCTGGAACAGTACTTACGAAGTTTCTCTTGGAACAAAGTCAAATATCGAGCTGATAGGCCCCTGGCGGAGCTGATTGATCTTTTACAAAAGGTAGGATACCCACTTTAGGAGTTATGCTTATACGGACCCCAGAATCTCACATGAAGTATCCCAGGAAGCAAACTCAATCGACAACGACGTTCGATCCAAATACAACCAATACAACTCGATACGCACAAACCTGCAGACCCTCGTGCGAAAACAAACGGGAAACCTCTCTACCAAGTCCTTACTCAGCGTCGTCTCGCCTGGGGTGCTCGTCACAGACTCCGAACACCTCGAAACACACCTGGTCGCGGTCCCCAACTCCAGCGTGAAAGAATTCATGCGCTCCTACGAAACACTCGCGCCCATGGTCGTCCCGCGCTCCGCGTATTTCGTCGCCAATGATGACGAATATAGTCTGTACGCCGTGACAACGTTCAAGAAACACAGTCACGAGTTCGTCCATAAGGCCCGCGAGAAGAAATGGGTGCCGCGCGACTACAAGTTCAAGGAAGGCGGAAAGGAAGAGGAAGAAAGAGAAATCAAGCGCGTCGAGGCCGAGGAGAAAAGGGTGTGGGGCGAGACGTTACGATTAGGAAGAACGGGCTGGAGTGAAGGTGTCATGTGCCTTGTGCATGTCGTTGTATTGAGGGTCTTTGTCGAGACGGTCCTCAGATATGGGTTGCCGTTGGACTTTGTGGCTGTATTGATCAAGGTACGTCCTCTCCTTTCATTTCCTTTTTTCATGACACCTCGGCTGCAAATGTGCATCCACTCTGACTCGCGGGAACAGACCGATTCCAAACGCGAAAAGAAAGCTCGACAAGGTCTCGATACGGAATACGCATATCTTGCAGGCAACGCGTTCGGGAAAGACAGCAAAGGGAGGCCGAAGAAGGATGACGGCGTCAGTTCAGCGGACATGATAGCTGGTGGCGAACAGGGGGAGTACTCGGCCTATGTCTGTTATGATATCGATGTCGATTGATTGATTTGCCTCCTTTGTTGGATTTGAAAGGGGCAGCGACGAGAAGAGGAATGTGTTTCATTGAGCTGACCACGGGATATCAACGTACAGTATGGAAATGTGCGTGGTTTACTGCGTCCGTACGGATCAATTGTTGTCTCGCATTTCCCTCATTCCGGGCAGAGGTCTCGCGAGATATATGGGATTCCTTCAGAAGAATCAAATCGAACTTTATTAGGTTACGGTGTGGGCGTGCAGTGTTGCCAGTTGCGCACCTACGTAACTTATGAGGGCACCTAAGATAGAGTATGTCTCTTTAGAGAAAGAGCCAAGAAAGAATTGAAACATATTCGAACGATGATCGAGAGAGGGAGAAAGTCGTCAGGCTTGCACTGACGGGTTCGTGGTTGAAATGAATAAACCGACTATGCCACAACCTGGGCTCGGCTCTAGACTTTCCTTTCCAGCGGTGTTTCTCTTCTACTGCCAGGATCAAGTCGTGTTCCCAGCTCGAATTTCGAGTTTTGAAATTAGAACGTCTCTTTTCTGGCCCCGTTGGAGCCGCCAGCCTTAGGTGACTTGGAGGGAAGAGAAGAACACTCGTCCAGGTCATGACAAGATATAGTGTGGTGCTGTCTCGTTTGAGCTGAGCCTTGCCAAACAAGGATGAGAGATTGGAGTTTATAAGAGAATATCCCTGACGTGAAGAGGAAAGAGTTGATAAAATAGTTAAGCGTCAGTCTCCAGGTCATATAGGCAGGTTCTCAAGTCATGTTATGGTTCGGGGACGTAGGGTCAAGCACCGGCTGGTGTCTCTGACGGAGCAAGCGAGCAGATGGTTTCGCAAAAATACGTTCTGGTGCTTGGTGCAGTGTCGACATCGCTAGAACGTGAGAATATGTGAGAGGGGCCGAAACGCTGGAAGACGTTGTGCCCTACAGAAAGTCCTCTCATTGCGTAATCGTCTGCGCCATTGCCCTCGTTGATTGCACCACTCTTTGAATCTCCTATCAATCGCAGGTAAGGGAGGTCAAGTCGAGTGGCATAAGTAATTCAGGTCATGAAGAATTCATAACCCACTGCGCTCCGGGCGAGGTTTCGTAGGGTTTGTTCCGACAGCCTGACGTTGCCCATCGTACAGGCCAGAGTAATAGCCTGCCCAGTAGTATGCCATTTTAACGTTCTCGAGTGTTTGGTCCAGAGATGCCGGAGCTGGAGCTGTACATTCCGCTGTTTCGTCAGTTGTGAATCAGGACCGCGGCGAGAACTAGTCGCCAAAGGGGGATGGACGTGGTAAGGAGTGGAAGGGAGGTAGAAGTGCCGCGTACCTTCAGCATTCGTCGGCGGTAAGTTGGGTCCAATCGACGGATTCTTCGGCGGAGAGGCCTTGGGAAGTTCGTGGTTTGTAGTTTGAGGATTTGCATTATTGGTCTCGGGTATCGGATCGGGTTGGATTGTTGTCACTTTTACAACTGCTCAACAAGTGTCAATATCTCAGGCTTATTACGGCGCATTGGCTGGTCAGATATAGCATACCTTCTTGGTTCAACGCCCGTCTTGCTGCGTTGAGTTCATTTTCGTCGTCGACTTCGCCGTCTTCAAGATCGCCATCCTCAAAGTCCTCATCTTCACCATCAACATCAGCGTTGGTGTCGTGCCATTCCCCTTGCACTCCAGCGATAGCTTCGGATTCCGCTCGCGCTTGCCCAAGTTCGTCCGTCTCTGCTTGTCGGATGATTTCTTCCACGTCTTCTCCGCGCGCATGGATGCTGTGGTAGTACTGGAGGTGGAGGCAGTTAGTAGATGTGCTCAAATAATAGGGTTGGCTCCGTAAAACCGCCAAGACAAGGCTCGCAGTATGTTCATTGCCGGTGTTGAGAGTAATTTGGCACGTCGGTCTGGGAAGTGTGAAACTTGATAGAAATGCGTAGAATCAAACTTATAGCATACCTCGTACTCGGCAACAGCGTCGTTCCAGGATCTGATCAAGGCCGAGTCATCCCAGATTTCCGCCTGGCTGAGATCGCCGGGATTTTTTGAGGAGTGGTGTGTAGTTTTAGTTTTTTTGTTCTTGGGCATTTCGAAATGGTATATTCCAAAGGGAACTGTTCTCGGTGCATGAAAACCAAGAGTCTGTGTTCCCATGACAATGGCAAATAGAGCAAAAGACGATTTAATAAGAAGTTGAATTTGTTACGCCAAGACGAGGTTGTGATTGGTCAGCCTTGTCACCAGGGGTAGTTATCTCCAAAACGAAGCAAGGGTACTAATTTGTATTATTGCTTATTGCTCAGACACTAGTTGCTCTTCATTCATCGTGTTAACCTCACGACTGTTCTCCGGCCTGCCTTTTTCTCAATCGATTGGCAATTCGTCCAGACTCTTGATATGGAATTCCATGGTGGCATTCATCTTCATTCTCAACGCACTACAATTGAAAGCTACTCAATCCATCAGTATGATCGCGGACGAATGCAGCAACGGTACCGCGAAAATAGAGTCCCATTGCCAATACGTCAGGGTCCGGATCTTGATAATACGCAACCTTCTCGGCGCTGAAGAGCAGAAGCGAATCGACAGCCTGATAGGCGCGGGTCCATGGGGTACGGCTGTAGAGCTGGGAAAATGCCGGCGCATACGCTACGGTAGACAGTGATGTTGGCAGCGGCGCAGCGCATGGCGGTACGTAACCGCCCAGATATGTTGGGCGGCGGAATGCCGTTGTGGTGACGATTCCAATGCCAGTAGAGGTATTGAAGGACCCGCGCCGTCCCAAAAGGTGTCAGATACCTGGAGGGCAGAGTTTGGCTTACTTTGGTCCCAAATCATGAAGCTTTACCTCGAATCAGAGCTTGATCCAGATGTAGAGTATAGTGACGGAGTAACTCATGGCGGAAGACGATGAAATGCGGACGAAATAAGGATCTCAACTGAGGATCGGATCTCGCGCTGAAAAAGGTCTAAGTTTTCCGGAATGAAAATCCCCCTATCCCCATTGCTTTAAGGAGGAGACCTTGGAGATCCATTTCCTATGCCATCAAAACAACACTAGTTGGCTTGCAAAGTTCCATGGGAAAATAGCAAAATGGTCCAATTGGACCGTTTTCTTCGTGATCACATTGCGACCACAATCCGAAGACCCCTCCAGATCTGATACCTCCCGGTTGAATGCCTTCCAATTGCCATTGGTCTTGACCACTATAGGAAATAATGAATCGCCATCTCACTTCTCTTTCTCCTGGGACAAGACTTGCGCACCCCCGGACATCTATGGAAGGACGGTGTACCCCCGCGTGGGCGCGAGAAAGACCGGAGAAATAGAGCGTAGGCAGAGCAGGAGATACCGGGAGAGAAGTCTTCAAGCGTGGGTCCGATGAGATGGCGTCATCGAGTTTGAGGTCTAGTTTCATTAAATCTCCACACGCTTCAGGCGCATCATCCAAAGGTGGTCGTGGTCCAAGTTGGCTGTCCCACGTGTTGTAGGTAAAAAGGTCCGCATAGTCAAGGAATGAGTATGTCCCGAGCCAGGGACCGACGACTCTAGCCCAGTCTCCAGGGTTGGTTGGATCGACCAGAGTTCGATGGGGAATGGAGAAGCAGAAGCCTTGCGGCATTGAAATGTGGCCTTCAACAACCATGGCAAAATTGCCGCCTACGACGCTGTAGACACCTTCAAGTAGGGTCCAATCCACACAACCACTACCATCGCGTTTGAAGGGACCATAATCGTTGTCAGCACCGCTCAGACTCCAATCATATACTATTCGTCGGGCGGCACCTCGAGCTCTGTGTTGGATCCGTTCACGAAAGGTAAGGCCAAAGAGAACGTGAAGTCGTGAGGCAGATTCCGGTCGTCGTCTCCCCCTTTCGCTTTCAGTCACCGAACGTGTAATTGGACCAGCTTGCTTCTCGCGGACAATGGTACCAGAGTCATGAATAAGGCTTTCAATCCCATCCCGATATCGGTCCGTGTTGGAGAGAATGAGAAGATTGCGTGAAGAACTTCGATCATCCGCAGTGGGGAGTTTGCCATTGGCCATATCGCGAGCGGTTGGGGCAAACTTTGCGGTATCGACGATGCTCAGGAGAGCATCTATGTGATCCTCAACATTAGGAAGAGGCATATTGAGGGCGCACCATTTTGATTTGATGGCTCGTAAGGCCCGTCGTCTTCTCAGGAGTTCTCGATACCAATCCCAGTCCTCCAGATTTGAAGCTTGAGGAGACCCCGGTGTCAAGACCCAGGCATCATTAGGATCGTCAAAGAGTTGGAGAAAGGCCGATCTCCAGAGAATTTGATTTTGAGGAGTGATAAAGCCAAGCGCGGTCTTACAGGTTCGTCCAAAGCGGACAATGGCTTCGGGGTCAAGGAAAGAGAGGATGTTACTAAGGAGTTCTTGAGGTAGATCGAGGATTTCCATATCTTGGTGTGAGCCGGAACGATTCGGTAAGCTGGGAGATGGAAGATTGGGGGTTGCAAATAAATCAGAGAGAAAGCCCAGGATGGAACATGGACGTTCGAAGCTAGCAACTATCCGACAGTGAGTGAGATCCCCCTCCCCCACGTCCGGACGGAGATAAACTGTGCTTTGAGCGTAGTGACTTCTCTGAAGGCATTGATCAAATGTTGATTGAGATGAGAAGTCTGGATGAGCCAAAAATCTAGCTATTAGAGATGGAAAGTTAGGAGACAATCGCAATGACATGTAAACACGGGTATTTGTTATAGGGTGCAGTTGCAGCCGCAGCTCGCGGGCGATACAGACCGGGGGGAATCATGGATTGAATTATGGCTTCATCGGCCCCCCGCGTCAGTGGCAGTGCAGTGGATGACAGCCACATCTTCAGGCATCTCGACGCTCTTTGTCAATCAAATCTCCTTTACCAAGAAAGTCGTTTTCCGCATCAACCTGCCAATCCCTAATCTCACCCAATAACCGCCAGCACAGCCGCACGCATTCGATCCTGCATTGCCATGCCTTATTGGCATTTCTCAATCCATATTATGATCAAGAGATATCGCCAATATCGAAGCGTCTCCTGACTCTGTTCCCCGTCCGTCCTGCACCTGAACAACCTCATTGTTAACTTCGCCCGTCATCGTTGACAACCTGTACCCAGAAACCACCGCAACAATGCCCCTGAAGGATTTTCTCAAAAAGAAGGAGAAGATTGATGACACTGCCACACCGCTACCACCGCCTCTGCCCCAGGCCCACGAATTCACCTTTGTTCGCACCGACACCAACACCGAAGAGTTCATCAGACCTCCTGCATATGAGGACGAGCGAGAAGTTTCCGCGGCCACCAGACGCTCCTTTGGTCGATTTCGCAAGAGCGTCAGTCCCGCAGCTTCGGACAGTTCTTCGCCAGAAAAAGAAAAGAAAGAACACAGAAGGATTTCCCAGCGTCTGCATCTGAGCAAAGACCGTTCCGCTAGCACCAGTTCCGTCAACTTACCTTCCGACCTCCCGGCTATTGAGGATGCATATATTGAATCTGGTGACCGTCAGGAGAAAGAGGCCAAATGGGAGGAACGGGCCACTATATTGGCCAGTAAAAGCCCTGTCATTCCTGCCCGACCTTTGACAGGGGACTTGGAAAATCTCCACTTGGGTTCGCCAGCACCATCTCCTTCGCGACCTCGCAGCATCAATGATCCAGACAGTGACATTGATATTCAGAAGGCCATCCAACTGCACGAATCTGGTGACCTTGAGCAAGCAACCGAAATGTTCCGGAAACTCGCCGACTCCGGCAATGTTTTATCTCAAGTTCTCTATGGACTGTCTCTTCGACATGGTTGGGGTTGTCAGCCTGATCCCGCCCAGGCCGTCACCTATCTGTCAGCCGCGGCATCGAATTCGGCTACTATTGAATCAGATGCTTTGAGAGCTGGGATGAAAAAGGGAGGGGCGGCAAAGGGTGAACTTGTCCTCGCCATCTTCGAAATGGCAAACTGTTTCCGACATGGCTGGGGAGTTCCCATCGACAAAGTCGCAGCAAGGCATTATTACGAGACAGCGGCAAATCTGGGAGACACGGATGCCATGAACGAGGCCGCTTGGTGTTACCTCGAAGGATTTGGGGGCAAGAAAGATAAGGTGAGTTTCCCTCCTGTCTCTTGAGCCGAGAGCACAGGTTCCTAGCCGGATATTCTCATCTCCCTCGATCAACCCTCCTCTCCCCTCCACGTGACACGCGGCTGCCGCAGGCGAGCTGAGCCTCATCCCTCCATGACCAACCGTGGATGGGACATCAGGTGTAGCTTAGTCTGACCGCTCGACCCGAATCGCACCAACCCAGTGGCTGCCATTTATTCCGGGTTTTGACAGAATGGCGGCCCCCAAATACAACGGTATAGCTAAATACAGCACGCTCTCAATCGCTGCATCACTTTGGGCAGCAATGCAGCAACCACGGGGCCATTCAGCAGCCATCTGTCTGACCTGTTGCCCTCGTACCTTGCATTAGCCCCGACTTTGGCTTACACCTTCGAATCACGATGATGTTCTTTCTCGGAGAAATAATATGGCAACTGACACATGCCCGTTTCTTGGGCCTGGTGATTTAGTTTAAAGCAGCACAACTTCTCAGATTGGCGGAAAAGAGCGGTGCAAAGACACTGGGGAATTCTTGGTAAGTTGCTGTGAATCATAGTTTCATCTCTTCTTTTGTCACGCTCCCCCCGGTCAACATTCTTGTCCCCCCGTCCACCACTAGATCACCTCGTCCGCGTATCCAATTGCTCGATTTTCATCACATTCTCCTTTTTTCACTCAATCGGGTCAAAAATATGGCGGTGTCCTGGACCATGATGCCAAGCATCGCCTGATTGGCTGTCAAAGTTAGAGGCCGACTTATGCGACCGCTTTGTGACCTGGTCAACTGCGTCCATACACAGTTCGGATTTCTGTTCGAATGAACCAATTGCGAAAATCATGGTGGCTGGGTCGAATTGGTTCAGGAGGCGGAGAAGCAAATGCCCAAAAAATTGGACAGAGGATGGATGTTTCGACACTGACCCGGACAATGAGCGGCGATGCGTGATTGTTTGCTGACGTCTTTGCTTCTTGTGATCATCTAGGATTTGGAAGGAGAAGTATGATCCACCAAAATGAGACCACCCCATCGCCCGAGACCAAAGCCTTGACAAGGTCTGAGGAACCTTTTTTTTTTTTTTTTTCTTTCCAACCCAAATGAAACCGAACAGTCCGCAGCGAGGCGAAGCAACCCGACAGACCCGATGTCGATAATTGGGTACTTTGAACAAGTAACCTGATCAGACTTTGTTGTTTTACGTATGTTTCTCTCCTGCCTGCCTGCGGTCTTTTGCGTCGAATCTTTTACTTAGCCGGCCAAGTTTGGGCGACAAAAGAAGGCGCGAACTTTGTTCGAGTGTCTTTGATTTGATATTCCTTTCAATTCGGTGCATTCAATTAAGATTTGGGGGACCTGGATCTGAATGTCGGGCTTGGAGATGAGTACGCGTAAAGCGGGCAACGCGACGGAACGCGGTCGGGCCCTGCCATGCCGTATCATGATCGGGTTGTGGTTGTGGTCAGAGACGAGGCCATGGCTGCATGACGCAGGGGAGATGAGCTTCCCTCTCTACACGTCTGGTGATATCGGGATGAACTTCAGGTCGGGTCAGGTCGACTGACCGTGCGCGACCGTCGTGGAGCGGAAGTGGCGTGGTATGGCGTCGCCCTTCGACGTTTTGGATTTCCCTTACCTGGTTCTCAGTCGGAGCTTTTCTTTATTGATCAAAAGCCGAGCCGGGCTTGGAACCGAACTTGGTCCTTGTGTGCTTGGTGAAACATCGAAATTGTGCCAACGAGATGGACATGGCCATGCTCATGCCCTCAGAGCTCCGGTCGTAGACCCTCATCTTCTCTCCTTCTGGCTGTCGAATCGAAAGGGAATTCTGCTTCCCTCCCTCGCTCCCTCTCTCGAGCCATTCGACGATCATGACGGAGATATGGATATGGATATACATACAACCATGGAGGTAGAGATACTAGTTAGTTGATTATGATCATGAATATCAGGAGGTATATCAATCTGAGTCAAGTCATTGATTTCATTCAATCATTAGCCCTCTCAATATGTATCGTAACATCACGCAGCACATCTGCGGCCCGTTTCATTCATTCACTCGCTTTTGTAAAGGTGTAAACTCATAAAATCTGGTTTTCGTCAAATCTTGCGTGAGAGATGCACACGGCACATGACACGCATGTGTGATTTGTATCTGTACTGTGCATTTAAAACTGTACTTTGCTTTCAAGATCACATCGAGAATCATCATGAGTCGGGTCGTCACTCGTCATCATCATCCTCCATTCAGCGTTGGATCTGGTTCCTGTTCCCATTTGCTAGTTCCTGTCCAATGGAGCTCCCAGATCCAATAAAATAAAGAGACTCAATTCGTCCCTAATCTCTACGGTTCTGCCGTCCCTTTCTCACAGTCCCTCCTATTCCAAAGGAAAAGAGCAGAAGTTTTTCATCAGGCTGTAACAAGATCATAATATCATATCTTTCTCAAAGGGTTGAAAAGTCCCATAAGGGAATAAACAAAAAACAAGGAAACTGTGCCCTGAAGCTTCCGATCTTGTAAACATGATTGTGTAATGGCTCGTTAAGACGATTCAATCTTGTCCCAAAGATACCCACGCCGACGAACAAAACATAGAAGAGGTTTCGATTTTGAGCCCAGCTGGACGGTGTGAAGGGAATATTCCAAGGATCGTGTACATGTGTCGCTAAATTGTTGAAATTGGCAAAAAAAACTCAACTTGTAAAGCTTGTAGATGAAATTTCCGGTAAACCGTATGATGTCTCGGGTGCACTCTCACTCAACCTGAGCAATCATCTCTCTGAAATCACGAAGGACCTTCTCAGGTACCCGATCAAGCAAAACGCTTCGTTCTCTGGCTTTGCTACCCAGGCCACTCATTTTCTCGATGCCATCTCGTTGGGCTTGCATATCGGCAAACAACTGTTGGAGGCGGGTTGGCTTCACTTCAACAACTTCGTCCTCGTCATTGTCAAAGATGCCATCTGCATTGGTAATGTGATTGTAGGAAGAAGCAGAAAGAGAAAAGGCTGCAGCAGCTTCCTGTTGACGGGAGGGTGTGGTGAGAGTTGTATGAAGATTATCCAGAGAGGTTCCCGGCGCTTGAGACAGGTCAGAGCCCGAGAGTGTGCCAGAAAAGTTGGGATTGTCCATAGACGCCGCTGGCCGAGACGGAAGAATTTCATGTGCTGATTCTGGCCCGGAAGCAAGAACGGCATTGAGAACATTTCCGGCCTCGGCCCGGTAATCTTCAGATAGAGCTGGCATACTAGGTGTGACGACGGCGGCGGATGATACCGAAGTTGTCGCTTTTGACCCGGCTTGAGAAACAATAAAGGCTCCAGATAACAAGCACATGTAGAAGGTGTTCCAACTGAAACCGGCGTCGACCTTGACATCGAGTGACTTGGCAGCATTGACGGATGCGGAGGGCTGGGTCGAAGAAGTCGGAGGTCGTGGTGTTGCTTGTCTCTGAATCGAATCGGGTTCCTCCATCTTCAAATCTTCGCTGTTGATAAGACTGAACTCATCCTCCCAATTATCATCAAGGTCCAAGGTTCTGAAAGTGGAGAAATCATTCGAAAAGGCGTCCGAGGTATTGGCTGAGAAGGCTCGGGCATTTTGTTGTCGCTCCAGATCTCTGACGGCGTCTTTCAAGATGTTGTTCATCCTTCGAAGTTCGGCAGTCTCAAGAGTCTTGGTACGAATGGCTTCGTCTCGGTCGTACCGGATCTGTTGGATGAATTGTTCGTATTGTTGTCGTTGGTGCACCCATTGTTCTCTTTCATGGGCCAGGGTGGTCTCCAGGTGAGCGATGGTATCCTCCATTTCAGCCTTTTGACTAGCGAAGAGTTTCTTTTCTTGTTCCAATCTCTCGGTATGAGTCTTCTTTCGTTGACGAGAATCAAGCCTATTCAGTAATCATCTTGTTAGTCCAGCGCTGTGACGAGTTTTTTGGAAAGGGGGGGGGGGAGAAGAGGTACTGACGCTGCTTGACGGTTTCGGAGGAGACGCTTCTGCTGCTTGAGTTCCTTCTTCTCTTCCTCGTTGGTCGATTGCTGAATGAGAGCATCAATATTGGCCAAATTCCGTTCTTTGGGAATCTCGAACTTGGCGTTCTTTTTCCTTATGCCGTCGGATCTCAAAACCAGCATGGGCGACGCGGGCCGATATCTTGCATGCTTCAGAGCGCGACCAGTTTCGGCAGCATCTGACGACGTAGTCGAAGCCCATCCTCCTTGACTAGATTGTGGTGACATGGAAACGGCCGAGACGGGATCCTGTTGAGAGTATCCCGAGAAGTTGACTGGTCCGCCGCTATATGGTACCTGCTGACCGAAGGTCTCTTGTACCGGACCAAAGAAGGGGGTTGGGGTGCTGGCCTCGGAACGGGCAGACAAAGGCCAGGATTGGTTTTGGAGGTACGCCGAACCACAATTCGTAGCGTTGACTTGACCAAAGAATTGGCCATTGGGACTCGACAAAGGGATGGAAGACTGCGAAAAGTGACGAGTGGAAGGCATGACCCCGTGGGGCCTCTCCTGCCAAACGTGCGCAGGAGCCGAATAATCGTCCTCCAACTTGGTCAAGGAAGGGCGTCGACTGTCCGAGGAATCGGGAGCTGTCATATCGGCGGGAGTAGAGGAATCGAGAACCTTGTCGTCGAGGACGGAGGAGGAATCGTCTTCGGTGAGGGCGGGCTTGACATCTTCAGGCCATTGAGGCTGACCATAGAGGTAATAAGATTGGGGCGGATACTGCATCGCCATGGGAGCAAGAAATTGTTCGAAATGTCAGTTGTGGTTTGTGTGGTGCCGGTAAATGGATAAGTGGCGGTGAGGGAAGGTGGGGAAGATAGCGGGTGGTCGACTTTTCCGAAAATGTGTGGTCTTCAAGCACAGATGAAGAGAGTAGAAGCAAACATAATAAATCGAAGATTGAGAAAATGAAGAGATGTCAAAGATAGAGAATAGACAGTCTGAATCAGCAGAGGAGGAGGGAAATCGGCCGGGTTTAGTAGGTATCGTGGGAGGGCGAGCAGGTGGTCTTGATACAATACCGTACCAGCAAGAGTGGAGATGGGAGAAGGAAAGAACCAAAGATCAGACCGAAAACAAAGGAGCCGACTCTGGTAGACGACTGAAGCCCCGTTTGGCGGTCGGTGGACGGGGCCTGGAGGGAAGCAGGTCTAAAAGGATGAGAGGCTGAGAGGACGAGGAGGAACGGGAATTTTTTTTTTTTTGGCTGAGGAGTGGAGAGACCGTCCGAGAGGCTGATTGACTGACTGAGCGAGTTGATCGAGTGAGAGCGAGGGTGCTTGATTTGCTCGATTGCGTTGGTTGCGAGAAAGGCCCGTCTTTTCAGACTCGTACTCAGGACTTCGACCAAGACCCAGACACAGACTTTGGGCTATGACCTTTGGAAGCGTGGGTAGGAGAAAAAAGCAGCAGGAGGAAGCAGAGGACGAAGAAGAATAGGAGAAAGGGACAGTGGTTGGCAGGCGAGAGGAGAGCAGGGGAGGGGATTGGATGCTCTGCTATTGTGAGAGAAGACGAGAGCAATTCTCAGGACACTCACACAAATCCATCCCTCAATCACTCACAGTCGAGCCCCTCCGCACAGTCACTCTGCTTGGGCAGGTTTGCAGCAGGAAGAACAAAAAGTCGCAGCGCAGTGGACAAGTGGGTGGATTTCGGTGCATGGTGCAGAAGTTTGCTTCTTTCACGCAGCCAAACTTGGCTGCGCTCCGCCCAACGGTCGCACTTTTATGCGGCCACTTCTCTAGTCGCGTCAACTTGGATCTCATTCACCCACCCATTCATCCATTGCCCTTGGTGGTTGACGGCTTGAGGGATGGCTCGGCTCCACTCTCCATCAGGCACGATTCAATTCCTCATCGAGCATGCTCTCTGTCTCGGTTGCGAATGGTGGCAGTGGTCATCACAGGTCATTTGGAATGCTTCAAGGGGGGACATGCCAGAGAATCACTTCAGGCAACAACACAAGAACAGGTCAGAAGACTGCACATAGAGCAGACCCAGTGGTCTCACAAGAGAGGGAACTTCTCCATTGTCGTCAGCAAGTACTGAGCGTTCGAGAAACACGGCCCCGGCTGCAGCGAGCTCAGAATGAGGTTCGTGGTGTGAAAACAGGTCAGTGGCCGCGAAACAACGGCCCATTCTAACTTTTCCCATTAGCCTGGCCAGCCTTTACTCTTTACTCCTTAGGCTGGGGGCTGCACGGTGGCTCGCTGCCACGAGCACTTTGAGCCCTGAGATGGACTGGGTACTGTGGATGCTCTCGATGGATGCATTCCGAACGGCTCGGGCCTCTCTCTAGCCTTGTGCTCTTGCTGCCCTTGGATTGCCTCAATGTAGTTAAAACTCTCGCCTATCAAGTTTAACGACAACGTCCGCTGCTAAGTAACCGGCCCGCATCTAGCTATTCTCCGTGGGTATTGTCACTAAACTTGCAATTCATGCGCTTTTTCATCTTGATATCTTTCCTTTCCTCTATTCATTCGGTCCCTTGCTTGGCTTCTGTCCTGTCCATCACGCTCAAGTCCCAAGTTTCGAATCTCAAATGTCACGTCTGCTTCGCTTCCATCTGCCGAGGCTATGTACAAATTAGAGTCCGGTGATTTGATCGGCTGATCTGACCCTGTAGTTTGTCTGGCTGATGCACTCTCGTATTCCTCCTGGAACTCTGGGTCTCTGCCCTTCCCCCTCCGGATCAAACACTGGCCGCCCTCGAATTCACCCTTTTTGACGGCTGCTTCTCCGACTGATAATACCTGTTCGCAATTTTCATCACACAGGAGGTGCATCACTCTAACTGAAGAGCAGGCGTCATTCCGACTCGATACTACACCTCCCCACTTTATCGTGAGATAGGCGGCCCCATAATTCCACCACTTGTGGCTTACCGGTGGCTGGTTTCACCATAGGAATTCCCCAGCCCAATCAGACACAAATGCGTCTCGACGACTGAAACCTAAGCACCTCCTCGCTGCCCAAGGTGAGGCTGTTTACGAACGCTAGTTCCTATACCAGATACCTTTTTACATACACGGTTCTCAGAAGTCCTTACGGGCGACGGAGTATTACCCCATCACAGAAACCATAGGGCCGTCCACCAAAGGAACCAGATGTCCGCCATCACCATCCCCAACAACCATTCACAGAAAGTCCCTAAAGAGGCAGTGTTTCTTTGTTTCTGTCTAAGCGAGGCAAGCATGCGCTCCCACTCTTCACCATGTCATCGAATGATCGTAGTCCAACCCAGAATGTCAATTTGCCTTCTGCTCTCTCCCAACTTCCTCTCAGCACTGCCACTCCCGGGTCTTCGAAGAAATTATCCAGTTCCACTCGGTCTCTCTCGGCAACGATCTTCAGCATACGGCCAGGGCCTGAGTCACTGACAATGAGATAAGTCTTGCTGCTGGCTGAATGGTCCTTGGCCGCCCACAACGTCTACAGCTACAAGAAGCATGGGATCCAATTCATAATTCCATTTGTCATCAGTGGGCGAGCCAACGACAGTTGACGCTGTCGAAGTAGTCCCAGATCCAGAGATCAATTTTCTTTTTTTCTTTCGACTCACCCGATCAACATGTGGCAGTCGACATCGACCATTTCTGCAGTCCCCTGAACGAGAATATCAGGGGGGGGGGGGGCTCTTGAAGATGGGGATAAACACACTTTGCTCCTTTGTCACAGCAACCGACGTAAGCCAAATTCGTACACAGGGGGGGGCATTTGTGTCCCCTTCAATATACGTGTAGACACGCTTGACTCGATTATATTTCCCTGCAAGGAAAAATACGCAGGAGGGAGATTTCTCAGGTGAAAGAACATGGTTGAGATCGCATTGGTCGCCCGAGGCGCAGGACAGAGTGTAAGTTTGTTGTCATCATAAATCCCGTAGGAATTCAGTCCATAAGGCCAATATCCTGAAACATCCATCATTCTTTAGATCAAGGGAGGCACTTCCCAGAGATGTCGAGGCAGGATCAACACTGGTGGAGATGTTTGCTGACAAGAGACTCGTTTGGTAGGGAGGGGGACAAACTACCATTCATCAGCATATATCAATTTCAGTCAGGTTGTGCTTTTGAGAGTCGCTCTACAGACCCAGATTCACTTATGTTAACCCACTTTGGAACTTTGAAGCGACGACTGCGGAGCATGAAATGTGATATTTGACCACTGCTGGGAGTGGTATGCACCCGATTTTCTTATTGACCACAAGAAGATTCGTCATGACTTACTCTGATTTCTGAGTACTTGGCTTTCATACATTTCGGATGACGATCTTGAGTCCAAGGGGAAAAGCGCATTTGAAGATCGGTGATTTCGTCGGAGTGATGCTAAGATTGATGGCACAAGGTTTATGGCAGACAGCACATTTGTCCGCCCCTGATCAACAAGGAATGTTTTCCGAGGCTGCAACTTTAGGTGAAAATTGGAGCTTGTCAACGGGACCTGCAGTCCAACACGTCCGCCCATTAAATGTCAACTTGAGACAATGTTTTCTCCGACGTGAATTCACGCTTATTATCTTTTTGTTGTCGGTCGCGAATCAAGTACCTATACAATGTTACAACCGCGAATACCATTTCGCTCCTTGTGTAGAAAGTGTCAGCTTTCTACACCTGGCTTCCGACGCTCATATGCTCAGGTCATTGATCCAGTACATCCGAGCACCTCAGTCCTGGACACCGCCCGTGCAGATCCCCCCGTGGCTCTCCCTCAAGACCGAATTGGACCAGACGTCGGAGAGGTACGTCTTCGACGATACACTCCACGAACTCCTGGCATTCGCCATTTGATCCGGCCATTGAATGAACATCTCTGGAAGGGCCGACCTGTATTTTCACTCACATATCCCAAAAAAGGCCATGGAAAAGGTGGCCGAAACGATACCGGCCACGTGGTGGTCCGACATCGAGGAGGTGGCCATAAGAGAAGGATACGCATCGTTGATTTTCGTCGGAGCGAGGGAGGCAAACATCTTGTTGAACGAATCGAACATGACCCCGGTCGTACTGCCCATATTGCCCTGGTGAGAAATGTGGAGACGGGGAAAAGGACTTATATTCTCGCTCCCGAAGGTTTGCGAGCCGGCGACTACGTGGAAAGCTACAGATCTGGTCTTCCAAAATCGCTACTTGAGGAAATGGGCGGACAAATGGATCAGGGTGTGATCGCTTCTAAAACCGCTTGGAGAGGCAACTGTCTGAAACTCAGCATGATTCCCGTTGGAACTCCCATTTTCAACATCACTCCCACAGCCCATGGTATTGGAAAGTTCTGTCGCAGTGCCGGCACACATGGTATCATTGTCGGCAAAGGTGAAGACGCAGTGCAGAAAGAGATGATCAAACTTATTGGGGACTCTGGAACTCTGGATCTGTCTACTTTGACCAAAGACCAACTCAAGAAGTTCGAAAAGGCTGCCAACTACGTGACAGTGCGACTTTCTAGTGGTGAAGTTCGACTCATCGACAAAGAAGCTGTCGCAACCATTGGTGTGGCAAGCAATGTCAACTTCAAGTATACATCACTAGGAAAAGCTGGCCGTGCCCGATGGTTGAACATTCGACCGACCGTTCGAGGTGTTGCCATGAACGCGGCAGATCATCCACACGGCGGTGGTCGAGGAAAATCCAAAGGAAACCGTGATCCTGTCAGCCCGTGGGGAACTCCAGTAAGCCAAGCCTTCCATGATTGTATTTATGATCTTTCTAACTGTTTTCTAGGCCAAATCAGGCTTCAAGACCAGACCGAAGAATAAGGTCAATCCGATGGTCGTCACAGAGCGACCCAGAAACCAAGGGAAACGGCGGAGAGGTTATGCTTAGATTAGAATTTGTATCAATAACACATATTGTCTCGCTCGATCATCGAGGTTCGATCCCCATTTCAGATGCAAAGCGTGCGTCAAAGACCGGGAAGATTTATTATAGCAGCGAGGACCGGATCACTTGTCCGCCTCATGTCGACGCAGGTTAACCCGAAGTTCCATTCAGCACAGGCAAGTCCACTTGACACACCGCTTTTGTTCCTCCTCCTTCAGCAAACCAAGAGGGCCGATCGGAGGTGTTTTCTGTAAGTATACGACCCCCCCCCTTCTTTGTATTTCGCTTCGATGTCACCAGCTTCCCTGTCTCCGAGTAAAGCTACGGGCGCCGCTTGCATGTGGACGGTCACATCGCACATTTTCCTTGCGTGTCCTCTACCTGCAAGGACGTCTCAAGGCTTCGAAAAGGGGCCCTATGAAGGGTTGCATCGGGACGAGATGAGGGAGAGTTCATTTTCACGCTCGGCAAGTGTTGCGAAAAGATCCGGCACTGGCAACGGGAGAACTCGGCCCGCAAGCCTCTGGCGCGAGGGGCGATGTCTGGGGACCAACACCGAGGATGTTCATGCATATTGTCGACATGACATCAACGCATGAGTTTGGAGTTGGATCACGACACCAGAAACCATTGTTCATTTCGAAGACTTATCGATGGAGAAGGCACATCGGTTGTCCGCTGCGATGTTGGAGGTGGATTCTTCAGGTAGTATAGAGATAGAATCCTGCAGATGTAATATACAATCCATTGTTGTCCGCCGGGAACAGCGTTGCCACTGATTGTGCAGGACCTGTGTACAGGCGACTGGTACCCTTGAGCAGATATCAGTTGAAATTCTCGCGGTTGGTCCGCGTGTCAGAGGGAGAAGAGGATGTCTATTGGCAGCATTTTGGGAGAGATAATCTGCCATATATGACAGCGGAAATATCAGTCCGTCAGATTTGCGTGAATCGTTCCAGTATGGGCGTTCGCACCCAGGCAGGTGAAAGACGCTGTCCAAGGGCATCAGATGAATAAGCAAACGGGGAGAAATTCAGCTCGGAAGAAGTTTGCACTCCTGTTACCTTCGCTCTCTGTGCTCCGTAACACAATCCACATTCGCTGTGCGGGCGGTAAAACTCGCCATGCTTGCCACTGGAACGATGTGACCGTGATCGCGTTCGATCATTGACGGCAAGAACTTCTTTACCAAGTGAAGGAGCGAAGAAGTTGACATCAAAAACCTTGCGGATGCTATCCATCGGGGCGGGCTGGTCAATCGCGGTTCCCAGCTTTGTTAATCAGGAATGTAAACACACCATGCTCGGCTTGGACGCGAGCTGCGGTCGATATGACGGTTTCTAGAAGGGTGATATCGACTTGATATACCGGTACTCGAACAGCTGCCGTTTCTTCAGTGTCTGGGTGATCAGATTGACAGAACCCACGCAATAGATCCCTGGGCGGAGAGATATCCAAAATCAAAACTTTGACCCCCCTCTGCTGGCCAGCAGTTTGGACAATATTGGCGCCCATGCCACTGCCATCACCTGTCACTGCCACAATCTCCTTATTCCAATCCCATTTAAGAGTTCGAAACGTGATGATTGAGTGCACTTTAGGACATCCATCCGTCGATACGCCAAACTTCCCCGACGCGTGGTTCAGTCACAATTTTGTGATATAAAGACTCTATTTCAAGGATAGATCCAAGTTCAATATGAGTCGTACAATAGTCTCCAGGCCGGTGACGGCTTTAGGCCTTTTGTCGTGACCGCAAGCATGCTGCCTGTCAGGGGCAGGCCCGCCAGCGGGCTGTAAAGACGTCAAAAGGGCACCTATCTATCTATATAGGTGCAGGGGCGACATCGACTTCCACGCTTGGAAGTCGGATAGGGGTATCCTGCGTAACGCATGCTATATACATGTTCTTGGTATGGGGTCTTGGCGCCCCATGACACTGCCGCAGTGGATTCCCGTTACGCATCCCCTGGCTACATGTACAGCAGGTTCCACTTGTGTAATTGGCTGACGGCGCCTGATCATGCAGAATTACAGATGGATATAAGTCAAAGTATTCATTTCAAATTCAAGCCCTCTCACGACGATGAAGATTGTTGACGCCGAATCCTTTAGATTCAATATATTGCCATACAAACACCAAAGACTGATGCTGATACCATACACGTCTCCAGACTTTATCGACTAAACATCACGCCCATTCTTGAATACTCTTGATCTCATGCGTCCTCGAATCGGCACCTTCCATGCTTTCCTCATATCTTTCGCGGGGCCCGACTCATCGGCCTCTTTGCTGATGGGTTCTTGTTCAGCCAATGGACCCCCTTTCGGCTGTCTTTTGTCTGAAACATTGCTGCTCGCTCGAGTATCCTGCTCGTCTTAAACACGCGGCTCGTCTATTCTTACGGATACGTCGCTCTGGGCGGGATTCATTCTTTCACGATGAATTCTGGCAAAAGCTTAGCGCTCAGCCTATGATGCTGCGTGGTTTGAGAGCAAATTTCGAATTCGAATTGCGATCTGAAACGGTTTGGTTTGGGTCAGAGAGGATCTTGATGGTGAGTCCAAGGAATAAACAGCTGGTAAGATGATCAGATATCGACCGGAACAGAAAGCAAGAAGACTTTCAATGTCGTCAATTACATATAGTTACATGCCGTGCCCACACTTAATTTGACGGATGAACGCATTCGACTCAATCGCGAGTGTAGAATGGGGCACTGTCGAGCTTGATTGAAACAATGACTACTTAGTGGTCTGATGGCATTGGGGACTCGGGCAGAGCAGCAGACCAGACCGGACTCATTGGATCCATTGAACCTATAATGAAGCAGGTACGAGAAACCCTCTCGCAATCAATCTCGGTAGGAAGTCGAAAACATAGCACACTCAACCCTACGCCCCCATCGTTTCTTTTCGCAACTATCATCAATCATGCAGTGGTAGTCGTTTCGGTCCTTTGCGCCGCATGCACTGCAACATAAATATCCTGAGCCACTGTACTGCTCCTTACCCCTACCGGTCCGATAAAGTACCCTTGAGGATCAAAGACGGGCTGGTTACCGCCAAAGACAACTGTCTCTCCATTTGTCTCCTGGATCGCATGGGTATCACCTCCTGGTCCACTGCGATTCAAGAGCGCGTTGCTCGGGATGCCATTGTACAGAACTGCTGTTTTGGATTTCTTCTGGCTGATGTCCTGGAGCGCGCGCATTGACGCCGAGGTCACAACAATGTGTATGAATGGATGACGAACATACAATACTTCTTAGATAAGAATTGCTCATGTGGACGAATCCTATTAAGAATACCGAAGGATTGAGCACGGCGATGTTTGATGGTACACTGGACAGTCAACAGTCAGCCGGAAGCTTTGAGAAAGCGCAAAAACCCGACCCAATCGCCTACTGTACGTTCGTTGTATACCAACCAGCATTGAGCACCGTCAATTCCCGCGTGTATTCGTTCATGTAGTTGTCGCTGGGCGAGAATCAAGCCCCATCTCTTGGTGGCCGTTTGATTGACTGTCTGCGAGAGAAACCACAAATGTCGGTGCCAAGGACTCTGTTGTCAAATGATACCAGAGTGCTTCAATTGAGGGTGCTTTCAGCATTTGTCTCGACATGCTAGTGCTTGGAAGATACAATTGAACTTCAAGCAGAATCATAATGTGATTGGGGCCATCTCGGGTTACAAAAGTCGTTCAGAATTTCACCAATCAGCACTTCCGAACCTCAGCCACTGCTTCCAATTTACTGTCTATATGTCTATGATGTCAGGCGAGTGTCTGCCTCGCGCCTCGCGCCGGCCTGATCTAGCTGGATCATACCGACTTTTGTCCCTTTCTTCGACGACCGTCAAGATGTTGCCGTCGTGGCGATTTATAATTACAACATCCTCTCTGGCAGCCTTTGTTCCTCCCTCCAATCCAAACCATCTGCCACCAGACTCATTTCGGCTCAGCCTCTCCGTCTGATGCTCTTGCCAGACTCTACAGTCATTCCGCCCTGAGATTGAGTTCGCAATGATGACCTCCGGGGTGCGACGCACCCGACAACGTGCCCCATGCGAGGAAGAATGGGACCGAATTAGACCCATTTTGGAGGAGCTCTACATTGTTAAGGGACAATCATTGAAGGAAGTGTCGGAGATTTTGGCCAAAGAACACCAATTTCATGCCTCGTAAGTGTGTTTCCGAGCCGCTCGACTCTGTTGACCCTAGAAGGACGTCAATGTTCAAGCTTCGTATCGAACGCTGGAACCTCAAGAAGAATTTCAAGCTTGAAGAATTGGAAATCGCAGCCAAAACCGCCCAAGCTTTCATCCAAGCCGGACTCAATCCTCCACAACCTATTGTCAACAATCGAGAAGTCCCACTCGACCGGGCAAAACGCCATTTCCGATCCAGTTTCCGGAGCCGAGTCCGGATGCCCAGAAGACCGAATGCTCACAGTACCTCAGATCTTTCCGAGCCTTGGGCTAATAGAGACAAATTCAGACGCCAGGCAGCAGCTTATGTGGACATTCATTTCCATCTGCGGCACTCTGCCGAGATAGACCTTGTGGAAAAATCGCTAATCCAAGTCAACAACTATTTTTCATGGCGTTTCACCCTCGGCGATGACTATTTCCTATCTCGCACCCATCCTATTCCGACGTGTTATCGAGTAACTACCGATTTAATTGACCCCTACGAAATATTCAGTGAGTTGGAAGGCGCCCTCCAAGCAACGAGAGACGGTGCGTGTGATGTAGGACTACCTGCAGTCCAAAGATTCTGTCAACTAGCACCAGACTTGATCCGACAAGAACACTCGCTACTGTTGCGTGAATTGATTGAGTGGTGCAGTACAGATTATGGAGTTCATTTAAGGACATCCAGTTTAAAGCTCGGGCTTATTAGCTATCTCGCATCCCTTTCGCGAAAACTGTTGGGGAAAGACCACCCTTTGGCGATGGTGTTGATCCTATGTCAACGGGGAAGAGAACTAGCGCCCTTGCTTCCTTTAGTCTTGAAAGTCATGCTGAATATCATGACCAGGCAAGGAGGGAAGAGCTCAGAAAGAACATTTGACTCCGAAAGAACTCTGGCCAGAGTGCTGCGAGAGATTGGACAAGTTTCTGCCGCTTTGAGGCTGGATTTGGACATGTTGCAACGCTGCAACGAGATATTTGGTACGAGCCATCGGTGGTACAACGAATGTTTGGTGGATATCGGCTATCTCCTTTATAAGTCGGGTTATTATGACCTGGCAGAGAGGGCTTTTCTCCAAGTTCTGCGCCCAGCCGAACCTGGGAACCACGAGGGTGACCTCAGAGTAGAAGCCCTTCGAGGTCTTGCTTGGATTTGCGAGCAACGAGGTCACTTTCAGGAAGCGATGACCTGGTTTTGTCGAGCTCGGGTCAGTGCCGCCGAGGTTTTGAGACCTAACGATGCTAGATTGCACGCGTATCTCGAGCGAGCACACCAAATGCAAGCACTGCTCGATCCCCTGTATACTCCCTCGTCTTCTTCAGATTCTCTTGATAGGGAGGTGGCCGATGTCGTCGATGGCCTCCAGCTCCGAATATCACGATTGGAATTGGAGAACGAGGAGGATTCGACATCCAAAGCTGCCCCGTGGGATTCGTGTGACTCTACTTCCGATTGCATCGCTTCAGCCTTTGACAATACCCTCAGTGCGCCGGATGCTAACGCCGCTACCGATGCTCGGACGTTAAGAACTGAGGAGGTCTATCTAGGTTCATCAGAAGCGGGGGAGCGGTGCTCCGAGCCCATCATGGATTCAAGCACTGGAGGAGGTTCACTGACCTTCGCTGGATTTATGAATATCTGGGGAAGAGACGACCTGGGTGATTTATTAGGACTTCTCGAGTCAATTCTGACGGCGAAGTATCACCCAGTCTTTCGAAAAAGTCTCAAATACCTGGATAGGAACCATGACTGGATGGACAGAGTCCAGAAAATCCATGAATCCAGCCCTATCACCAGTGTGTCTGAATCGAACAGCAATCTCGAGACTGCGGCAGATGCTGAAACATATATCAACCTTCTTCCGTCATTACCACATGACGCTGATGAGGAAGGGTTTGATCCCGTCCAAACATCGAAGGCGAGATTCGACATCTCAAATATGAATGTCGACTTGGGACAGAGCGGCAATCTCTGGACTTCCGGGCCGGGCTGCACACCCATGGACCTGAACGTGGATGATGGTCTAGATACCTCGTTCTCGGGAATTTTTTGACTGTGCCGATCTCCAGGACTGGTATGCAATGGAAGGGCGAGTTCTGGGAGGACAGAAGGATGACGATTTTGTGACGGGATCTCTCAAGGACCAGAGGAGAGTGGCATAGGGAAAGTGGTGAGTGATGAATGACACGAAGCTATCAAGCATACAAACGACAGCGCAGGCACCCGGGTGTTAGGAAGTTGAGATTATGTATAAGGAAACTTTGAGTGGAAGCAGGGAGAGAGGACTGCTTGAATAGACGTCGGTCGACACATAAATATGGTATATGAGGTGTGTGAAGACAAATCAAATGGCTAGCGAGTGTATAGTAGACTAAAGTCCAAGTTCTCCATCATCCAGCAATTGAGAGCAAAGATGGGAGAGAAGAGAGACGTCAAGCGAGTTCTTGATAACGTAGCGGCACCCTGACTGTCCGTACCTCCTCTCTTGTCTGATCTCAACTTCGTCATTTCTGCAGCTCTTGACGAATGGAAACTTCAACGCATTCACATCCTTTCTGCAGTACAGGCACTTCCCATTCAATCATTACTAAGGGCAATCCCCAAAATCCAGGTCAATGGCCCATAGGTTTTGGAAGAACAATATGGGGGTAGCGGAATGCCCGGAGGCATCGGGCCCCTAACCCAGGACCGTCGTTCTGACTACAAAGGTGCAGGAGGGCCTTCCACCACCATGACCTCAATGTCGTCGTCGTCGTCGTCGTCAGACTCGTCCTCAGGTTGGCCATCTGTTACCAACACATCACCTCGGCGACATTTTCCGTGACTTCTCAATGGTGAGGCCACGTTGTTCCTGTTCCCTTGGCGCTGGTGATACTCGTACTCACGTCGATCATCTCGATGATCGTGGTAGTTCTTCTTGAAGCCTTGCGTGACAAGTCAAGGGCGAGTTCAACTTTCGTTATCTTCGAGGAAGAAGTAGTTGCCCGATAACTTCTGTTCCTGGTCCATCTGGGATTGGAACTTGTTGATACGTGGGCGGAAGGAGTTCGGGTCGCGCCGAAATGTGACGTCGAGATTCTTGAGGAATTTATTGCAACCAGTCAAAAGACTTTCAGGAGCGTTGGCACGGGCATTGACGGACGGTTTGCCGTCGAAGACAATGACACGGTCAGCGAGATATGTGGCCATGATAAAGTCGTGTTCGACAACGAAGGCTGTTTTCTTGCTGTGCATAATGAATCGTTTGATGACACGAGCGGCAACGATACGTTGCTCAGAATCCAAATATGCGGAGGGCTGTAAAAAAACCGGTGAAGTTAGTATGGATATCCGAAAAATTTATGATCGGGGCATCAACGCCAAGTATGCGGGGCGCTTACCTCGTCAATAAGATAAATATCAGCTGGGAGTCCGAGGGCGAGGACAATGGCAACTCGTTGCAGTTCACCACCGGATAAATTTTGAACTTCTTGATCGATAAAGTCATCGATCCGGAGAGGCTTGTAGACGTCGGTTTGGAATTGAGGGTTCAAGAATGAGGCCTTGATTCGCTTAAAGAAGAGTTGTCGGACGGTGCCTTGGAATTTGGGAGTGATCTTTTGAGGTTTCATGGAGATATTCATCGATGGAACCTTTTGTAACCCGTCGGGCTTCTCCACGCCAGCCAGCATCTTGCAAAATGTAGTTTTGCCGGTCCCATTTTCACCCATCATGACGATAATCTCGGAATCAGTAAACTTGCCGCTTTGAATCTTCAAGTGGAACGATCCAAGGGTTTTCTCCATTGATGGATATTCAAAGGCACGAGCCTTGTCGACCATATAGTCTTCACCCGCTTCGGCTATGCGGAAGGTCAGACTTTCCTCACGGAAACGTAGATTTTCCGTGGGAATGTTGCCATCGAGGAAAATGTTGATACCTTCTCGAACCGAAGCTGGAAGCGTGACAACGCCGTAGACAGCCGGTCTCCCGTAAAGGACGCAGATGAAGTCGGAGAGATAATCCAGAACGGACAGATCGTGCTCGACTACGATTACATAATCATCAGGCCGAAGAAGTTCTCGAATGGTTTTGGCGGCGCTCAAGCGCTGTTTGACATCTAAGTACGAGCTGGGCTCGTCAAACATATAGACATCGGCCTTCTGGACGCAAACGAGAGCAATGGCAAACCGTTGCAACTCTCCACCGGAGAGGAGACCGATTTCTCGATCCTGGACGGCATTGAGTTCTGAACGTTGGTCAGTCACTCCAATTCATTTTTTGCTTCTGGATCGTCTTTATCCTGGTTTCATTTACTTGAGGGAGGCCTTTCACGTACCCAGCACATCCATGATGTGGTGCAAATTGCCCAACTCGGATTTGGCTTCAATCAGGGGTTTGACTGTTTTGACGGGACTTTTGATTGCTTTTGGGAGTTGGTCCACATACTGCGGTTTAACGATTGCTTTGAGATCATCTTCGAGAACCTTGGTAAAGTAGTCTATTCCCAATCAGCCATATAAAGGTAAGAATGGAGTTTTTGGAATTCCTACTCTGTAATTCTGATCCTCGAAAATATCTCAAAATCTCCTCCCAGTCCGGCGGGTTGTCATATCTTCCCAGATTTGGTTTCAGTTTACCACTGAGAATCTTCAAGGCCGTACTCTTCCCAATACCGTTGGTGCCCACCAAACCCAAGACTTGGCCAGGTCGTGGCATAGGAAGTCTGTGTAACTTGAAACTGTTTGCCGAATACCGATGGGTGACTTGGGTCTCAAGATTTGTGGGCAGGTTGATGATGTGAATGGCACCAAACGGGCATTTTTTGGGACAGATACCACAACCGATGCACAAACGTTCCGAGATGTAGGCGATTTTGGATTCGGGGGTGACTTCGATACAGAGTTTGCCAGTTCGGACGACGGGACATGATTTCTTGCATTCTTGTCGACATTTCTGACAGAATGAGCCTGGGATTGTTTGGTTGTTTGATCTGGTTTTTTTGGCTTACCTTTGGCTTGCACTGCGGGGCAGAAATGAATTGTTAGCGAAATTTCAAAAGCGCGCAGTTTAGTTTCGACGCAGTGGACAAACCTTGTCGCTGTTGACAATTGCAATTCTAATATACAGATTAGCCACTGGTCCTTCAAGATTGCAGATCATCGACGTTTACCGTGTCAATTTGTCCGCCATTGTGGTGGCAGTCGGGTAATTGGATCAAAAACACACACACACACACAGATGAGGCTACCAGAAATGGAGAGTGGGACGAACGGCGAGGCAATGACTGAATAAAAAGGAGCACGGCAGAATCCGTTATTGCTATTGCTGCTCACAGTTGACGAATTCTTTGAATGTGAGTCACCGACGACAATAGCACAAAATAGACAATTCGAGGGTGCGGTGAAATAAGAATGAGAGGCCGTGGCAATGACTCTTCACGAAAATCCAAAATCCATGCTTGATGATTGGGTGCGGGGTGAACAGGTGCCGTTTGGGCCTGGCGCCCGTTCACGACTCAAGGTTCCTTTTGGGAGAGGCTTGGCATTTTGCTGCGCTTTGCCTGGCCAGCCTGGAACCTCCGGGTCCCTCTGCTCACTCCGTCACACTACTCTGCACTTTTACCCCAAGCCTCGTCTGAGCCCATACTCTCATCTTTCCGCACCCTACTCTAGGATCCTCTCCCACCTTCACCATTCTTCCTCTACACCTGACAACTCGTCCAAACTTTCTGACACGCCTCGTGGGCTCTGTCCATTGCTGATGGAGTGTGAGTGATCCTTTTTTTCCGGTGCTGATTGCACATTTTCTCCCCACAAGTGCCATTCCTCCATGCAGCGGCCCAGATGTCGCCTTCAAGCTCAGCATCCCCCCCAAGTTGAGATTGATATATCTGAATTTTTAGAAATCCTACGAGCCATCGGAGACGTTGGGCTTGACTTTACTGATCGCTGGAATCGCTTGTGTTGCCGAAAATCGGCTTTGGAAGGCACTCAGAAGTCATCCAACATCTTCCCATCAAATCATCTCGTCGTCCCTCCTTGTCATCGGATCCATCTTATATTGTTCATTGTTCATCTCAGAAACCTTTTTCACACTTTTTTTCGGTGTTTTCTGAATCGCAGGACTTCATATTTACTGACCCTTGTGTTGGTTTTGTGCTGGACCCTTCCCGTGGCGTACCTTGCTGACGCTTGTCTTTTCAGCCTCCGCTATCCTCGCCCAACCACCACCACCTTCAATATCCGAGCAATCCATAGCCTCTGAAGGCGCAGTGGAGCGCTCCGAGGCCGTCATGGAGAACGGCACCAAGTATTCCGACAGTGATAGCGAATTGTCCGAGCCTGCAGAACCTCTCGCTGCCGGAGCCTCGCCGCCTCGAGTCGATATCGACGCCGATGAAGAAAACCTTCCCGGTCATGATGAAACCAGTTCAGATGAGCCTGACGCCGAAGGAGACGCCGATTATGAGATGGACATGTCGATGCAGTTGAACAGCACAAAGTCTGAAGAGAACGATTCCTCATCCGATGAATCCATCAGACCTGCCAAAAGAAAGGCACATCCTGTTGACGAAGAAGATTTTATTCGAAACAATCCAGAAATGTACGGTCTGAGGCGAAGTGGACGAGCCCGGCCTGTTCCCAATATGGCAGAGTCATCCGACGATGAAGATTCGGAATCAGACATCGCTCCCCGTCCCCGAAAACGTATGCGACATGTCTCTCAGCGCTCATCGAACCAACCTACACCGGTTGTCGAGTCTCCTTCGGATTCTGATGATGATTCAGATGCGTATGGTGGTCGACGGGCAAGAATAACCAAGAAACAACGCCGAAGATTCCTGCAATCCGCTGAAAACCTCACACCTGCCCATGCCGAGATACGATTCTCGACACGAAGAGCCGCGAAAGTCTCTACATATAATGAAGATGACGATGATGACATTTTTGAAGAGGATGATCCTGAAACTCTGACGCCCAATTACTGGACCAATGGCCAAGAAGACAACTCGCCGGCCATCGATATTGTCCTAAACCATCGCCTCAAGGCCGGTGTCACCGCACCATCGCCCTCAAAGGACGATTACGAGTTCCTCATCAAATGGCAGCAGAAAGCCTACTATCATGCTACCTGGGAGACGGTCGAGTCTCTGTCTGGCGTGAAGAGTGTGCGACGGTTGGACAATTATGTCAAGAAGACCTTGATGGAAGATATTCGCATCGTCAACGAACCGGACATTGCGCCGGAAGACAAGGAGAAATGGATTTTGGATCGAGAACAATATATCGATGCTTTAGAAGACTTCAAGAAGGTTGAAAGAGTTATTGGTGACCAAGACGGTGAAGAAGGGACCGAGTACTACGTCAAATGGAAGGGTCTCTTTTACGATCAAGCAACATGGGAGCCATCAAGTCTGGTGAGCCAGATTGCACAGAATGAGATTGATCGATATATCAATCGTCGTCGAGAGGAATTCAAGTCTAATACCATTGAAAGCAATCCCGTGTCTCGATCACCATTCCAACCAGTTCGCGAACAGCCCTCTTACATTCAGAATGGCACTCTCCGAGACTTCCAGATGACCGGATTGAACTTCCTCGCATATAATTGGGTCAAAGGAAAGAATGTCGTCCTTGCAGACGAGATGGGTCTTGGAAAGACTGTCCAAACTGTGGCATTCTTGAGCTGGCTCAGACACAATCGTGGCCAGCAAGGCCCTTTTCTGGTCGCCGTTCCACTTTCAACAATGCCGTCCTGGGCCGACACATTTGACGTGTGGGCACCCGACATAAACTACGTTGTCTACAATGGGAACCAGAATGCTCGCAACATCATCCGGGACTATGAGCTCTTGCCCGATGGAAGCTTCCGTCATCCTCGCTTCCATGTTCTGCTCACAACCTACGAGTATGTGTTGCAGGATGCTCCATTCTTGAGTCAGATCAAATGGCAATTCATGGCTGTTGATGAAGCTCACCGTCTCAAAAATCGAGATTCTCAATTATATGACCGCTTGCGAGAATTCAAAGCTCCTGCTAGACTTCTCATCACCGGCACACCTGTCCAAAACAACCTTGGCGAGCTCTCAGCTTTGTTCGATTTTTTGAACCCGGGTGTTGTGAACATTGATGAGAACATGGACTTGACCAATGAAGAAGCAAGTGCGAAGATTGCTCAGCTCACCGAAGACATTAAGCCTTACATGCTTCGAAGAACCAAACAGAAAGTCGAAAAGGATCTACCCCCAAAGACAGAAAAGATCATCCGTGTCGAACTGTCAGACATTCAACTTGAGTACTACAAGAACATTCTGACCAAGAACTATGCGGCGCTCAACCAGGGAGCCAAAGGTCAGAAGCAATCTCTCCTCAACATCATGATGGAGTTGAAGAAAGCCAGCAATCATCCTTTCATGTTTCCCAGTGCAGAGGAACGCCTTGTCCCCGAGGGCTCTCGGCGAGATGAAGTCCTCCGTGCACTCGTCACGAGTAGTGGTAAGATGATGCTTCTCGATCAACTTCTTACTAAACTCAAACGTGATGGTCACCGTGTCTTAATTTTCAGTCAAATGGTCAAGATGCTTGATATTCTTGGAGACTACATGGATTATCGCGGTCATGCTTATCAACGCCTTGATGGCACCATTGCTGCCGCTCCTCGACGAATTGCCATCGATCATTTTAATGCTCCAGACAGCACCGACTTCTGTTTCTTACTCTCTACCCGAGCGGGTGGCTTAGGCATTAACCTCATGACTGCAGATACTGTCATCATCTTCGACTCCGACTGGAATCCACAGGCTGATCTTCAAGCAATGGCTCGAGCTCACAGAATCGGACAACTCAAGCCTGTCAGTGTCTATCGACTGGTGTCCAAGGAGACTGTGGAAGAAGAAATCCTTGAGCGTGCTCGCAACAAGCTAATGTTGGAATTTTTGACCATTCAACGAGGCGTCACCGACAAAGAGACTCAGGCTCGACGCAATGCATTGGTTGGCGAACCCGGCAGTTCGAGCGAAATCTCCAGAATCCTCAAGAAGCGTGGCCAGAAAATGTTTGAACAAACCGACAACCAGAAAAAACTGGAGGAACTCGATCTCGATGCTATGCTCAACAATGCTGAAGACTACAAAGTTGAACAACCCGATGGCACTGATGCCGACGGCGGCGAAGAATTTCTCCGAAGTTTTGACTTCGTCGATGTCAAGGTTGACGAATTGTCCTGGGACGACATTATTCCCAAAGACCAACTGGAAGAAATTAAAGCCGAAGAACAACGAAAAGCCGAAGAGAGGTATCTCGCAGAAGTCATTGAGCAGAACAAACCTCGTGTTCGCAACCATCAAGCTGATAACCGTGAAGCACGCAAGGCCAGACGACAGGAACAACGACAGAAAGAGATTGATTCGGACAGTGAATCCGAAGACAATCCTAAATCTGACCCTGCACGTCCACTCAGTGAGCGAGAATACAGATATCTCATTAAAGGTCACCTCCGCTATGGTTCAATCGATGATCGTCAAGAAGAATTCTTGGCCGAAGCCCGCCTCCGAGGCAGAGACCTAAATGTTGTCAAAGCAGCTATGAAAGAGGTCTGGGACAAGTCGGCTGAATTGTACAAGGAGGAGCAGAATCGCATGGCCGAATTGGAGCGCACATCCAATCGACCGATCACCAAGAAAGATAAGAAAGCAGTTTTGTTCGAACTTCATGGTGTGAAACGTATCAATGCTGAGACCATCCTTGAACGACCGGGTGAAATGCGACTCCTTCGAGAAGTCACCTCGAAAGATCCCGACTTCAAATCATTCCGCATTCCCGAAGCCACCAAGAACGCTGGATATACGTGTTCTTGGGGCGCCAGGGAGGATGGGATGCTCTGCGTGGGGATTGCTCGACATGGGTACGGTGCATGGGAAAAGATTCGTGATGATCCCGATCTCGGCCTCAAGGATAAATTCTTCCTGGAGGAGCATCGTGTGGACAAGAAGGCCGAACGTGAGAGACTGGATGACAAGAATGCCAAATCTCCGGGCGCAGTTCACCTTGTCAGACGCGCTGATTATCTCATCTCGGTTTTGAAGAGCAAGTTTGGAAACGACCCAGCCGCAAAGCGCGCCGTCGAGAATCATCATCGCAATAACAAGAAGCACCATTCCGAGAAGTCCGTGAAACCTGGATCTCCAGCTCCGGCGACACACCGCAAAGCACATCGCGACTCGGAGAAGCCTCGACATCGAACCATCAGTCAAACACACCGTGACAGCTCCGAGAGATATGGGACGCCCAAGTCTGAAACTCGTCACAGTCATCCAAAACATGAGGAAAGCAAAGAGCATAAAGAGCGCAAACATCGTGATGACCACAGCCATTCTTCGCATCATAGACATGGAAGTGACCACAGACGGAGTGAGAACCCTGCGAATGGTACTTCCAGCGACATCGATCCTCTCATAGGGATGCTGTTCAGACCTGTTAGGGATAGTTTGAAGCAGATCAAGGCCACAACGAAGACCGCCATACCAGATGGACAGCAACGAGCCAATGAGTTGAGGGCTCTACTGAAGCAGATCGGCAATTTCATTACTGAACAAGTCGCTGAATTGGACGATAATCATGCATCGGTCGAAAAGCGCTTCTGGTAAATATGATGATGACGCTCATTTGAACAATCCTGACTAACGTTTCACAGGGATTATGCTGCCACTTATTGGCCGAACAAAGGCATCAAGGGATCAGAACTGCAAAACATTCATGGCAAAATCGTGGCATCCGATAACAAGCTTGCAGGTGAAGGTTCACCGAATGACGATTCCAACAACGTCGACGGTCGAGCGAATGGCTCATATCAGACGTCCCCACCGCGCTGATGCCAGCACGAAACGAGAAGTCAACAAATTCGCCTTCGTTGTGATGCTGTGAAATATCCATTTGTCAGTGGCCAGAGTTTCACGTGCCTTGTCGTGTTCATTCCTACATTTAAAGCTGGAAAAACTTCTCAAGAAAATTCTGTTCCGACTACATTCTTTTCAACTATGAAACTCTACAACCAAAGAACAAAATTCAGAATTGTGAACATTTTAGCGACGGCATTAAAAGGTGACAATTATGGGATTTGCACGCGTGTGAAGCTGGATTTGGGACACCCCGAGAGTGCTGAGAACTAGACGCAGCATGGAGAGGGTGTGTCCTTTTACTACATTTTGCCTGCGGCCCTAGCATACGGAGTTTTGGTAAGCGGGGTGAACTGGGTGAATTTCTCATTGAGCGATTGCGTGAGCATGGAGCCTTGGAGTTGAACTGGTGCTTTGCGAGGCTTGGACTGGAGTAAGATCTAGCAAAAGATGACGGCCTAGGTCTGTTGTAAGATGAGCTAGGGGGAAAAAGGGAACCCATTGCGGACGTGTTTAGGGATGATTGAGGAAGACATTGAACGCGAGGAACCTGAGCCGACCTCAATACACACTGATCATTGTTCCAGAGGATTGATTCATCAATAGGAATTGATTGGGCTGACGAACGGTGAGGGACTAGTATGCGATACTAATAGACGACGACGTGTTCTTGAATCGCAAAAGCCACCAAAATTCGTACTTGTACCTCAAATGGTATTTGAAATCAGGTACAACTTTTCTTCTGCCTTAGCATTTGCTGATGGAGTACTTGTGCTCTTCCTCTCACAAGTTACTGTGGCTGTTACTGATACCAAGTCTTCGTATTGGCTTTCTTCCGTCATCCCACCTGGTCACTGGTACCTATCAGCAAGCCGAGAACTGCCATGCTGAACGTGCCCAGTTACCAAGATACATGGTAGCTAGCATGTGGTCTTGTTTCACAATCCCTCAGCCAAATGCATCGAGCCACTTCCAACGTCACCGCAATTTATTTTCAGTGAATAGTCCTGCAGGGAGGTCGTCATTTCTTCATCCTCTTAGGCCCTCTTAGTACCTTCTCGGTGATTGCAAATACACTCTTTTACTGCCTGGTTATTCACGTCCCTCGGCCAATACTATCAAGATACGTCCACAAACAGATCAAACATGGAGCCTCCTGCCATGGATCCCGAAATTCCTACCTCCAGATCTCGAATTGCCATCCTCGGCGCTGGGTCTGTCGGTTCTGCCATTGCCCTCTGCCTGATCCTCAACCCGGTGGCAAGCGAGGTTCTTCTAGTTGATCTGAACATTGCGCTACGAGACGCTCAAGTTAAGGATCTTGGAGATGCTACGACTTACCACGGAGCTGTCGGGTCCGTTCGCTTTTCATTCCCCTCTCACAAGCATTAACCAAGGGTACAGTGGTGGTGGAGTGAGAATCCGATCGGGAACTCATAAAGAGGCTGGACAGTGCGACATTGTCGTCATCAGCGCTGGGGCGAAGCAGAGACATGGTATGCTCTCGGTCCCACATCTTGTTCACACCGTCATGCTCTTACACGGACACTCTCTAGGTGAATCGCGCACTGACCTTCTCGGTCGCAACCTTGCTATCCTGAGATCTGCCACCAACGACATGAAGCCATTCCGAGAGGACACTGTCATCCTCCTGGTCGCGAATCCCGTGGACGTACTAACCTACTTCGCCCAAAAGTACTCCGGCTTGCCCAAAGGACAAGTCATCGGAAGCGGGACCTTCCTCGACAGCGCCAGGTTGAGGGGTATTTTGGCAGACAAGATTGGGGTTGATGCTGGCAGTGTTGATGCATACGTGCTCGGTGAACATGGAGAATCTCAAATGGTGGGCAACCCGACCGCATGAAGTTTCTTGCACTAACCAGATCCGCCAGGTCGCCTGGTCTTGCATTACTATCGGTGCTGTTCCGCTGGATCAATGTTTACCACCTAATACCGCCATCAATCGTAAGGGGATTGCAGCCGAGACCAAGGACAAAGCCGCCAAAATCATCGAAGCTAAAGGAGCCACCGCCTATGGCATTGGTGCTCTTAGCGCAAGCATCTGCAAGTCCATTCTCTTTGATCAACGAAATGTCCGTCCCATCTCTCACTGGGTTGAAGAGCTCGGTTGCTGTTTGAGCTTGCCCGTCGTGCTTGGACGGCGAGGAATCGTGAGGTCTCTGAACATGCCATTGAATCAAGAAGAGAAGAACATGTTGGCCAAAAGCGCTGATGCCCTGAGAGGGTTCATAGCCGAGGCGCAAAAGGCCCAGAGCGAGTGAAGGCCGCAGCGATCCTAGAGACGAGGGGATAGTTGACCTGACAATTCTTAGAGCACCGTAGGATATATTCATCCAAGGAAATGACTCAATCTGTGACACTTGGGGTAGTGACACTGGTGGTAAATCCTGATTGCTGACTTTAAATGATGCAGCACACCAGGGGCGGCATGACCATCTTTTTCTTTTTTTGGCCAGGCTTGGCATTGCTCCTCCGCGGATAGCCTGCAAGAAAGACGGTAGCGAATTCATTTCATATCCTGTTCACCTTTCTATATCAGGCCTTGTTTCCCATCTAGCTGTTCTTCTCAATACCCTTCTTTACATTTCGGACTCCGAATTCGCCTGTGATAGCTCAACCTATCTATCATAGCATCTCATCCGACGGTACGGAGACCGCGTACGTTGACCATCCCATCCTTTTGGCGCGACGATGGATTCTTCCAGAGGCCCGCCACGGGTCAAGAACAAGGCCCCTGCGCCTCAACAGATATCCGCCGAACAACTCCTCCGCGAAGCTGTGGATAGACAGGAGCCTGGCCTACAGGCACCCACTCAACGGTTCGCCGATCTCGAAGAACTCCATGAATTCCAGGGTCGCAAGCGCAAAGAGTTTGAAGACTACGTCCGTCGTAACAGGATTAATATGAACAATTGGATGCGATATGCTCAATGGGAATTGGAACAGAAGGAATATCGGCGAGCCAGATCCATTTTTGAACGGGCGTTGGATGTCGACAGTACGAGTGTCGTCCTATGGATCCGGTACATCGAGGCGGAGATGAAGACGAGAAACATCAATCACGCCAGAAATTTGTTAGACAGAGCAGTCACGATTCTACCCCGAGTTGACAAACTCTGGTACAAGTATGTCTACATGGAAGAGACGTTGGGCAACGTTCCGGGGACAAGACAAGTCTTCGAGCGATGGATGAGCTGGGAACCCGACGAGGCAGCTTGGCTGGCGTACATAAAGCTGGAGAAGAGATATGGCGAATATGACAGGGCGCGGGCCGTATTCGAACGCTTCACTATCGTTCATCCAGAGCCACGAAATTGGATCCGGTGGGCAAAGTTCGAAGAGGAGAATGGGACTAGCCAACTGGTTCGAGATGTGTTTGGCGTTGCAATTGAGACCTTGGGCGACGACTTTATGGACGAAAAGCTCTTCTTTGCGTATGCAAGGTATGAAGCCAAGCTCAAGGAGTATGAGAGGGCGCGGGCGATCTACAAATACGCCTTGGACAGACTCCCGCGTTCTCGGTCTACAGCACTCCACAAATCCTACACGCAATTTGAGAAACAATTCGGTAGCCGGGAAGGCGTGGAAGACGTCATTCTCGCCAAGCGGCGTGTGCAGTATGAGGAACAGTTGAAGAGCAATCCCCGGAATTACGACATCTGGTTTGATTTTGCCCGGCTGGAGGAAACCGGGGGAGATGTTGAACGTGTCCGCGATGTATACGAACGAGCAATTGCGCAAGTCCCTCCTTCGCAAGAAAAGCGGCACTGGCGGAGATACATCTACCTCTGGATCTTTTATGCCTTGTGGGAGGAAATGACGAGCAAAGACGTGGAGAGGGCGAGGCAGGTATACGAAGAATGCCTCAAACTGATTCCACACAAGAAATGGACGTTTGCCAAAATTTGGATCATGAAGGCGCAATTTGAGGTCCGTCAAATGCAGTTGCAGGCGGCGAGAAAGACTCTGGGGCAAGCCATTGGCATGTGCCCCAAGGACAAATTGTTCCGAGGATACATCGAACTGGAAAAACAGTTATTTGAATTTGTGCGGTGTCGAAAGCTGTTCGAAAAGCAAATTGAGTGGAACCCGTCCAACAGTCAGGCTTGGATTCAGTTCGCCGAGCTCGAGCGGGGACTGGATGATCTGGATCGAGCGAGGGCTATTTTCGAATTGGGGATTGAACAGCCGACCCTTGACATGCCTGAGCTGGTATGGAAAGCATACATTGACTTCGAGGAGTATGAAGAAGAATACGATCGGGGTCGAGCATTGTATGAGAGACTCCTACGCAAAACGGACCACGTCAAAGTCTGGATCAATTATGCGCGATTTGAAATTAACGTGCCGGACCCCAACGAGCCGGAGAGGGGAGAGGATGACGAACAACGGGTGAGCGAGGAAGCGAAGAGGCGGGCACGTAAGATCTTCGAGCGAGCTCATGAAGTGTTCAAGTCGAAGGAAATGAAGGAAGAACGAGTAGACTTGTTGAACGCGTGGCGATCGTTTGAGCAGACGCATGGATCTGCGGACGACATTGAGAAGATCGAGAAACAGATGCCTCGTCGGGTGAAGAAGAGGAGAAAGGTTGAAGAGGATCGATTCGAGGAGTACGTTGACTACGTGTTCCCTGCAGACGACGAAAGTGCAGCTAGGATGTCCAAGTTGTTACAGATGGCCCATGCCTGGAAGGCGAAACAGCAAGCGAACGGAGCTGGAGAGTGAAGAGTTCCAAAATATGGAATATGGAACGCAAGAAGGTGGAGGTGAGGCTCCGAAGGTCAGAAGGAGAGATGACATACCCCATACTTCCATACTAAAGAGTGACAGGGGGTGTATTCCGTCTGAAAGGCTCGCAAGTTAATTTAATTCCCGGCAGCCTCGTAAGTTATGGAGGGGATGATCTCAATCAACTGCAGCAGATCGACGTCATACAAGACTACAAAAATGTAATAGACGACGAACATACATGGGATGTATGAAGAGTGACAGGTGGAATGTCGCGTCCTCCTAACTGAATGGTCAGAGTAGCAGTGTTTGCTTTTTTTTTTTTTCACGTCCTCCGCCCTCCCTATGTCCAAGGTACATACTGTGCCTGGTATGTGTGACCGCGAAACCACTGTACCATCATCTGCTCACCCGAAAATGGTTATTCATGACATAATACCCGATGGCGCATACTGTATGTCTCTCGAACGGGCACCTTCGCGGCCCCTGATTAGGTGTCATTTTGCTCTAGCGCCACTCTTGGGTGGGCGAGACTACGTGGCGACCGTTCCGTACCTGCACAAGCGGCCTTATTTCTGGGCCAATCTCCGCAGCTTTTGTCAGTTCTCTTCATGCGCCCAAAACAAACCTTGGAGCATGAAACATCAAGCGATCCCCGCTCCCTCTGAGAGGTCCCCCTGTCACACATCCTGTCCTCTCGTCACTCCAACGAGACCGCATTCCGACACCTGGGTATCCTGTCTGTATGACTGCGAGAGTCGGGGTGCAAATGCGATGCATGGGTTGAACAAGCAGATAGAACAGAGCAAATCCGAGTCTTCCAATCGATGAACACATCCGGCCACAGGGTCCATACTCTGCAGAAAAACATGGTTACAGCACAGTAGCCTCAAATCACTAGCTGCTCCTCCGCATCTTGGAAGTTGGGCGGCATCGGCGCCCTCGCTTCACCACCTGCTCCCGCGAGTCGCCGTCACAAACCTCCCCCTTCACACCTCCGTCTCTTCTCCTCTTTTCCTTTCTCTCTATTTGCTCATTCTGAGCTCGACAGAACTTCCACCCTTCTCCATCGCCGTGAAGCTGAAGAGTGATCCCCATTCAAGATTCGTTTTCATCCACATATTGACGACTTTGCCATTTCCTTTTTGGCCTCATTGTCCCGTCGCAACAACGGCTCACCTCGCCCTCTGTCAGCAATCAAAAAGCTTCTTACCGCTGAAGTTGACATTGAATCTATCCTCTCATCTACGTCCATCTCATCTATCGACTTTTGCGTCACTCAATTTCAATAGTCGGTTCTCGACGCCGCAACCAGTGGGTCCAAGCTCAAGTCAGTTCGACGTCCAAGCCACCCTTTTGTCGCTGAAGAAACACACACTTTGACCATTGCGCCAAAGACTGCGATTGTACACTTGCCTTTGGGCCCATCTGTTTAATCGAATCTAGGTCACACAGTGGGACATTTGGCACGGCAACCGTTTCATTCGCTTGGTTGACTACACCCATTACTTCCTCGACGTCTCATCCAACTTATTCCACAGACATCTACGGCAAGGAGGAAACTGGGTGATCTATGTGCAAGAGAATGCATGTCCAGTCCTGACGAACATCTGCGCCAACTTGTGGTGACAACAAACGCCGTTGGAGATGTCAGCGCCCAAACCACCGGTTGCACTTAAAGACCATTGCTCCATCATTCACGATGGAGTTATCTATGTTTACTCGCCCGACGCCTTTCAGACTCTGGAATTAAAAGAGGGGGCTGAATGGAAACAAGAGCGCAATGGAGTATCAGTCACAGGAGCCGTTTGTGTGAAGGGTGGGTTGGATGGCAACAATTCCAGGCCAGCGCTCTATGTCGTTGGTGGCTCTGCGAACCAATCCTCTTCCGACTATCCAGGCTTGCAACGCTTCTCAATCGCCGATAAATCCTGGCAGACCATCACTCCTGTCGTCCCCGTCACTCAATATCGCCAGAATCACGGAGCCGCATATATGAATGCTTCATCATCGCTCGTGGTATATGGAGGATCACAAGACGGTTATACGGGTCCATCGTCGGAGACATTTACACTGGAGATGTACCCGCCGTATCGAGTGCTGGCGTACAGCTCCACGGCACCCCCCACAGTGAAGCCTTTTATGCTCCCATGGACTGACAATCGTGCCTTGATGATCGGGGGGAGCTCTACCAACGTCAATATTTTCACTTTTGGCCCAACCGATGGCTGGCAGGACCTGGGACTGTCGCTTCCCAATCCACTTCCTAATTACTCCGTTGCGCAGTCCGCTTTATTCACCCTGGACGACAGCAGCAAGATCCTGCAAACATTTGATTTGGGCCAGTCCCCACCGACCGTGACGACAAATGTTCTGTTGAACCCGGGTGGACTCCCTGCAAGTTTTGGCGAGACGGTGGGAGGGAGCAACGCCACCGCAGCCCCCTCACCCGTATCTTCTGGTTCATCCAAATCCAAAAGAGCAGTGTTTCTAAATGATTATCCGACGTACAACGATACTTTGGCGCCTTCGGTCACACGAACTGGATTTGATATAGCACAAGGAGATGATGGTCTGGTGGCGTTTATTGGAGGTAATGATAAGGACCCAGTCGTGTTTTTTAATCAGTCCGACAATGGCTGGATCGCTGCGACTCAATTATTGGGAGAGCAACAGGCACCATTGGCCACGCCGTCAAGTAGTGGGTCAGCTCCGTTCCCCAATTCCTCGACAACCGGCACTACTCCAGCCTCGTCTGGCTCATCAGATAAGAGTCGGGACCTAACAGTTCTCGGGGCCGTCCTTGGCGGCATCTGTGGTGCAGCGGCCATCCTCATCATCCTCCTTCTTTGGATGAGGACGGTTCGCCGAAAACGGGAACAAGCACAGAAACAAATGGACAATCCAGATGACAAGGGAAGCGGCGAGTACAATTATGAGGAACGAGGCTTACATCCTCTTTCGAAAGCGGGGCAGCCAATGGGAAGAAGTCCGGTGCCTTCGGCGGTCATATCAGAAGCCGACAGCACTGCCATGTTTGGTGGAAAACCAGATCCGAAATACCTGATCCGACGGGTTTCTTTAGATCGAGCACAACCAGGATTCCGTGGGTCCGGTATAGGATTTGGACAAGCCATGTTCAAGCGAGAAAAAGGTCGACTGAACATTTCCAAGCCGATGATGCCAGTTCTCGGTGATGACAAGGAGAGGCCCAGTATTGAACTTGGCAAGGCTACCCCCGCTCAACCAGCGGCAGTCAAAGCGGGACCGGCAAGAAAAGCATCCCAGCGCAAGACAGACGAAGGCTGGGGGAAGTACTTCCAAGGCGAAGCGGGTTCGGGCAACAGAACAACTTTCATATCTCGGAGCTCAGGCGCCACTACCAGAGGAAAAAGTGAATTTTGGCCAGGCTCAGGAGTGCCGGAAAATGCTCCGCGATCCACCAGACTCGTTCTTCGAGACAGCGTTGGCAATCCTCTGGAAGCGCAGAATGTTGCGGCTGGAAGTCCCAGTCTGGAACATGGACCTGCAAACCCCCAATCGAAAGGACTTCAAGCAGCCCAAGGAATCCCGGCGCGGATCTCCCACGCGAGTTCGATAACAACTACAAACTCAGATGACGATGATTACGAAGATGACCGGATTGACGGAGCATTTTCGAGTGGCGTCCCCGCCAGTGTGCGAGATATGCCATGGACACCAGTAGGCAATACGTGGTCCGGACCTCCTCAGCGTCCGTTGGTTCTTCCGGGCAGTTATGTGACGGCTCAGGGACGCACTTCAACGACGGCATCGTCGAACGAGATGAGTGATAACTCTGCACGGCAGGATTCGTCGATACCGTCGTTTCCCATGCCCAACTCAATTCGATCAACACAGCCCGGCGGAGGAAGTGCTGCCATGGGGAATGCGGGCGCCAGTCGCGCAATGGCTGGAGTGAGTTCGTCTGAGAACGAGGCTCGCGATTATTTCAGCCATGTACGGGCACGGAGCAAGACTCCAGACAACAGTGACATGTCGTGGCTTAACCTAGGAACGCCGACTCGGTGACTCTCGAACCGGTTCTCGCAGATGCTCTACCAGTTCCTGCTTGACGACGTTGCTCGCAAACGACCAGGACACAAATCGCGGGCTGATCAGGTAGACTCTGTCGAGGGCCCAAGTGATGATAGAAGGAAGAAATCCAATCTCTTCCGAACTCGATCCACCCCTCGCAGGACACACGCTTTCCACTATCCGCTCCAGGCCGTTAGACGAGAGCCATGGGAAGATGAAGGGGTTCCTGAATCACCAACGCTGCCTCCACCAACGGTAGCACGGGATTCATCGAGACACTCGGAGCCTCGAGACAGCAGACGGCTAACGATGTGAGAGAAATGGCGAAGGCGGATTTGACATGATGAAATTGCCACTGTCACGGTCTCCTTTTCTCATTCGCGAAACGAACGATGATGTTGATAATGCCTTCAAGGGATATCACCGAGTGTATTTGTATGCCTGAGGAAATGGATAATCTAATGATATCGTACCTACCGCATATGGTAGTATGTAATAGAGTGCTCTCCAAGACGAAAGACAAAATGTTTCCATCCGTCAGTCTTTGACTTTTGCTCAATTTTTTCTCCGCTTGTTGTTCCATGGTTGTTGAAGTGTTGGCAATGAGACGTAGTCAGGGAGCACGAATCAAGAGCTCGGGATTAAGCTCGTGAAGGACGGGAGTGGTAGAAGAAGTGGGATAGAGTTGAGACATAGTTGAGAAGTGCTTTCGGTCCAGCGTGGACGATAGTGGATCAGTCATGTTGCCAGACAGGACGCACGCACAAATACAATGTGGAAAAGAGGGAGGCGAAAAAGAGGAAATATCGCATTGAGTGGAGAAGATTTGAAATGTTCGTGATTGAGCCTAGAGTGCATCATGCAAGTAAAGATTTATGGGATGACGGACACCCCAGAATTGATGCACGTGTATAAGTGGACAAGTATAAGACAGGTCACCAGGCGACCATGAAATAGATTGGAGCCTGAGGCACCGGTGGGAGAGGAACATATCCTCCCTCATATCGTCGATATGTATCTGACGTTATCAGCCTTTTGTACACAGCCCGGTTCGCCGTGATCACCCGTTCTCGTATACAGGACTCCGTCTGTTTATCTACAGCCGAACTGAACTACTCTCGTCTGCTTTTTCCGAGAGATAACAGCAGATTCCGATCGCGATCCCGACCGATTCCCTAGCAAAATCCGTAAATCACGTCTGAATTGCCTGACTGTCCTGCATAATACATGGATTGACGCTAGCAGCCAGTGACAATACCATGTGCCCATCAGCGTCACCAATCATTGGCAGTGTGATGATGAGTCCCCGCAGTAGAATGCCTTTCCTCCAGCCTGTCAGTGTGAAGGCCGGGCCACGAGTCACCAAATCGGCCCTCCGAGAAGCCCAGGACCAAAAACCTAAAAGGAAGTTTTTTGGCTTTGCAGGTAAGTGCATGAACCGCCCTTCGAGGCATTGCCCCAGTCTCGGGTTCCGGCTCCAGGGCCACGTCCTCGTTTCTCGCGCTTGTCCAGGCCACGGGCACCGGGCTTGTACCTTCGCCCATGCAGCGAGAACTTTCTCCCTCCTCGCCGTCTTTGTAAACCACTCATCTTCTCACACTGCATCCGATCCTCCTACATACCTGCCAATCAGCAAACCTGCACCCCCCGCTTTTGTTTTATCAGAACCTCCATTCTCCCCAAGCTTCCTTTCTTTCTCTTCTTACCATCTTCCTCATTCAAAGGGAAGATATCGCTGTCAGAGACACCGTCGAGGTCGTCTCTATCGCCACCCACGCACCTACTTCAGCTCCCACGCCTGCGTCGCCGCCTTTGGCTGCTCGACCTATTTGCGCAACCTTGCCAACCAGCACCAAACACTCCGAAACTCATCACGCTGTCTTTGCTTCTTCTGCCAGAATCCCGCCGCGTGGTGAGTCATTCATCTCCGTTGACAAATCCGTATCACCACCACACCGACGCGTCTATCGCGACATCTCTGTTCGTCTCGCTGACTCATTACCTACCAGCTGCTAGGCTATTTCACACGATTCCCGTTTCAGAACAGCAGAATATGGCTCCTACACCTGTTTCGGCCCTTGGTATGGCCCTCAACGGCAAGTCCGCATCTGTCGATATTCCCAAGCCTCGTGATGCAGCCGCCCGCCATGGCCGGGACACCTTCAATGTTGCACCGGCCGCATCCTCCAAGAAGCATCCTGCCACCTTGCCCACTCCTCCCAACAGCATCTCTCCAAACCTTCCGCCGCATGGCCGTCGAGGTAGTAACCAGCATGGTCCCGTGTCGCCAAAGAGCGCTCAGCTGGACTCGGATATTGACCTGCAAGACGCTGCCGATAAGCCACAACCCGCGACACTGAACGCTGAGGCATTGGACAGCCTTTCTGAATTGGACAGTGCAGGTGCCATCACTCCGAACATGCTTGCCAAACATCACCTCCCCGAGATACTACTGTCTTCAGGCCCCTTGGCCATCCGACACATCATGGGATATCTGACAACCTCCGTGCCGGGCTTCTCGCGCATCACTTCGGCCAAAGCCCGTCGCTTGGTGGTGGCTGCGCTTGAAGGCAAAGGCGGGGGCCCGGATGCCTGCCGTGATGGCGATGTCATTTTTGAAAAGGTCGGTTGGGGAAGATGGGACGCTCGCATCAAAGGGCAACCTCCTCGCGAGCGTCGCGGTTCTGCTATCACTCCCCCGGGGAGTCTACCGTCTTCGTACACGCAAACGGGGCTTCAGGTTCCTGCCCAACGCTCCTGGCGGACTGGCTCCGAGAACCTGGGAACCAGCTATACCGGCAATTCCGCCGTATTCTCTCATTCGGAGATGGGGTCCGAGGATCAAGATATGCTCGAACATGAAGCCGACAAGATGTCCTTGGACGATATCGATGATAATTATGTGTCTTCCGTCGCTCCCGAGCCTCTTGATGAGGATCTCGGAGACGGCGAGGTGACGGACGAAGAAGACTGGGCTAGCATTGGTGCAGAGGCATTGCGTGCAAGGTCTCTCCCGAACGCGGGCAGATCGGTCTCTGGTCGACTCTACCAGCCGATTGCCACGTATTCCTATCAGCCAAGGTACAGATCCAAGACCCCGGCAGACGTCGCTCACGCCGTTTCGGCCAAACCGATGCCTGTCAGTACTTCTCACGCATTTTCACTACCAAATGGCGCTGGCGTTAACAATTCCCAAGAAAGAGCTGCAATTGAAGCACTCTTGAGTTTGGGGTCGATGTAATAATATGATGATTTTGGAAAGTTCCACCGATATATGGGTCGGTCGAACATGGAGTCGGAGTATTGAGTCCCGGCATTCGACATGACCTTCACTACCTGGATGCGCGGCACTCGTTCACTCCTTGTCTGGTGGCTTGATTTTGCGACTCACCTGCCACTTTGGCGTTCTGGGAAATCCTTTTATCACGACCCTCCTCCACTGACGAACGACTTGATGACCTTGAGCCGCACGGGCTAGGCTGGCTCGGTTGAGTGGATGATCTTTAACTCTTGTTTATGTTTTGTCGACACTTGTGGAAACTGTCACCTCATTGTGATTCTTCACCAACCGACAGCTCGGTTGACATGTCTCTACACAAGGGAATAATGCTTCCATACTACCGGCATACTTCCCCACGGAAGAGACCCCCCCCCTTTTCCAATGATATTTCATATGTAATGCATGTGCTGTCTTTTCATGCTGCACACCAGGCGGACCCCGAATGACCGGGAAGCAGCAAATCGACATGTGTCCGAAGTACCAAGAGAGAGCAAGAGCACAAGACCTGTTTCGCAGAACCTCGATTAACCGGTCATCTTCGTTGATTGTACTGGGATGTTGAGCTGCAACTCTGTCATATTGAGTTATTGCACGGAGTAATAGGTCCTTGGCCAAACACATCTCTATTGTGGATTTTGTCGGTCGCCAATAATTATGGAGCGAATGACCAGCAGGCGCACCACATTATAGCTATTGCTATGTCACCATTTCTTTTGTTCCAGGCAAAGTTTGAAGGATTGAGCCGTGTGGGTTTGAGTTGGGAAGAGAGGGAGCCTGAAGGTCTTCTCGATGTGAGAGATTGAATTTTGATACCCTTCCATGAACACTTCGCATCCTCAGCCAGACGTCGCATCCCAGATTTACTGAAAGGTCAGCTGAGGACAACCGCACAAGAAGGAAGAGAATCAAGAAAGAATGCCTCGGACGGACCAAGGAGGTGGCCTGAGACGGCACTAAGGATAGGTATCTTTGGAAGAGGCGTTTTACTTGATGAGATGTCCCGTCTGTTGTGTAGAAGCCTTTTGATCGATTCGATCCAGGGCTTGGTCACGGTTGGAATGTGATTTGTTCTTCTATCCTACCACTGTCAGACGGATGAGCGGAAGGAGCAGGGAAGGGGAAATGGGTAAGGAGGCAGAGAAAATACATAAATTGCAAAAACATGAGCTAGCGGAGGGAAGATTGATTGACGGTCCACATCTGGAAATCAATTATCAAGAAATGTTCTCCTCAACCCTTCCATCTCTGCAAATCATCAAAGCTTCATTTCCTGCCTGTCGGTATACGACCGCAGCATTCTATGTATTTGTTGAAGAGGCCATACCTCTCTATGGGCCATTCGTTCACTTTTCCATGGTCCCACATGCGTCACCAGTGTCGCTCCGGTAGAAAGCCCAAGAAGCTCTTCTTCGCTTGAGGCTCCAATGTCCCGTATTGGAGTCGACGCGGCCCGCCGCTTCTGGAGTCCAGTAATTTATATGGTGGGTTGTGGATAACGTCTCGGTCAAAGTGTCACAAACGTTCAAGCCAAGTTCGCGTGTCAATAGATTTGAATTTGAGCCCAAGACGTGAAAGGATAGGAGGAAGTGCTTCGCTCCAGTTTAAGCTGGAAGGATGGACGATATCGGAAGTCTTGGTATCGTAACCGGCATCCTGTTCGGTTTGCTATTTCCTTTCGCCGTCGATGTAGAGGGCATTTCTCCAAGCGAGATGTCCATACATCTCTTTGCCACAACATCGACAAGCAATCGGCGCACATTCTCATCCAAGTTATGGAGCGCGCCGATTGTGATAGCACTCTGCAAACATTAGCGGGCTGGCCTCGCTTTTGTTCCGTATTCCTCGTTGTGTATCACCAATAACCTGCCCTATTCGTAGAATCCGCGCAGGGAGGCTCACCTATCTACCTACAAGATGACAGAGGTGCTCTACCACCAGTTTGGACTGGGTGTTCCCCGTGTCTTCCGCAGCTGATACAGGCGCCAGGGTTTCCGTGACGCTATTCCCATCTGTTCGCGTGACCGTGCCCACGTTGGAGCAAAAGTTGAACGATACCAGCTTTGAGTTCTGGGCTTCAAGATATCGAGACATCAGATTATGTGCTCTGGCGATGCAATCGTCAACGACACTCATTCGTTCCAGGTTGAAGTTGGCCGACCAGGCTGAGTGAATTGCAGTAGTGACTTCGAGGACGCCCGAGGATACCATGTCAATTTTAGCGGCGATGTGGGGTCCCCAAAGTGAACCAGTCACGCCTGTCGGGACAACGTGTTCTCCTTCCAGATATGCTGGAGGCTCTCAGGGAAACTATCGAACAGTGAGCAGTACTCCTTTACTGGGAAAAGGGTTATCACCCCCCCCAGAAATTGACAAGGGAACGTGTTGGATCTGTCAATGACGACCTGCATTTGGTTTTCGATCGACTCGTTCACTGGGAGATTCCCATTACCTAGCGCGTACAAGATAACTTGCAAGTTTGGCGATCGTGGCCTGCTCACAAGCAACATTCATGTTACAGACCAACCTCTACACAGCCAGCCGAGGCTGCAATATGGAAAGGTCTACCCTCGCGGGTCATTTCATGGGCTGTGCTGACCTCCCAGACGCCGGGTCTGGCTTACCTGGATCGTCCCGGAAAAAGATGGACTGTGGCCATATTGGAAGGCCTTGCACAGTCCGTTTAAAAGGGAGGCTTTCGACAGGTCGCCTAGCGATACGCCTATTCGATGTGATGTTGCGCCTTCCCAGTGAGGTCTAGCGCGACGTCGCACCGCGGCCTTGGGGCCGTTTGTTCTGCACTTCGCTCAGATAGATTCAATCAATCTCCTCCCCTATGTTGTGTGATCTGGGCAAGGTAATGCTCGACGGGCTTGAGAATCAAAGCCAAAGGAGTGCGGACGGGAAAAGGTCGAAAGAAGACTTACAGTATCACCACGTGATGATACCAAGTATGGGACAGGGCTACTTCTCATCGTGCATACACCGTACCAGGATATCACTCCTCGCTTCCAAGTTATCACACTCGTACACGACATCTCTGATGTTCTGACGCGTCATCTGTCGTGCCATCTTGTCGTGCACAGGGTGTAACTACTACTATGGCAGTCGTGACCTACGCCCGGCCGTAAGGAAGATCATATCCAAGACAGGGTAATGAATGCCCGTGACTTGGGGGCCCAATTTGTTGGACCTTGGATATATAAATAACCCTTGGCGTGCCCGCCAATCACAGCTATCCGATGGCTTTGACGTTACCGCACAGCTTCTACGTAAAATCTACGTAAGGCCAATGTCGGACACTATGATGCCAATCAACGGACGACCCACTGATTGTTGTGCAATCCGGTTTCGTGACGGTAGTGAGAGCACCCGCAAAAAGGAATCAGCAGCGAGGAATGATTCGACATTCAGACAAGATGAGCAAAGTTACAGAGACGAAAGCGACACTGAATGGATGTGGGGAGACGGCATCTTACTAGCTGCCCATGAGCGCGTAAAGGCTGACGAGGCTGTGAAGGGGTAACCCACTGACAATGATCTAAGCAAAAAGTTTGAAACTGTAGGAATAGTCAATCAGTCAATCAGTCAATCAAGTTTGAAACTCGAGGGAATTCCTGAAGAGGGACGCGTGTTTCTCAAAAATCCGTGCTATGACGACCTCATCATTTGCCAGCGTTGATGTGACATTCTTGTTTGGATTGGTGTAATCTGGTATATTGTATTTGTATTACTCCATATCTACTTAAGTGCACGATCCTGCATCACGCAGGGTAGGTGAGCCCAATTATTCATTAAGTCATTGCTCATTGTCGTGGTCTGAAAGTTCGTGTCGCGTGATATCATTCTGTCGTTCTATGCAACCGCATCATGTTGCCGGCAGGGTATGGTCGGTGTCGGGAAAAGACAAGGTCTCCGTAAAGGACAGGATCTCGCAATTTCGTGGACCGGCATTGAAACAGCTCGAAGACGTCTTGTCGTGCAGAACCGCGGAAAAACGCATATCAAGTGCGTCGGGGATCAGCAGCGTATGCACGGTCTTAAGCGGCAGCAAATACGAGGGCGCAAATGCCGATCGATAGGATGAATGGACGCCCCCAAATTCACTCCATTCTGCCGCCATTCCACGTTGGGGGCCCAGTGGGCATGACTTCTTTTTATATTGATGTCCCAACCAGTGACGACTCGAGAATCGGGTGGGAAGAATGCAGAATGCGGCCAAATCAAATGCGCTTGCTATAAATGCTGAGAAGGTGGCCCTGAAGGTGATGACGAGGAGAATCGAGTCTCTCAGGCGCTGGGAGCGGCGTAATGAATTTTGACACCAGGAAGTCCTCTCGCAGCAGCTCGGTATGCAGTAGACGCGGTGGAGGATGACGCAATTTCGTCCGTCGTCGAACAGTCCTTGGCGCCGGCGGCGGTCAACGTCGGTCGCATGGTGGACGGTTCGTTGAAAAAGTCATGGTCGTCGGGGATCTCGCGTGAAAAGCCGCCGCTGAAAAGCAGCCGCATTAAATTTTTGATCATGTTGGGGAGGTTGAGAGGAAGTTGAGGGAAGAGGAAGAATGTACAAGCCGGTACCGAGCAGGTATGTGGACAATTTATTCTCCATGCAGTCATCGATATACGTATTGGTGGGGAGACGTAAACTCTCTCCTCTAGTCGCTCGTCTAGACCCTTGGTATCGGGCTCGGGAGCCAAAATTGCGGGGGTTTGATAGGCAGAAGATGGCGGAATATAGCACTCACAACGCACCATCATTACGTGGCCTCTGGTGGTCGCTGCTGAGAAAACCGGGGGGCTGGTTGCTAGTCGTTCCTTGGAAGTGACAGAGGAAGGGGAAATTACCCACGCGCATCCTGTGACCAAGGGCGTATAAATACGTATCTGTCCTCACAACGGCTGCATCGCAGAGCAGCAGTATGGATTCCTTCCTGCAAGCCAGCAGGGGGCAATTCTCGTGAGAACTACACATATAAGCTTTAGGAGGCGTTGGTCTGGTTGACAGGTTTTGATGACTGAAGATGGCTCAAAGCATTTGTGTCTCGGAGCACGTACCACGTCCCAACGTTTTCTCCGAGTCTCGAGCCGAATGAAGTAGCATGATGTATGATGCCATGTCCTTTTGCATGAGATTGAGCGACTTCTCCGCTCAGCTTCTGTTGTGGGAGCCCCTCCCCCTGAAACAAGATATCGTCGAAGCCTTTTTTCCGGCACCACCACCATTTCGGGCCCGCCGCTAAACCGTTCACATCGAATCTCGATTCTTGATGCTCGATTCACACCAACGAGTCTAGGATGTCTTATAATTAGAGCATGGAGAACACAATCGTCACGGTGAGGCTAGGAGGCTCTTGGAGCTTCTTCGGACGAGGCATTGTATTGAATCTTTGACGTTTGGGGAGTCTCTTTTGAGAACCCTAAAAAGGTTCCCCGATCCTCGGCATTGACCAATTTGATGAATCTTTCCCATTCAGTAGCCCTTACTGGCGCCCGCGATTTCGAAATCCTGCCACAGAGTTTCTCCGAGTCACAAAGCCTCGCTGACTTACCAGGGTAGGGTTTTTATTGTCCACATTCTGGAAGTGAGGTTTGTCCAAGATCGGGTGGGTCGCTTACTGTAGCCTTCGTCCGTGCATGCCACTGTACGAACGACAGGAGACTTTGGTAATCTTGTGCCTGTTTACTTGGCCGCGGGTCGATTAGGTGGACTGATCCAACCTCACCCAGACGCCGTCACGCGGAGCCATGGTGATTCCAATGCTGAAGGTGGTGTCGCCATCTTTCATATCATACCGAGTTTCTTCACCAGGCCAATATACCTTGTCCTTTCGAGGCAGAGCTGAGTTTGGAGCTCCAGTGGGCTCGACGTGGTTGAAACTTTGCAAGAACCGGACAATTATATACGAAACTGTCATCATAGCCATGTTTTCTGTCAATCATGGTTAGCCTCATTGGCCCTGCGATCAGCAGATTCGACTTACTGCCCAGGCAGACCCGTGGACCAAGAATGAAAGGGGCAAAAGCGCCCTCAAAATCGCCTGTGGCGCCCGCCGTGTCTTCTTCCCAACGATCCGGGTTGAATTCACTGGCGTCGTCGCCAAAAATATCTCTTCGATGCTGCAATGCATAGATGTTGAAAGCCACTTTTGTCCCCCTTGGAATTAAGAGTGGACTCTTCCCATCAGGCCCTCCACCCTCCGGAAGGACCGTGTCGACTTTGGCTGTCCGCCCATTCAGGGGAACCACAGGGAAAACTCGGAGTGTTTCATTCAATACGTGGCGTAGGTAAGGGAGAGCTGCGATATCAGCCAGGGATGGCGGCCTCCCTCCCGGCAGACGAGACTCGATCAAGCCACGAAGTTTGCCCATTGACCGTGGATGTCTAACCAGAGCATAGATTACCCAAGAGGCAAACGAAGCTGTGGTGTCTCGACTGGCCAGGAGCAATGCCAGGAGTTGATCTCGCATCACGTTGGTCGATGTTTTTTCTTTGGCAATAAGCGAATGCATAAAGGATATTCCCTTGTTGCTCGACCCGACCATCTCTTTCTCTTTCTGTGCTTGCGCCTCTACCAAATATTTATTGACGAATGCCCTACAGATTCGACACGAGTTTCGAAATTGTGGTGAGTCTCGGAGCCAGTAGAAGTTGATGAGTTGCCCTCGCTGGCCTAACATCCGAAGTGCATGACCTAGAGCTGTGGAGAACTCTCCTGCACTTCCTTTGTTTTGTTCTCCCGACCAGTGCCTCAGGTCCACTAACAACGAGTGGGTAGAGTGCCCGAACACGGTCTCGGTTGCAAAGTCGGTACTCAACTTGAGAAGCACGTCGGCGATATCAATGGGAGCCTCATTGCAGTCTGCGGCCGTGAGTCTCCGAAGAAGGTGTTGAAAATGGATCTCTAATTGAACCAAATCCTGATCGAGGTTTCTTGTGAAGTGTGGCCTGCCTGCAATTCAGTCAGTGGCCTCCGGTTATGACTGAGCCCACAAACCTCAACATTGCCCGAGCTCGTGTCCAGTCCCGTCCGTCTAAAGCAAGGATCCCGTGTCCAATTAAAGGCCGAAAGTTACCAGTGCGATCTGTCCCCAGTTCATATTCTAGACGGTATTGTCAGTCGTGATTCTCCGTCTCCCAGTCTGTCGCATCAACCTTTAAAGCGTTGCTTGCATATGGTTTGGATGTTGGCGGGCGATCTGGTCAAAACCACAAATTGACCATTTACCCGCTGCGTATAAGTATGGCCGTGTTTTTCGAATTCTTGCAACATGAAAGCGGGCAAGCGGCCTGCTCGATCGGCTTTTAGGGTCGGGAACATCCTGGAGCAGGTGAGTCTGAGCATCATCAGGTCGGGGAAAGAAGTATGCAACTTGTCCAATCCCCATGGAGGCCACCATGGGTTGCGCAAATGATTTTGTGGCTGCCGGCAGCCATGGGCAGCAGCAAAGGCTGACCGCTCCTGGAAAGGCTGAAATCAGTACACTGTACGAGACTGCCCTAGTTTGGCGAATCATCGAGGTTGGACATGGGGAAACTTTGAAGCGTGGCACCTGTGATTGTCTGAATTTCTTTATCCATAACGTGGCAATAAGTGCTGCCAGAAGCACACCCAGCATATTCATGATGGACAATGAGGTTTGACGGGGTACCGCGAGTCTTTTTACGCCCGCTACTTGTATTCCCTTGTCGGAGAATATTTTCTGGCCTGAGACAAGACTTTACGCTGTGTAGCCTCAAGGCACGGTGTTATCTCTGAATCGTCAACATTCTTTTCTTGCTCATGACTCCGACAGGTTACACGGGAGGCGAAGCGAGATCTGTCGAGGTAGTAAGTCCGTTAAGTGGCTGAGGCCGTGGCTGATAAAGCGGTTTCGACCCTGGAATCATTTCATCTGATTCTCGCCCGAGGTTCACTGCCAGGCGAACACAGCCACATGCTGTCGAGTTATAATATGTGCTATGAGTGAAAGTCCTCGTCCGGGTCCTGGATCCAGAACAGCAACGATCTTTTTGTGGGAAGCCGATTGCTGAAATTCTTCCGTCTGCCACAACCTCTGCTAATACGTCCTCGAGTTAGGTACCTGGGGTATTTGTCGAAAAAGAGGGGCGCCCTGGTGAGTTCAAGACGTATAGAATCGACGTGATTAGTTGAGTTGAAGCTCGAGAACTCAAGAAAGCCATTCAGATGCTCCGGCGATGCTTGCCTTGCCGTATTCGCTTTTCACCAAACGCCCTACTGGATCTTTGCCTTTGAAATGATTTCTTCAACCAAATGAACCCCAAAAACGTTAAACACCAGTTTGCCATGGCTGTATACCGTCCGGAAAACACCTAAAAATGCCAGAGCTCCTGTACTCCACCCTATGATACCTATAACTCCTAACCACCAAGCCGAGCGCCACGCTGAACCCGATTTCATAACCCATGCCTCATCATACCTCGAACAAAGATTATATATGTGGAACCCACCGGCCCCAGTCCACCTGCTCATATGCAGATTTGGGCATCGACCGCAACGCTAGAAATGATTCGACCAGTACGTACAGCCGACATGCACTGTACGCAATCGCAACCACGATAGACGCCGGAATTCTCCACCAAGGGACAATTTCTCCATCACCAACCCTTCCCTTCTTCGTCCTTCTGTGCGACAAGTACTCCTCAAAGTGATCCATGAAAAACCATGCAACGCAGCAGATGATCATAACGATGGAAGAAATTCGCCACAGCAATTGCTCGATGTCGGTGGCCAGAGGTATGTTCCACGCGGCAGCATGAAGCCCCGCGTAGGCGAGGGTGGTCACTGCCACAACAGCGGTGACTTCTTTCTCCATGATTGGCAATCGATCGTTGCGAATTCGGTGGGAGTTATACGGCTTGCTGCCCCAAAGGTGTCGGTAGCGGTCGGTGAAAGCCGATGTGTAGGTGGGGAGCATGTCGTCGATAATAGTCAATTTGGTATACGGCGCCAGAAGATGGCCATTGACGTCGACGACATGGGCCTTGGGGTGCGCGGCCATGTACTCTTCAAGGAGGTTACGGTGTTTCCCCCCTTTTTCGGTATACGTCAGGTCGATGTCTTCGATGCTCTGATCTGGCATGTCCAACACAACGAAGGTTTGGACGTCATAGGGTTTCCGATACCATGCGATGAAACTCCCCAGAGTACAGACCACAAAACTCAGAGTTGTAATCTCAAGAGTGGTGGTTTCGAGCTTTTGAATGGCTCGAGCAATGACTTGGACGGCAAGCCAACCGACCTGCATGATAGCCAGGAACTTGGCCAAACTGTCAGATTTGCTCCGGTCATTGATCTCGATGGTGGTTATCCTGGGAAGCTCGATGTATCGCTTGCGGACCAGGTGGTTGACGTGTTTGGCGGTGATGATAAAGACAGCTCCGGTGCTGTCCCGGAGGCGGAAGCCCCCCATATTGGCAAAATATGCTGACGATGATTAGACCGCGCCGAATCTCCCAAACATGGAGATATGCTTACCATGGCGGAGAGTCCATCGTTCATCATTCTCCCTCTTTGTCTGTTCCTCGAAGGTTTCAGACCGTCGCAGCTTTGGTCGAGTCATGTCTTTCAATTGAACATCCTCCGTCTCCCCAGTCCCTAGACGAAGAGAGGCACTGTTGACCCTGACTATCGGCCGGGGAGCCCGCTTTTGGTTCAATCTGTCACCGCCTTGAATCCCCAAATCCTCGTCGAGATCAGATAGGATTTCTCTCATTTCGCGCCAGCAGGCACGAGCAAACGACCACTGGCCAGCGGCGAACATCATCACAATCTCTGGGACCATGCAAGAATTACCAACTGCGCGACTGTTAGTATGATAAGCAGCACCGCGCCGGGGATGAACACACCCCATTTGATTCTTCTCAGCCACAAGTCGAGTGCTGTATCAGTATTCGGTGGGGCAGGAACATTGAGGTGCACGGCCGTCCAAACGCAGATGAAGACTAGGAATCGGAAAACCAAGCGAGTCAGTATCTGGATCGCCAGAAATTCGATTTTGATTCGAAAAACGTGTAGGCCCCGTCAAACCGTCGAGGGGTCGGTGAACTGTTCTCACCTGTGAACAAACACGACCAGATTACGTCCATAGTTCCGCGTTGGTTTGGGGACTCCTGCCAGGACACAAAGTCTCCAGTGCGATTGCCATTCTGTCGTGCAATGCTCAAGATGGGAAGTGCCAATATCAGAATGATGGTGTACGCTGTTCTCATCATGTGCGTTTAGAGGATCTTATGGAGGTTACTTGGACGGGCCTTGGGCAACGAAGTAGGAGAACTGGCGCCGTTATATGTCGAGCAGATGGACATGTCGCAAATGAACAGATTGATTCTCAAGGTTGGGAAGGGAGTACCAGTTTCAATCACTGGTAATGATACGAGGGGATGTATGCAATGGAAATACCATCTGGTACAAAGACGCTGGGGCCGCTCGCCAACCCGCGATTGATTGCACTCTGCTCGGAACAATCTATTTCAGCCTTACGCCCGCGAACACACGGATTCAAGGCACAGCCGCCGATTACCGAGAGTCATCGGTTTTGTTGAGAGAAGGTCAATCGATGCGAAAGAATTCAAGGAAAGCGACGGTAGGAAAAAAGGGACGAGGTCGGCGCCGCCGCCTGGGAACAGATAGGTATCCTTGGACCTGAGTCTCGAGCATTTGTAGTATCAAAATCGTCCATGAATCAACCACGGCCGAAGGCTAGTGAGTGGTTCAAGGCATAACTACCACCTTTGGAGTACAAGCAAATGCGGCGGGCCCGGAAACATTATTGGGGCGGTTTGAGCACGATTTGATAGCTCGGACTTTAAGCGACATCCACACCACCCAAAGAGAGTTTAACGGCGCAGAGATGAAGAAGAGCAGACTGACGCGAAGGGCTTGGAGAATCACACATCGCCCCAAACGGAGACTGGCAAAAATGCTGCATATCGATTTCTTTGGGACAAGATCATGTCGGAGCCTCCTTACCGAAACAATTGCCCTCGAATTTCTGATTCACATTTGGCCCCCATTGGCATCATGTACGGATACGTATTCACGTAGACCGAAAATGCGGGAGGACCGTTCCGTCAGGTGGTTTCTACCGACGACTAACGCTGATTAATTATGCATTAGGCTGACCTGGCGAATGGCCGGTCAGAGAGGTTACGTGTTACCCTTTGCCTCCTTCTCTAACCACTGCCACTTTCCGTCGCCAATTTCCAAATCCATCAAAGGCAACGACAAAAGGGGGAAGAGGCCTTCGGCATTGGCGACAATATTCTTAGAACCAAATGCTGGTACAACTTGAATTACGCGCAATGAACGAAGCCCCAGATCTTTCCACTGAAAGATATCTTGGAATGAGTACCTTCCCAAACCGTCTTCACAGCCATACAGGATTGTTTCACCGACTCTATACGACATGCTCGATATCGAATTCTTGTCATCGCCGTCGCCCTCCTTACCGTTTCAGGAGCCTCTGTAGCCGCCAAGTGCACGTTTTTCTTTAGGAAGCGTACTTGGCTTCCTTCTGAAATGACGAATTCTTCACCGGAGCTCGCCTTGTTTTGAAGAGGCGGGAGATGAAGCCATTCCCAGATGGTTCCCAGGCGAGTTACCGAGAGTCGTCAGCTGGAAGGGTTGTCTGTGTGGATAAAGCATTGGATCACGTCTAGGATCCGGAGCCTGCCATATGTCTACGCTGCCGATGTCAGGACCATCGTCGGATGTCTCCTCGCCACAACCTGCGAGCGCGCTTGAGTAATTTGAAAAGGTCACTCTTTGAGTTCACGTGGTATGAGCCCAAGGACTGGACGGAAACATTACTGTGACTAGTTGAGTTGGGTCATGGACGTTTCATCATATGATAGCATTCTCCATGAAACCAGGTGAAGCCCGAAACCGAATCTACTAGCTCTCTGGAAAATGGTACGTGCGATCACATCGGCGACCGCGGTCGGGCTCAACCAATGACTTATGCGTGGTCCTTGCCATAGCCAACACCATGATCGATGCTCTCGACATCTTAGGATATGCAGCATCGAATGAGGTTAAGCCCCCTTTTCATCGCCACTCCCGAACAGATCAGGGCCAGTATCGGAATAAGCGATGTTCAGCTTGATGCGGATGACAGTGTCCTTTATTTTCTGGTTCCTTCACCTTCTCGCCCCGTTCTTTGTTTCGGATGCCTTCTAAATCCTTCAGTTTGGGCCTTTCTATCCTCACAAATTCGAGAATGGGGAAGGCGGATTGTGAGAAGTGGAAAATAGGATCAGAGCCGGGGGGGCCATCGTGTAATCCCTGACACTAGAGGGACACGGGACATTTCTAAGAATCGAGCTCGCACCTAAATCTGCAGTCATACCTTACCTCCACTGCATTCGGCCATATCGACAGTGGGGTGCGCTCAGGCTCATGCCCCCAAACCACGTCTACCAAACGTACAATCCCAGCGTTCACGACATCTAAGCCATCTACGAGTTGCCTTTACAAGGCGTTGAAGCCTTAGCTTGGTCCAGACATTAAAGGTTTCATTTCTTTTCGATATATGGCGACAGGCCGATTATACGACTTTCCAAGTCAGCATATTCTTCAACAAATTTCTCAGCCGCCAAATATCACGACGCATTGACCGTGGGTCCCTATTGACCTCAGTCTCATCACCATCGGGGCATTGCTCACCCTGAATTGCCACCTTCTCGCCGTCTACAGGGGCAGCAGTCTTGTCATCCGTCCATATCCTCTGTTGCCTGCCTTTGCGTTCTCTTTCCCTCATCTCTCTATCACGCCATTGCAGTTCGCCCACTTTCCAGCCTCTAACTAGCCATATACAGACTCCCGCCGCGATGTACATGAAGCTTGTGAAGATCTGGGGGGGAAGGTAAATCCACCTGTCGGAATCTTGGCGCCGTAGTTCCAGCGCGATGGCTTCAGCGCACGTCGTCGGTGGAACCATCAGAACCCACGTCAGGCTGAGTCCTGCTGGAAGGTCCTGGAGACCGAGAACCTCCGCTGCAACAGGAGCAATAGTGGTCCAAAACGTCCCCGCCAATGCCCCGCCCACGACAGCAAAGAAAGACAACAGCACCATCGGCGATGGAACAACCTCTGCTGGAATCCAGAGGGCAAAGCACACGACCCCACAGAGAAGAGTGAAGAAAGTAGCATTGTTGAGACGACCCCAGCGGTCGGAGCTGAGGCCGATAAACGGTCGGCCGACCATTTGGCCCAAGTTCAGAATAGCGTTGAGGACGGAGCCTTGTTTGGCACTGAGGCCAATGGCGCGTGCGTAGGCGGGTAAGGAGAAAAGAAGGATGGTGTAGCCTAACATACTGAACCAAGACCAGCCTTGGATCAGAAGGAATTCCGGGCGACGGAGAATTTTGGTGTCGAAGGCTTTATGTCGTGAGCCGGTTTGCTTATTACGGTCTCGCAGAAGATTCGAGGCTGTAAGATTGACCGCAAAGGTGCAGATTCCAAGGATGCGGAAAGCCCAAGGCAAGCCCAGTGTATCTATGATTCGTTGTGTGACCAGACTGTACAAGAGACCTCCAGCGCCAGAGCCGGCCGCGGCGATCGAATTGGCGACACTGCGTTTCTTGCCGAACCATTGGGCGATGATTCCTACGGATCCGACAAACAGAAAGCCCATGCCCCAGCCGAAACAGACCCCTTGGGCCAGGATGATCTGGTATTTCTGATGAGCAAAGCTGGCGCCAATGAGGGACAGAGTCTCGAAGAAGACGCCTAGGTGGAGGCATATTTTTGTCCCGAAGAGATGGATGATATGTGTTGCCAAAGGAGCGATAAGGACAGCCTGGGAAATGGAAAGGCCGCCAATGAAGGCATATGCGAGGGGCGAGGTATTCGGAAAGTAGTTGTTGTTTAGATAATAAGAGAGAAAGACACCATAAGACGAATTAATCCCCCATGTGTGCCCTACAGAGAATGACTGGGTGTTAGACGAAATGCACCTTGAATCGACCGCGATTGCGTGATGGGTAGGGTTTTAACTTGACCCCAGATTCTGGGCTCAATTAGGCTTGGCCTGAGATAGACGAATGCGGATGCCAGATATCTCGATGCGAGGTTGTCGAATAACAGGAATGAGCTCATACTGACCATTGATGAAGAAATTGCATGCCACACACACCCATCCATATCCGCCATCCGGCGGTGGATCATCTAGCTTGGGGAGTGTGGATGGTGCTTGTTCGAGATGGACGGTTTTCTCGGATTCCGTTTCTGCACGAGTATCGTTGTGGGAGGAGGTGGCCCAAGGCTCGACGGGATCAATGTGAATGCTATCTGCCATCTTCCATCATTGTATAGCTCCGTAAAGAAAAGCGAGGACAGAAAAAGAGAGCATATAGGAGTAGGGACAAAGAATGACGAGGGGGAGGTGACAAGACGCATATAAACATGGACAAGTTGCCGATGAAATTTTGCAAAGGAATCACCAGAGAGGCCGAGGCAAATCCGAAGAGGAGTACTTTAGACATTAGCGTATTGAATCGAGGGGAACGATGAAGCAAATGCGTGTGTTTGAATGACCGACGAAGTTCTGAGTCAAGCAGCCGATGTGGGAGTGTAAGAATTCTTTGACTAACAGGTTCCATCGAGAGGTTGTATGATTTTCTCAGAGCAGATCTGATCCACCGGATGACAGATGGGCGGACATGTCCTTAGTTGGACCAGCATTTGTGCCGCTTTCCCGGGTGAGAGCCGTGAAAATGGAGGGACGAGGAAATATGGAGAAAGTTCGCTGTGGAGAAAAGAGACCGAGAAGAAAAGGAGATGAATAAGGCAGATTGCGGGGGGTCGTGTGAAAAGTGACATCTGGGCATAGCGAGGCAAGCCGTCGGCCTCATTGGCGATGGGGTTGGGAATAGTTTGAATTGAATAGAAGCACACAAGATTCCTGCTGATTCTCTCGTCTAAGATGACTTCATGATTACCTGGACACCACCTCCAGGGGAATCCGAGACTTCCAGTGTCAAGCCCCAAACCTCTCAGTTTAGGTAGCCTCCTGTGCGCTAGAGATCCTTCAATGCAAAGTCCTGTAAAGCCCACTTACGCCTTCAGCCTCCTCTCCTCACATGGTCCACAAACAGCCTTCTCTTCGACCTTTCGCAAAATGCCTTTCCTCATCTCCTTCTCGGTAGGCTTGACGTCGACGTCGCGGATGAAGAACCTTCCTTCTTCACCGAAGCCACCGCCGCACTCGAAGCACACGAAACAGTGTTCATGATACTTACCTCCAAGGGCCTCGACGGTCAATTCGTCCAGAATTTGTTGCTTGCATTCCCTGCATCGCGCCGAGGTGCGTTTCGTGTGGCAAGAGACGCAGTAGGCATAGTTGTCATGTTCGACAAATGGAGTCGTGCTGTCGAACGGGTCACCACATTCGGCGCAGAAGAAATGTCCCACGTGCCATTCCGCGCCGGCTGCCACGATGACCTCGCCTTCGATTGGGGTTTTGCAGGAGCGGCAGCGGGGGGAGAAGAATTCGTGGAAGTCCAGGTGGCAATAAAATCGCAGGGGATCATTGGCCGCCTCTGGAGAGCCTGGCTCAATTCCTAAGCTCTCCACCCGTGCGAGACGTTTTTCTTCAGGTTCTGGGTAGAAGGAGACGCATTCCAATGGGGATGAGCAGTGATGGCATGTGAAGCATTCAGGATGGAAGCGGGCTTTGAGACTGCTTGTGTTGGAGCCAGAGGCGGTAACTATGCGACCGGAAATGGGAAGAGCACAACTTGAACAGGAGACTGTTGGCATGGAGTGTCGATGGAGCCATGGCAGACGATTGGACGGTGTTTTGTGGGGTGCGGCCCCCTTGAGAGGTTCTGTCGCCGAATGGTTGGGCAGTGGTCTGGCATGTTCTTTGGTGTCGTCTGGCTGGAGACTAGTTGACGGAATCTCCGGGCCGCTCTCTGGAAAATGTATCGCTGGCACGGCCGGAGCAGACACGGTCATTTCTGGAATCGCTGGAGGTGGCCTGGCAGATGGCTTTTCCTGCTGATTGTTTACTGTGGGAATGGTAGGGGCAGAGACTGCGACGTCCGACTCCGTGGATGTTAATCTGGGCAATGGTTTCTCTTCAGATTTGGCCATCGGAGATGACTCTGTCAACTTCATCGTCGGCCTGTCGATATCCGGACTTGCTCTCGGTGAGTCGCTCGGAGGTCTCCATGATGGATTGAAGCTCACAATGGGCCGACCCAGTTGATCACTCACAGCGGTGGGTGTAGGAAGATTCGGGCTTCGATCTTTCCTCCTCATACTTGTGGCCGCTCGAATTTCCTCGCTTCGGATTTCCAACGTGCCAGAAGACGACTTTGGCGTGTCAACTTCTTCAATGACATCGATGGTCGGGACACTGGGAGGGTTATTGGCCGTATATTCAGCATTTCGTGATTGCGTAGGCGGATTTCTGTGAATTTCGAATCGGTCAAATTTGGTTCGGTCCGGAATGGGATCGGTTTCAGGCTTGTCAAAGGTCTTCTTTCTCAACCATGGCAGCGTGTTGCCAGACTTGACCCTTAAAGGCATTCCGGTACCAGAGGCTTCGACAGATGGCGGCGACACGCCTTCCGTTTGCCCCGGTTCTTCATAAATTTTGCTCTCGGAAGTTGGGAAAGACACCTTCCGCGAGCCGCTGACTTGGCGTCGTTCACCGCTTTGTGTCTTCTCCTTGAGCTTGAGGTCAGGGTTTCGATATGCGGCGGTCTTCTCGTCTTCCGCCGCTTTGGTATTCCGATGCTTCCATACTAAATCGGCGGCTTCACTCTGGGCCGCCTCGTAGATTCTCCTTTCCTCGTCCTTGTGGTCAATCAGCTCTAACGCCTCTCGAAGATTGTGGGCCTCCTCTTTTTCCAATCTCCGACTAGCTGACTCATAATAGACTGCGTCATCCAAAGGCCGTGGAATTTGAACAGTTGCCGTGGGAGACACCTTTCTTCCACGGAGAACGGGGCGATCGCTGGTAGGAGGTTGAGCCAATGGTCGACCCTTTACAGAACAAGTGGAAGAGAAAGAGACTGATTTGGGGAGGGTTGCCGCTACATCCTCACTCCGAGACTCGTTCTGTTGAGCTTCGTCTGTGGATGAGGAAATGGTTGGGGCTGAGTCGGACCGAGTTAAAGATACCCGAGCGGTTGAGGAGGCATGATTTCTCGTAGGGAATGGTGGAGGCCGTGAGCCAGTAGGCCTTCCTGGCCGATTATTTCGCAGATTATCGAGGTAGGTAGCTGAGAATGTATGTGAGGACTTCGTGGAGACATATCCGGTTAGAAAATTGACGGAGGGCAACGTACATTTTTGCTCAGCGGTCATACATGTTGGTTGAGGAGGAGAGACTTTTCTGCCTCCCAGGCTACTTCTCTTATGAAACATGACGCGCACACTACCGGCTGTTTTTTCAACGTAATGAATTTCACAGCATGTGCGTCCGGATGCGACGTAAACATCAAGGACAGCGGCTCAGAAACAAGTAGTATCAGAAATGGTGTGAAAGGAAGTCAGCAGGCATGAACAAAGGAAAAAATATGTCACCAGGCTGGCAATAAGGCGAGAATCAGGATGACAGATGTCTTGCATTGAATGGTGGTTCCTCTATAGATGCTTTGACCGTCTCCAGCAGCGCGGTTGACCCACGGGCCCGGAGCAGGCAAATGGCAACTCTTTTTTGTTTGGGTGCAGGTGGTTGCGAGGCCAACCGGAAACTCTGTTCAGGCACCTCTGCTGCCCGAACCCCTGATCCTGGACGCGGCCTCAACGCGCACCGAAAATCCGCCATCGACGTCACTGTTGCTGTTGCTTCTGCTACTGCACCTCAATGAGAAGAGAGGGCGAACGTTACAGAACAAAACTCACCGCAGTGGGCCCGAGTGAAACCATAATGTACCTCAAACCCCCAAACAATGAGGACTGTACCAAGCGATTCACTCATTCTATCCGGGATTTGAACAGAGGACAACATCTCCCTGCGCCGACTCTTCAACCCTGGTCTGTATCTTAATAATACCAACGTAGGTATCCTTCGGGTATGCCGTGACTAAAGAAAACAGTAAGTGCAATGCCTCCTCTTCTCAGTATCATGCCTAACAATCACTAGTACTTGACAAAGAACATGATCAAATGCCAAGATGATGATGCCCTTAGAAGAGATCCAAGTCGCATATGGACTGGTTACTCAGCAGGACCAGCCTCGCTCCCGAAGCATTGGTACCAAAATCGCCGCCGACTGACATCGTTGTAGTAATTATTGGAGCAAAGTCGTTGTCGGGAAATCCGCCTCCGATTTAGGCGGCCTGCCTGCTTTGGGTATGGTCGCAGGCTGGGCGCGCCGCCGCTTTTGACGGCTATAAGAACCTCGTTCTCCCATCCCATCTCTCTCCTTTCGAACCTGTTTTTTCTTTCTCAACTCCGTTCGCCCTGACGCACCAGTCGTGCTTCATCTTGACACCGCCTCAATGTCTCTCCCCCTACCGCATCAGGCCTTCCATCCTCGATTCTCCCCTCCCCCGGCGGGATCCCTCAGAATCTGCCTCGTTACCTGAATCTTCCCATGCCGTGCCGCATCTGCCTCGTCTCTCCGAGTGCGCCTCGATCACCCTCCCAATCCTCGATCGCCACGACCTACACTTTCGAGGAGGACCCGTTTCGGCCCCCCTCTTGCGCCTAATCCCGCCATGGCGCATTTGACTTCGCTAGCCACACACCGTGCAGGCTCAGCTGGTCCCGCCCGCCATCCACGCTTCGATTAGGGCCCTGAGGACATGGGTGTCGACGTCAGTAAGTTTCCTTATTCTTGTGTGGCCTTGTAAAGGTGAATCCGCCTAACGGGCTCCCATGGTTATCTTCCCAGACTTGCAAACCCCCAGCGAGAATCGTCGTCACCGATGATAGCAACATCGAACATCGTCTGGGGTGCCGTGGTAGGCATTCAGCTTTCCATGCTGCTCCACCGGGGCCGGGGTCCTGCATCTCGATCTGGTGGATGGAGATATGAAGATGGCCAAGCGTAGCGGATGTTTTGGCATAGGCCGGTGCAGCAAGCTGAGCGCCGTACTTGGTGCATCCAATCACGAAAATGCCTCACAAGGTGATCGGCAGTGTGCCTGCATTGCTACCTGCGCTCCGCCTTGAAAATTCAACGTTGAAGGGGGGCTGAGTCCTCCAGTTCGGCCCTCAGCGGTTCCGAGGAAAGAGTCGCCATCCGGCGAAGGGGACACCTCAGCATGTCGCAAATGGATTCTCGGCTGCTGTCTCCTCGTTGAGCTGAAAGAAGTATAGCGGTTCCTGAAGAAGGGCTTGCGAAGACACTATGAAGGGGAAAGTGGGATTCGCCGGACACAATTTCGTTCCGACGGACGCGGATGTTGATTCTCCCGTCCCAGATGGTCCCAATGACGGGCTGGCGTGTGCTTGTGCGGTTGGCCATTAATTTCGAAGAATGCAGGATCGTCAAAGAAAAACCATGGAAGGCAGCTGTCTCGGTCCTTCGGGGACGTTCTCATCGTCCCTAAATCCTGAAGACCTTGGTGAACGAGCCAGCGCGCCGTGGTCAATGCCACACCCTCGGGATACCTGGAGCTCTTATCTCTCACCGCGTTCCGGTGGCATTACCTGCTCCACTTAGTTGCTATGATGGTCTTCCCCCTCCCTGCCGCCGCCAGGGTGCCCTAGAAACACCAGCAGAGCAGTTATTTACAGGCAAGATTGTGAACACGACAAGTTGGAAAATTTTGGGACTGTTCCCTTGTGGGAGAAAGGAAAATATGGAGGGCGTTGGGGCAGTGTCGACTGTCTATGTGAACGGCGTCAGTCCCTTCACTCTTTCTCCTGCTCAACGTCTCTCGGAACTGTTCACCGGTTTGCTCATATTTCGTTGCTCCACAGCCATGACGACCTTCATCGCGTATCAGCCTCGGGAAAGTGCACCGTTATTCGGAAGTCACACCTTCGGCAATTCTCCTACAGTCGGCCTTCCCAGTTGGGTGTCGAGCAGACAAAGCCCAAAATCTCCTCAGCAGGCGACACCTGTGAGCAATGCCGATTTTGTCGATTTGACCGTCTCTGGCCAGAACACCGCTCGAAAACGTCTGGTGGCGAGCGGAAATCAACACGCCGCCAAGTCAGAGAAGTGCGTACTAGCGCTTAGCGCCACGTGAGGGCCGCCTCGTTAGATATTATGCGCCAAAAGCCTGCCAGATACGGCTACATCTCCTATAGACTTGGCAACCTGCGCGGGTGTAAAATCGACTCAACTCGACAGCTACAACACTGGCTAGTTAAAGGATGCCTCCTCCAGGCAACGGCGTGGCCGGAAAAGTGGCCAGGCACTCTGGCAACAATAACCGAGCAGAGGAGCACGAAACTTGGTCCTTTCGCACATATGAAAGCTGGGAACCCCGGAGGCCAGGTTATGGGTCTCTACACATGCTCACGACCCTACCCGTGCACCAAGGTCGCACTAGTCGTGGCAGACTAGTGCAAGAACTTGGGGATCGGTTGTGCCAGGCTGTAGACGCGTTTAAACGCGAGGAATTTGCCACGAAGGCCGCCGCCGCCGCCAGAGCATCCGGGGCACCAGTGCAACGTTGTTGTTCGTCGATTGAATGGTATCCCCCTCCTCAGATTCAGTAATTGATGGTTTTTTTTTTTCCTCTTCCATTCATAGGCTGTCCCAGCCGCCATGGTGGCAGCTATGCAGCGAACAACTATAAATACAGGTGTTTCCCACTTGTTGCTTCCAGAAAATAAGCCATTCCTGTCCAGAATTGCTTCCCCTTCTGCTCCACTCAGTTGCACCTCCATTAATGGTCCTTGTGATTGTTCTGTGTCTATGCACTTGTCAGACCGTCGCCTGAATGGCGGATTGATTGTCCGTGAAGACGGTGCACTTGCCGGGAGTGTAGCGACCCATGATTTGTGCAGTCACAGGAATGGTGCGCTTGATGCCCAACCGAGGATGTGACTAATGTGGGTCGCCTGTTCGGGCAGCTTGATACCCCACCTGGAGCCGGATTCAGTTAACTAAGTCTGCGCGGCATTGTCATAGATCTGCCATGCAGGCTTTCTTCAACTCCCTTCAACGCCTTTTTAAGCTGCAAGCGTCGGAGTGATCGATGTCACCCTTCTACGTCACCCAACAGACAAGATGACATCTCTTCATCCCCTCCAGGAGACCCAACTGGCAGTGGGCCAGCAACTCTGTGAATGTTGCTCTCCGATAGAGCAGCATCTGGACGACCTTTTCGGAGATAAGAGCTGGGACGGCCTCGCGAGCGGCTATCCAGTGGGTCTCCTGGATCAGAAGATTTCGAATGCATCAAGATGCCCGCTGTGTTGGCAGTTTGACAGAGGATGGAGCCAACTCCAGGACAGCAACAGCTCGACGACATCACCAACTGGAACTGCCATTATAAGAGGTTTCCCGTGGGCGTTTCTCGATGATGGTTCTCGTGGCAATATCACACTGGAAGGCCAACGCTGGACCACGGCTTTCTACCGCATCCAATTAATCTGTGATGATCATCAGTCGCGCAAGATACTGGCGGAGTTGGATGGAGTGAAAGTCCCGCCAGACGATAAGCAACTGTTCCAACGGCGATTTCTCAGGCCTACTGTTGACATCAAACTCCTTAATGGCTGGCTTTCCGGCTGCGATCAGCATGAGGAGCCACTCCAAAACGGTAGACTCGGCCAGTTCGCAGACAACTGTCACGAGTCGGGGATTTACGAAGATAACGAATACGGGGGCGAGGAGCTCAATTTCAAGCTTTGGAACTTGAAAACGAGAAAGTTGGAAAACTACAAAACAAACCGTCGATATGCGGCGCTATCATATCGCTGGGAAAATAACCCGGAAAAGAAAGTTCGTTGGGAGTTGGGAGACTCGCCACGGACCATCACAGATGCGGCTGGCCTCGCCAGGGACTTGGGCTTGGACTACCTCTGGGTGGATAGGCTGTGTGTCAAGCAAGACCATGAGAATATTAAAAAGGCGACTAGGCAAATGCACAACATTTTTGGCCACGCATATGTCACCATCGTAGCCTGCGGCGACAGCGCCTATGATGGACTTCCTGGGATTGGAGAGACTAAAAGGGACATACGGGAGGGTATATCGGAATGCTCAATAAGGGCAGATGTAATTCAACTCGCCATGGCCAGACCGGCACTCCACACAGTGGTCGAAGCTACTGACTGGAGCGACAGGGCATGGACGTACCAGGAACGCCTTCTTTCCCACCGATGTCTCGTCTTCACGAAAGAGGAGGTGTTTTTCTCGTGTCCGAAGAATCGGGATGAGTTCGAGTGTCACCCCGAATGGCGTGAGAGCTACGTACTCGAGGACGACAGCAAGCCTGCCTTCTGCAGATCCTATAAGCCTCTGTCGACGACAGACCAGAGGCGAATGGACCCTATATTTGCACCTCGGGTCTCTGGAAAACCTAGCTTCGAACGCTATGCCATGCATGTCGAGCGCTACACGGCGAAAAAGCTGTCAAAACCTGAGGACATTGTCGCGGCTTTCATGGGGATCTTGGTCACGCTCTACAAGGAAAGCCTCGACGGGGTTGACGACCATGGTCTCCCTTACGAGCACTTCCAGCAAGCACTGTTGTGGCGGCAGATTCGGCCTGGTGGGAGAAGAAGGCCCGGGGAGGGGCGACAATTCCCAAGCTGGAGCTGGGCCGGGTGGACAATGCCTGTTATGTATGAAGGAGGCGCGTTTGGAAGTAAGTGTACGCCAGAAGAGAATTGGAATGATCGTGACTAATATATGCGACGCCTAGAGAGTGCTTATTACGTATTGTCCGACGCCTACGGAGTTGGAGTCCAGGTAAAAGAAGACGAAAGGGAGCCCACCGAGGGGGTATTTAACTTCGACTTCGGCGGTCCTAATCAAGGGGAAAGCGACAGCGACCAGGAGCCAACGATATCAGCGCCTCTAACGCTACAGCTCTCCGCCTACCACTGTCCTATAGAGTTGGATATGCATTTATCGCCTGGTCTCGACGGACGCCCGTATACGACGATACGCCCGGGAGACAAGACGCAAAACTGCCAGGAGATTATTGGAATGGCATTCTTAGATAACTAGCCGAGGCCAGACTTGAGGGGGACTGTTGAATACGGGATTGTTGTCATATCTCACCAAAGTTATACCGTTGGGGTGGTTTGGGCTATTGTGTTGTTGATTGAACTTATGGAATGTACAGACTGTTGGGAGCGAATCGGCATCGGCGCCGTCCTACAGCGCCGTCTTCCGGAGGGCCCTAGGGTGAGAATCCGTCTAAAATGAAGGGGCGAGAACATATCAGTGTAGGACGGCATGGCTCTTCGAAATAGCTGTAGAGCCCTCTGTTTTTGCTTCCGCTGGTGGCACAGGTAGTTATACAATCATGGAACGTCGTTCTCAACGCAATAGCACTCCAACTGCCCATCTCCTTGCCTCAATTGGACGTGACGCTAAAACACAGATTTGGAATTGGTTCATCCAAAAAGCTCGTGCTACAAAGGGACCTGCGAAGATCGAACCAAGGGAATTAAATCGTCTAGAAAAGGCGCAGCTAAACGCCCGTCGGAGACCCGGGTACAATCGGTTTGCAGACCAAGTACTGCTAATTGACTCAACCGAGTCCAACACCAAAACTCGAGTGTCTGGATAAACATCTAGGTAGGTCTTGGTCATTATCAGGTCATGAATGCCTTGATTATATTAGAGAATGCAGACCGGTCCGATAATTCGAGCACACTGACCTGCACCAACCACAACAAGACCATATTGCTCCATCTTTGGCCTTGTCTATAGTTCCGTCGCTGATTTGAATAGTTTCCGGATCCTATACTAGGTTTGTTGAGGAATCTCTGGATATGATGTGCCTGTTTCAACCATAACAGATAATAAAACACTATTCCAGGGATATATAGCAAGCATCGCTCTTTTCCCTCCCTTGACCTTATATTTTGAAGCTCGAGATACATTGCTGTCGTCGGCAGTGACATTTGAAGGACATGGTCACGTGAATGCGCGTTGAGAAAATGGCGCGCATGTCAAAGTAGTTGCTTTAGGTCGAAAGGTACCAGAATCTCAAGGGCCCAACCCGGATGTTCCGCACTGCGAAGTAGTTCAACAGAAATTTTTCCCGACGAGTCTGCATGGTAAGATTTGGATGTATAAGCGCTTATTAGCTTATCGAGACATTGTTTGGCTAAGGTAGAAATTCAGGACCAAATTTTGACTCCACCTTGCTGCTTTCTGGACCGCAAGGTTTGACCTTTCAGTTCAGAATCTCGTGGTCACGTGATAGCAAACAAGCCACCACGGATCGGCGAGTGGTTCGGTCGCAGGAGAAGAACAGGGCCTAAGCTGTCTCGGTGAATGGTAGGACCACGAGGATCGGCCACGGGGAGTTTCAAAGGGCCAGGTTAAAGGGCATGGTGAGAATGGGAAGGAGCCGATTGATACGGAATGTGGTGAGGATCATTGGTGTGGACACGGCGTTTACCAGAGCGAGGCTAGTTTCAAGGGTCGGAAATTGACAGACAATTGACAGCAACCGGAGGCGGCGGTGACAACGACGTGCAACAGCACTGCGAGGAGGGCTCTGGAAGGGGGTTGAGAGGTGGCAATCAGGGGCAGGGGAATTCGTTGGTGGTTGCAATGTGCATCTGACATTTTTGTAGGCAATAGAATCGTTTGGATGGAGTTTGAAGAAAAGCGCAGGCTGACCGTGAGAGACCAGATACAGGTTCACACAGTGATCAGTGAGCAGGCCAGTAACAAGCCACACAAGTCCACCTTTTCATCCTGATCCACGAGAAGCTGCATGGACAAGACTATCGAGAACGACGTAGTGAAATTGGCATCGTCGAAGCCCTGCGGCATCTCCGCCAATCGAGGCCTGGAAATTACATTAGGTTCCCAGTGTGCAGTGCTTCTCCAATTGCCTGCGGTTGCTTGCCCGCAAGCTTAACCTCTTGACCAATGCAGCCCTAGTCCTGCTTGGCTCTGCATTGGCAGCCAGGGTCGTCCTTCGACTTCTCCTTTGCCCTTGGGAGGGTGCTTTGCTTTCACCATCACCATTCCGCTTGCTCTGTATTGGGCCATCTTCCTTCTCTTTCGTTTCCTTTGTCACTCGTTTGCTCCCTCACCTAGTCGCTCTTTTGAGGTCTCACCCAAGTCGTTCATTTTACGCCTCTTCTCGAGTTTCTGTTGTGGACCGGTTCCATTCTTTCGTGCAGTCTGGACCGATTTCGAGCTTTATTGACCAGCTAGGAGCTTCCCAACCCTCGAGCATTGGTTCACCATGTCTTATTAGACCAGTTTACATAAAACATAATCCGTCTTTGTCTGCACACACGACAATTGTCTAGCACCCTTGGCCTCATACGATGTCCTCCCCGGTTCTGCCTGAGAATGAGCCACAGATTCAGCCTCGACACCCCTTGGCTAGACCGGGTCCCATACCAGACATCAGATTAGAAGGGTTATATGTCGAGAGGCCTCCTTCACTGGTACCAAGGGCGGACTCCACGTCCACTTCCGATAATGCAGCAACGACCACCTCATGTGGACCGCACGATACCTCCGGGCCCTGCGAGCGATATTACAATTCCGATGGTTCCAGTACAACCTTGCCCATTGTCCTTGGGGTGGTCATCCCACTGGGCATTGCGTTGATTGTGTTAATATATTTGCACCGGCGACATGTGAGAAATTTAAAAAGGGAGGATGCGGAGGACAAACACCGGTCACTTGACTTCGGGTTGGATGAAGCTCAGCAAAAGCCTCGCAAGAAGAACGCTCGGAATCTCCCGGAAATATCCATGGCTGAGAATAAGGAAATTGGTCGAAGAGGTCGCGGTTTGTCCATGGATCTGGGCATGAACAATCCCTACCTCCTGCCTCCCGAGCTGCAACATTCTCGGGAGTCATTGCATTCCCTTTCCCGCTCAATGAACACTGGAGATGACAAATATCGAGTGACAACATTCATACCCGACGACGGATCGATTCGTCCGCCTTCAAGTGTGAGAAGCCCGATTGACGATTCTTCCAGCTATACCGGGTCATCGAGCCGTCGATTCCCGTTCGACTCGAAACAGAACTTGCTTCGTAATGCACAGAACAGCCCGATCGGATACCCTTCTCGCCGGACATCAACCAACTCTGGGCACAATGTTTCAGCAGACGCATTGGCTGGCACCCGGAAACCACTCAATCAGGCCAGCAACAACAATTTGTTGGCTCCCGGGGCGATTGACACTGCTCGTGACTCCTTTGTGAGTACTACCGACAGCAGTGGAATAAACGCGCTGCGAGCCAGCAACAATTATCTCGGCCAATTCATTAGGGGAGGCCACAAGGAGGAGCCGATCAAGAAAGAACCTGTTTCGGCCGTGACGGAAGTCCATGTCGATTCTCCGGTGGAACAAGTGCAAGTTCCTCCCCCTGCTATGGTCAAGGACGCTCATCCTATTCCCTCACCGCCAGCTTCGGCTCCTCTTCCGCAGGATAAGTCGATCACACCCAGCATCACCCTAAGCCTGCCTGATGAACGCCAGCCAAGATTACCTCAATTAAGTTTTATTGATTCTCAGGGCGTCCGGCAAAACTCCATTGAACCTGATATCAATCCCCAAGCACCCTCGACGACTTCCAACAATACTCCTCAACATTCTAATACCCCCTCGGCTGATCTCAATCGACAAGACCGCCCATCCCAAGGCCAGACTTCTCAGCATAACCATCAAGATCAATATGACGAAGACGACTACTATGATGAATACGATGTCTACGGCTCTCTGGATCATCAGGAATACCAAGACTATCGAGATTATCTCGGCTATGATCCTCGTCGATTCACCATGGGCGTGCGGCCATTACCACCGGACGATCCCACCGAAAATCCAGAGCAACGAGCTAACCGCATTCGATCATTCTACAAAGAGTACTTCGATGATTCCAAGCCTCAAAACTCTGCCCAGTATTATGATGGAGGGGAGGGCTACTACGACTACTATGGACCAGATGGCTATTACGATCAGGGGGGTCACCACCCGCCTCGCGGACAATCGCAAAATGGGGTGTATGGGCGGCATCGCGCAACGGTATCCAATGGAAGCTATGTGCCGGGACCAAGGGCGTTTTCGTCCGCATCAGGTCGATATGGTGGACGTCCTCCTCGCATGCCCCCCAAGAAGAAATTGCCTCCACCCAAGCCGTTGAACATCTTGCCCACGCCCCATTTGCTCAAGGAAGACACATTTTTGCCCATCGATTTTGCTCCACCTAAGAAATTCCAGAACCAGAGGGCTGGTACCCCGGACAGTCTTCGCGGGGGACTCAGGCCATACTCACCCTCAATGAGGGCACACGTGCCGCTGGCATCATCTTTTGACGATCTCGCGGTGATACCCAGCCCGTAAGTGATTTTTTGCGTAGACTCTCTTGTGATGAAAGGAACTTGACTAACGATATCGATAGTCACGCACTGAGAAAGTCCTCGACCTTTACAGCATTGGACTTTGCGCCACCACCGCGACTACGTGCAGCGGATACTATGAGTGAAACGGGAAGCATCCGAAGTAATCGTTCTGGAGTGTCGGCCATGCACCTGCACAACATTCGTACAGGAGCATACCGAGTCAGCAGAATTCCCAAGGAGGTTGCCGGAACTAAGGATGAGTTGGCTGCGGCGTTAAGACCACAGTGGGATCTGAATCGATGAGATTTGTTCGACTGTGTCCAATTTGGACATATGGTGTTGTGTCCTGGGCGACATATGAGTTCCCAGCATTTCGGCCTAGCGGAAGGTGTCTCGAGGGGGCGCCGATACCTGTTCAGGTACGCTCTTTGGTATAAATACTATGGGGGGAGGCAAAGGACTTTTGGAATGGACAAATCAATGTATAGTAACTAAAGCGTGGGATCCCAAAAATTCACAAGATGCAAAAAATTGGGCCAACGTTACCAGGGGTGAGTGTGTCCGGAATTTCTCGTGACCACGAGGCAGATTCAATTCGCTGTCCGCTCCTCCGTCCTTTTGCCCCAGGGAAGGCTTGTGACGTGCAGCTTATTTGCATTCAATCTCGCACCCGACCGGGCGAGTGAGAAAGATTGAAAATAAGCGAGACCAAAGCCCAGGCCTGGGTGGCCAGTAGATTTTTAAACTGCTCTGTCGAATACGGAGTCGGAATGCTGCTGTAGCACTCGATACAGCATTCACCAACCCGCACATTTCCAGTGTCAAGACTGACGTTATCACTCCAATTGTACTCAGAAATCCCTCGCCCCTCACTTGTGTGGCATCGGGTGTCTCACTTAATCAGAAGAGCGCACAATGGGGGCATGTATAGAGCCGTCACCACCGCCCATCATAGATGTTGTGGACTACCGAAAATTCTTTAACATATCCTTCGTGGGCGCGAAAGATTTCAATGCATGCTGAAAGTGATAGCTCTTCCCCTGCTTTGCAAAGAGTCAGAAAACATGGCCGGAAATCCGGGATTCAATCGGACTTACCGGTTGCATGCTAGTAAGCTCATGGTGTCTGCTACTAATGCTAACTACCAGGCTGATGGCAATTTGGTAGGGTAACCCTACCTCTAACGGGCCAAAGATACGTATTCGGAGTTGGCAAACCCGAGGCCAGTAACCCCCGGAACCACCCAGATCCAGGGCCTAGAGCCTGAGCCCGTTCTTCTGCAAATCTCTTTCTTGCCCTAGTTAGTAGCCGCAGCAAGCCGCCATTCCCAATCCCGGTGCCCGTTTGTGGCTACGCCCTGCCAACATCTCCCTCCTTTCATTGACTTTTCTACCCAACTTTTTCTCCTCGACATCTTCACCGTTACTGTGTGCTCTTTGTCGGAGCTTGGAGCTTGGACCTACGACCAGGACCTACAATAGTCGCCACCAAGTCATCCTCCTTCTCATTGGACTACTCGCACAGGGATCACCAGCTTCTATCCGATACCGCGTCTTGACACCACCTATCCAACTTCGCCCTATTGGGTTCTCGGTGCGGCTGGAGAACCACGTTAAACCCTCGCCATCATTATAGGCCCCTTTCTCACGCTCAGTCATTCTCAATGTACTTTAGAGAGTTCCTCCGACACCACTGTGCGCCTTATCGAGTCGAGTCAAACGCAATCGTACCGGCAAGCTTCTCAGCCCTTTGCATAAAAACCAACTTGAAAACGTGCCTCAGTCATGTCTAGTGGAATAGGTATTCTTTCTTGAGCACTATACAGTCCCTTGACGCTGACTATGAGCTAGATACGAGCGTGACTGACGATGGGGTCAGCACCACTGTCATCGATACGACGTCCACCAGCTTAACTACTTCCTTCTCTACCACTGTCACCGTCACAGATAGCACAGCTTCAACATCCGAAATCACTACCTCTACGCCGTCCTCTACGATTGTCTCTTCCGTTTCCATTCCACCGTCGACCACGGTCATTGAGCCCACCTCCACCTCGAGTCCCAGCGTTGTTGCTGTCACAGCCACAATTACCCAAACGCCGTCGGCGACAGAAGGCACTACGGCTCCTTCTGTTATCGTTGTCACATCAACCTATTCCCCCGATACGCCTACCTCCGATACTGCAGTAGTTAGTTCCGTCATTACCACTTCTAGTTCCTCTCCCACCCCCTCTACACTGAGCGCTTCTGGGTCGAATTCGGGCTCTTCTGGTGGTCTTAGTTCAGGGGCGAAGATAGCAATTGCTGTCATCATTCCAATCGTGGTCATTGCCGCGGCCTTTTTGATCGGATTCTTTTGTTGGAGGAGGAGAAAGGCAAGGAAGAGTGCAGAGGAACAGCGGAAGAACGAGATGGCCGAATATGGTTTCAATCCGAACAACGATCCGACATTGGTACCGGTTGGCGGTGCATATACTGACAATCAATCCGAGGCGCATGAAGACAACAGTGGCTACCGCGGATGGGGAGCAACCTCGTCCAACCGAAAGGCATCGACAACTTTGGGCTCGAATGGTAGAGCTGCTGCTGCTGGTGTTGCTCTATCCGAAAGCAGCAGCCAACCTGGAGGCTATGGAGTGCAAAGTTCCCCCAATGGCGCGGTAGATCAATATTCTGCGGACCCTGTGACGAATGGCCATCCGGAAAGCGGTGATGGAGTTGCTGCATTGGGCGCAGGAGGGCTTGCGGGGGGACTTAACAGGAACCACAACGGAACTGCAGACATCCGTCGTGGACCGTCAAACGCTTCCTCCGCATATTCTACCGGCCACCAGTCTGAGGCTTCTTCCGACACTCCCCAAATGCCAGGCCCATACTATCAAGAAGAAGTTCCTTATAATATTTATAACGATGCCGCCCCCCACCATGGACCCTATGGCGATGGATCTTACGGTGGTGCTGGAGGTCAACCAGTCATACGCGACGTTCAAGCACGGAGAAATACTCGCATCGAGCGAGCGCCTACATTCCCTCAAACACAGGGTGGAATAGCCCAGAACTTTTAAACAATACACTGGAACTCATTTCCGGAATATCCAGCTCTGACGTAGGTGTTGCATGTTTTGATGGTGTTTGTCGGAAAAGTTTGTATTGGCGACCAAGTAGATGGGAAAACTGCTCGCAGCTCACGTGGGCGCTCACCCAACCCGCGCCGCTTTTATAACGACCTCACCCTCGCATCACCTCTTCTCACCCGCCTGCTCACCCTTCAACTCACCCTTCGACTTTACCCTCGTCTTGACGATCCCTTTTGACCCTGCAATTCTTGCCTCCGTTCTCCTCCACCCAACGACACAAGTGCTATAATTGGTTACACCTGACGAGGGGGACTATTTCTGGACCCCCTTCAACAAAATCGGATTTTGGGTCTCTCCCTGCGTTTCCCCTTCCCCTTCATTGAAAGCTCCCCCCCTCCCCTCTCGAACGTCCCTTCCCGCAGAGGAGTATAAAATGGCGCTCAATCCTCGTCTCTACTCGCTAACAGCGAGTTTCTCTCTCTTTTCTCGAACTCGTCTTCCCCAATCGCTGGCTCTCTTATTAGTATCCGTCACGCTCTCGCACCCCCGGAGCCCCTCGAGCCCTCGAGCCACTTTTCTACCGACATGGGCAGAACAAAACCTACTGAGAACGAGCTGTGGGCTCAGGCTCAGGCCAACGGTTACCAGAGAGGAGCACATACCGAAGTTGACGAAGTCCGCAACGGAGAGAAATATGTTGACAAGACTAAGATCGATCACGATCGAACTCTAGACCGCTACATTCTGTAAGAACTCGCAACTCTTTATGGGACGAGGGAGAATGCTCGAGGCTAACGTCGAATTCCTAGATGGCAACTTAAATCGATGAGGGAAGATTACGAGCGTAAAGGGCTCCCTCCCCCAGACGAAGACGCCGCCCGCAGTCAGTATTTAGGGAAGAAAGTTCCCGCTCCCGACCTGGTGACCGTCAAAGACTTTCTACGGTTCTACATCGCGACGAGCCGCCCTCGACTCGACAAAGATTCGGAGAAGCCGAGGCCGACCGCCGATGCCATCTGCACTGTGGGAGAATGGTTCTTTGCCGGCTTTACTCGTGTGACCGGCACCGAGACGAACGCAGAGGACCGAAGTGAGGTTTACTATGTATGATATCGCCTTCCTTTCCGCGCTTATATGTGGCCCAAAGTCCTTCGACTAACAGAGCTGACATCTTTCAGTGGGTACGACGAACCTTAGTCCGTGAGGGTATTGTCGTCAATAAACATCGCCCGAAACACAACTTTACGATTCGAGACCTCACCCGTGTCCTTCTCGCGTTATGGACATACGACGATCTGATCTATATCCACGAGCGGTATCGAGTACAAACCACGTTTCTTATACATGCCTTCTGCTTCACCGGGGCGCGGATCGGGGCATTCTTTACGGACGGCCTGCGGTACAAGGTATGAGCGGTGGCCGAACGATAGTCAATTTTTAATGAGCTGACTTTACTAGGATGTCGAACTTATCTTGCAACGCGATCCTGGTAAGAAAAACGGTCGTGACTGGAGACTCGTGTATATTGTCCACCAGCGTTGGGTGAAAAACAATCGTGACCCTGAGAACATTACGTAGGTGGTTCCACGAAGCTAATCCTCGTTCTTTCGTTCTGCTTGAAGGTGCTAATGATACGGGTTTGTTATAGCTTCGGCGCAGCCGCAAAGGAGCACGAGAGACTGTTCTACAACGATGCCGGTTTTCTGTTGGCCATGGCCATCGCCGATAACGCCTTAGTAGGGATCGACTCTCTCGAGGACGTGCGTCAACAGGTAATTCCTGCGGGTAAAGACGAAAAACCACTTAGGTTCAAGGATTCGGTCTTGGGACTACCCATTCTCCGAAAATGCACCAAAGGTGGTCGCGTGACTGCCGACCCAATGCCCATGAACGCGTTTACCGCGATTTTCAAGAGCACTCTGATCAATTCCGGGTACCTGTGGGGGCTTTCGATCCATGCCATTAGACGGCAACTTGGAAAAGGAGCTGATAGTAAGTGGTCTTTCCTCGTCGAGCGCTCAGAAATACTCGTTACGGCTTCACGCCTCCCTCCTCCTTCCCTCGCTTTTTAATTAAAAAAAAAAAAAAAAAAATTCATCGTTCTTCTCGTTCCTAATGTTACTAGTATCTAGAATAGACCTCTTTACCATCTTTCTTAGCTAACTACACTTCTTAGGACGAAATACCGCGGTTGAACGCTCGCAGCACTTAACGCAAGCCGATCCTCGAGTCTTTGGTCAAAGTTACGTAGCGAACTGCTCCTCGGTTGACGGCCAGGCCGCATTCCGCGACGAGGAGAGCGATCAGCGTCATATCGAATATTTCCAAAGTCTCGAAAAGTTTCACGAGGATGGCCTGCCTGACAAGCTTCCTGCCCACCTCGAAGAGGAATTAAAACAGGATCCGCGCCTCCGTGAACTTGAAACTGAGGTCCAAATACTCACGGGACCTCAGGGGAGCAATCAGGCATTTAGCGCCGCCAAGCGTGAGTTGACGAAATATCAAAGGACACTGAAGCGAGATGCACTACGCCAATACCAGGAGAGTTGGGTCAGGGAGCGCCGGGATTGGTACGTCCTAACCCGGGGGAACGTGGTGCCTCAAGATAACTCCAAGATGGAATTGGCCCAGACCATCTACAAACTGTTCCCCGAACGAGGACGACTTGCGCAGGCGATGGCATCTTTATATCCCTTGACGACGGACAAGATGTGGGATGCGCTTCGAGACGTCCAGAGTCTCTGTCTTCAAGACTCTGACGTCCTGTATCTCCCCGGATTGCGCCCTGTTGACGGCGCCTGCCCCGTCAAATATTGTCATCGGCGCATGGACAGGTAAGTTTCTCGCCTGCCGCTACCAATGTGTCTAGATTAACGATGCCGTATAGTCTGCCCAAAGCCCAGCGCAATCAACACATCCAAACTTGTGTCCGTCAGGAGATGGCGACCCGTTTAGGGCGCCTCTTGTCGGATATCCATTACTGCTATCAGTGTTTCGATTGGGTCGTCGGAGAGAAATGGGAGCCGCACTGTCAAGCACACTTGGATGCACTCACGACTAAACGTTGTGGGACCGTCACCTACTGTCACACCTTAGTCCGCCCAGCCTACTGTCCAATATGTATCGGGAAGATATCGTTACCTGCTTCTAAGCGACTAAAAGCGTGGTCTCGAGATCACAAATTATGGATTCACATCAGTGACGATCACCTCACCAGTTGCCAATGGCCGTTTACGTTTTCTTATCCACTATGCGACACCACTCATGAGGATCGTGCCTCATTTCAATTTTATCTTATGGACACGCACAAGCTTAGCCGGTCGCTTCCTGCGAAGGTTATTAATTCCAGCCGTCAACACTCACTAGAGAAGGAGAAAATCCCGCTCGACGAAGGTGTTGATGAACCCGGCCCATGGCGAAAGCGAAAATCACCGAGTAGTTCTAGCGCCCTCAAGTGGACGCCACCACAGTCGCTCGATTCGACGGCCGCAACCTCGGAAGGGCGATTGCCCGACCGTCCCCCTAAGCGGAAAAGGCAGAAACGACAGACTCCTCCCCCTTCGACTATCTGTCCCGAAGTTGTCGTCATTAACGATGATGTCTCTGATGATAACACGGCCCCAATAACCGTGGACTCTGTTATGCTTTCCCCTTTAAGCCTTTCAAGCATCGAGGATAATAACAAATATACCGATCTCGAACATGATCCATTTCCGCGCCATTACGCCACTCCCGTCGAAACCATTCACTTGCTCGAGCCAGCAGACTGCGACGGTGACTCCAATTTGGACACCCTATTCGATCAATATCTCCGCTCCCCGTCGCTTTCGCCTCCCCCTTTACCTCCCCCTTCGCCTCCCCGGTTATCGGATGATGATGCCACTAGCGAATTAAGCGGAGCAACACTGATTCACGCTGAACGTGATCAGTCTCATAGTGGCGCAGAGATAGACACAGAGACGTTGAAAAGTCCGGTTCCAGAAGACGTGTCGAAGAAAGAGGGAGCTCGAGATGAAGAGGACACTTGCCAAATCCAAAATGGCCCTCGCATTCGACTGCGAGTCCCTCGACCTCAAATCACGCTTCGCCTTAAGGTCCAGGGTACATGTCAAGCAGGAAAGAAGAAAAATATAGGAGCGAAGGGAAGGAGAGAAAAGAAAGTAAATAAACGCAAGGAAAAGAAGGGACCTAAGAGCGGAAAGAACAAGAAGGGGAAAAGGCACAGTAGATAGATGCGCTGAACATAACGATAGAGGGACTTCCCGTCTCCTCGTCGTAGCTGCTTTTTATATATTAACCAGGCTGGCCCTTATATTGTCTGCACACATCTTAATCAGAAGAGCATCTTACGCCAACTCTTGTCTTCCTGCCTACAGCATTGACGAAGAAATTCTAGAGTAGCCCAAAGTCGCCCACTCCCCCATGAGTCCACAATATTCACATTTTGTTCATGAGTTGGTTTCGTTTAGATGTTTTATCATATTTTCACCTATGGCCTAGGACATGGAAGAGACTCTTTTTTCCCTTGGGAGTGTTAAGAATGATTGTCACTTCAGTCTACCTGATCCCTCTTTCCGTTTTCTCCTCTCTGCAGCCTCTTTAATTACTGCTGGCGTCTGTGAGAAAGGTACAGTCGATCCTTTGGATGACTGCGACGGAGATTTTATTTCTTTGGCACTGCCCTTTATTGGTTTGTCTCTTTTTAACTCTGAGTCTGCTTCTGTGGTTATCGCAGCTGGCGTCGACTGATAAAGTGGGTCATCTTTAATAAATCGTCGCTCTTCAATTGAATCGGAATGCGATGCCCACTTAACAAAGCTCTTCCTCGACGGAGTGCTGGGATCTTGAGGCTCATCGTCCGGAACGTCGGTCCACGGTCTCCCTCCAACGACGAGCGGTAGAGTGACCTCTCGACGGCCTGCGTCGGGAAGTGTCTCGCTGCGCCTGCTCTCTTCGTTTATCGTGTTGTCCGTCACCAATCTCTTATGACGCTCTCGGCGTTGATCGTTCTTGCTGGAGTTTTCTTCACTTAATGCTTCTCGCTTTATGCCTTTCGCTTCTCGCTCAGCTCTTTTGTCTCGTATCTGACTAATCGTTCCCATGTTATATGAGATTGTTTCGAAGTTTAGGAAAAGTCGGCTAGCTAAACAAGACAAGGCCTTAAAGGGATGATCAATAGCTGCAGTGCGAAGAATAGACAGATCGTCTTGAGATTTAGATGTAGAACTAGCCTCGCCCTCTTGATCGCTATCGGACGAATCTTGCAGCATAGTCCCAGGGGAATAATCACCGACAATCTCATCGCTTCTGATGTTGTAGAAGTTACATAGATAAACGAGTCTATTGACTGTTGATGTCATTAGCTCGCTGTATCAAATAAAGAGATGGGAAACTCTTACCTCGCTTAGGGTTGTGTAAATTCCAAAACTGAATAACGGTATTAGGGAATTGTTCAACGGATGGAAACAGGAGCTGTGAGGGTGACGCAGGGCTCGTAATGCCTATCGGGAGTATTTTGTCTCGACTGAATGCTGCTCGTGGGTTCGTAGATTGAGCAATTAACAATGTGTAGAACTGGCCAAGTCGCTCGTCGACTTTCTCAAATCGCTGATCGATCTTCTCAAATCGCTGCTCAATTCGTCGTTCAAAGCGATCAAACCGCTCATCAACATTCTTGAACTCCTTTCGGATAGCTGCATCACGTCGTTCAAGGGCGCCCTCAAGAGCTTCCTCGGTCAACATACTAGAGAGAGAGAGTCCTGGCTAAACAGAATTATAAGTTCGGGAAAGAGTCACGGACGTGAAGACGAGAACGTAGTTAGCGCAGACAGTCTTGGCGCATTGCACGTGATAAAGCGTGATCAGTGGCAGGAGAAGGCCGTTGTATCACGTGAGGGAATTCCCTGTAGCATTTCGTCGGACTGGTATCGGCGGACCAGGGTAAACTTTCAGCCGAGCTGTTCAAGTCGCTTATGGTCAAGATCCGAAACACTCCTTGAAACACGCCTTGCAGTATACAGCTTTAGCCACTACCACCCTCGATGCTTATGGTGACACTATATACACAGCAGATGGCGATTATAGCGTACATTCTATCCTGCAGGATTCGGCTATCTCGTCTCCAGAACTACAGATAGCTATAGGAGGAGAAAGTTAAAATACCGTTGGAAACAGCGGGAGCAGAAAGTTAATATGCCACGAAAAACCGTGGGAGAAGAAAGTTGAGAGAAAGCGTCATGTCGTGACCTATAGCAAGCTTGGTAGGCACGTGCAGATACTGTAGTATGTACAGACTACATGTTTTACCGTGGTTTCCTTTTGAGCGCCTGGAAATCGTCTTGGTCGTGCATGGGAGCCCGAATCGTTTCTGGGAATGCGGTCTGCAATTGCTAGGCACGATACTAGAAAGGCCTGGAAGCTGATTCGACGCCCAGCACAAGCCAAACAACTTCCAGGCGCTCGATGCCGTGACATAGAATGCTGTGGCTCCTCTTAGATCCTAGAAGACTGTTAGCCCGTCGACAGATTTATTGGTCAACAATATCAGCATACTACACAGTCGTTCCCGAAGAGCAACCCAATCGGGACTGGCAAATGGAGAGACAGGATTCCATGGAAACGTCGCCATAAATTAGTCGATATTCTGCGGTGTACATATGTTAAAGACTCCTTAAATTTTCAGGTCAATTGTGTTTAAACATGTGGACAGTGATGCTATTATATTGATTGTCTTCAGTCTCCAGCAGCCTGCAGGTTCTTGTTTGGCTTGAAGACCTGGCGGTCAGAAGTATTAGGTGTGAGATCATCTTCGGGGTCACTTTCGAACCTCAACTCTATTTCTGTAGGTGCAGAACTGTGTATTGCGGTATCCGAAGACTGAATGACTCCGTCCAAGTTATCTCCGGCCAAAATCTGATAGTCTTTGTCCTCTCTCAACATCTCTTCCATAGCTAGATGTTCAAGTCGATCCAATTCTGCCCTCTGATCTAAGATCTGTTTGAGTTTTGAATTGAGCTTCGATTCTAGAAGATCCTTATTCCGCTTCAGTTCTTCAATGGTGAGGTGTGTTTCTCTCCGGAGTCGGGTCAACCACTTGGTGCAGCGGTCATCTTGGAGCAACCGCGCTACGGTCTCCGCGTCAATTAGGAACTCTTCAAGCCCATGCGCACTGATCCGAAGTCGATGTACTGCCGTGTGCCGGAGGCGACTTATCGAGTCGAGAAGCTCGGGGAACGGTTTTCCCAATCCTTCCATATCTACCTGCGGAAACCTATCCTGATTGGAAAGAAGAATTCGGGCCCATATATTCAACTCAATACATTCTGGACAGTCCCAGCCTTCGCGTTCAATAGTCTCTTTCATGTTGCGTAATCCAAACTCATAACAGGCATTCTCGAGAAGTCCCTGCACTTTGACAAGTAGCTGATGTTGTGTGTGGTACAGTATGGCAAGTAAACAGGGTAGAGAGAAGGGACATTCGTAGCTGCATAAGGAGACGAGCGCTTCCGGGATTGTGCTATCGACTCGGGAAGATCTGTCCACGATATCAGCGTTATGGACAATGCAGAAAGAGTTACGAACAAGCAGGTGGCTCCTTATTATCGGTTAAGCGGACATCGCGACTGCTTTCTGGAAGTTTGCCGCTGTTCTGGCCCGCTGCTGCGGACCTAATGGCATCTACCTCGGATTTCGCAGCTTCTGCCTCTGAAGCTGAGCGCTCAGCACTTTGCGCAGGAGAAATCTCGAACACTTCTGGGAACCGAATTTTGGCCTTTAAAGTAGACTCAAAAATCTGCTTTTCCAGAAGAACTTTTGCCACATTGCAGACGTTATCGAGATTGTGTTCTTGGACTAGGTCCCTAACGTCGACATTGTGTTGCGTCTTCTGGATCAGTTCGCGAACCTTCTTAGCTTTACGTACTTGCGCATCAGCTCCTTTGAAAGTGTTCTTCAAAGCAAGGTAGACCAATCTCTCGTCTGGAGCGTTTCTTGTCATTGTATATGTCTAGGGGACCATGGATCAGATACGAGAAGGATGCAAAACCCCCTTGAAGTTCCAAGCGTTCACGCCTAGAAGATCACGTGTATAATCACGTGATTCAATTCTATACACCATGTGATTTCCTGGGCTACAGATGCAGTATCACGTGCCAAAAAGTGCTGGCATGACTCGAATTCATCGAGCCAAGCCACTGTAGCCACTTATATCGTTTGATAATTGAAGCCCCAATTATCACAACCACAGTACATCTCGGCACGTGATAATGGCTTGGCGTGAGCATCGTTGTCCTCCTGCAACGCGCCTCGTTCCACCACCGTTCATTGTACCTCTCAAATAAGAGCCTGCAGTATCACATCGCTATCCGCCGCGCAGCAATGAATCGAGGAGAACCTCAAGATAACATTGTAACGCCGCCGCTGAGTTACCGCAATTCTCCTTTGCTGACTCCCCCACCCACCGACGAGAAAATTCCGACCGTCGTCCACCGGATTACTAGTGCAATTGAGCGATACAAAAGAGGTCAAGACGTTCCAGAGAGGCGGCTCCTGAGATTTCGTATTGATGAGCCTCAACATCGGGAGTTGGAGAGACAGCTGTTTAAAGACGAGTTTTGCAGAATCAAACTACGGTAAGCAGGCCGTTTTATTCGACAAAGGTGTGCTAACGCTGGTCCAGGTGCGATTATTTTCCTTTACAACGCCTCTTCATTATTCGAATGCCCTCGCGTATCCATGAGCGATTCCTTATAAAAGTCCACGACGAAATTAGACATCAATTACGCAGTGTTGAGGAAGGTCCCTCGTCAGAATTTGCGCAGGGTATTGATTTCGAAGGCTCAGCCACATTCATTCCCTCAGACTCAGAATACGGGCGACACGATCCGGATGGTTCATTTCGTCATGCCAAAGAACTGTTTCCTGGATTGGTGACGGAAGCAGCATATTCGCAGGAAGGTAAGATGCTGAGAGATTTGGCAGACGACTATATCCTGGGCTCGGATTTGAGGGTTCGCGCCCTGGCTGCCTTTGATATCTCTTACAAAAAGAAGACAGCTACAGTTTCAGTGTGGCGGCCACAGCTGCTGCAAGAAGATAATGGGGAAGTGTGGACCACTACCTCCGAAGTTCAAGTCTTCCGAAATGACAACGGCGAGTCGAATCTTGATGCGCACTCTGGATTACGCATCCACCTACGGGACTTTGCAAGTGTCGAGTTTTGTGAGATGTTTGGGAATATCGAAGGATCTATTTTTATTTCGTGCGCCACTCTTTGTACCTTCCTGGACGATGCAGAATCGGACATCGATGTTAAACCAGTCGTCACGGCAAGGCCTGTCTTGCGAAAGCGGCGCCGGACACCAACACCAGAAGAGGAACTCGACACCGATGACGAGAGAGACATGATCAAGGCGGAGGAACGAGCGGCCAAGAGAGCGGATCGAGACGATTCTTCATTTAAGGATAGCTCGTCAATTACGAGTGGGAATGGCTAGAGATTGTGATAGTATACTCAATATTTTCCGCTTGTGTCTCTACGAGGGCGGATATTATAAATATTGCTATGGAAACGAAAATCATAATTCAAGGTTGCATTTGGCAGCCTAAGCTGCCGCCATCGGGCGCTCAACCGGTGGAAATCCAGTCTCATTGGTCCAAATTCGAATGGGCTGTCCCAATTCTTGACCAATAATCTATTTTGGTTTCCGAATACACTGGTGTATTCCCACGAGTACACTGGTGTGTTTCCACGAGTACACTAGTGTATTCCCATAAGTACACTAGTGTGTTTCCCAGTACACCAGTGTATTCTCAAGAGTACACTGGTGTACTCCATTGATAACACTGGTCGACTCCGCGGATTGGACCAATCCCGTTCTTCGTATCGATACAGCTTTAATCTCTTCTGTTTCCGGTGTCTGCAAATCACACTTTCTACTCTCTCCATACTTGTTGAATATCATCCTACTGACGCTAATGAGCGTCAACGAGTATTCATCCAAGTCTGCCGCTTCGTCTGCTTTCTTACTATTTGCTTCTTAGAAGTAACAGAACTGTAGATATTTGTTCTTCGCAGATCTTTGGTCGGTTCGGAGAATCAAAACTACGAGCCTGATATCTTTGGGCTGCTTTGCCTAATGTGAAATTGGAGAATTTGGCTCTCACCGCGGCTATGCGTTGTATTCCATTCTAATTGAATAAGCCAGTAGTCGAGCCTTCCCCCTTGCATACTCATCTACTAGTCCCTTCTTGCAGCCCCACGGCGACGCTCAAGCGTTTGGCATCCTATGACGGCTTCGTCAAGGTAGGAAAGTGAAAATCATAGGGAGAGGCCTTTGGCCCTGACAATCATTGAAGACACCACGGGAACTTGTTGTGGTCGACTCACCTTGATATTGACTTCTGCTCCCACAGCATTCCATTGCGAATTGACTTTCTTCTCCAGAACCGCGTCATTACGACTCTCTGCCCCCACAGCTTTCCTTGGTCTCGGAAAAAGGGACTTCATTGGTCAAGAGGTGCCTCCGGGCCTACTGTACTGGTCAAGCAGCTGATCCTTCGCCCTAAAACGCTATGTGTGCTTCACACAGAACACGTCGTGTGTGAGACTCTACTTCAGGCCTTACGGAATATAGTATACATACACTCCCACATGTCGTGGCCTTACTACGGGGTGTGAGGGAGAGCGAAAGACCACTAAGACGCGAGTCTACTATTGGTATGTATAGCCATGAGTCTGTAGCGGCCACTGTCCCTCAGCAGCCACTATCCCTAACCTGTTAGAAGCCGCCGTGGACTGGAAGGCCGGATGGTGGGCGCTGGCACATGGCGAGCGCTGGCGCATGGTGGGCGCTGGCACATGGTGGGCGCTGGCACATGGTGGGCGCTGGCACATGGCGAGCGCTGGCGCATGGTGGACGCTGGCACATGGCGAGCGCTGGCGCATGGTGGACGCTGGCGCATGGTGGACGCTGACGCATGGTGGGCGCTGGCGCATGGTGAACGCTGGCGCATGGTGGGCGCTGGCACATGGTGAACGCTGGCGCATGGTGGGCGCTGGCACATTGCGAGCGCTGGCGCATGGTGAACGCTGGCGCATGGTGGACGCTGGCGCATGGTGGACGCTGGCGCATAGTGAACGCTGGCGGATTGTGAGCGCTGGCGGATTGTGAGCGCTGACGGATGGTGAGCGCTGGCGCATGGTGAACGCTGGTGGGCGTTGGCACATGGGGGAATAGGGCTCATCTCCTCTGGAATCCGATCCCGACCTATTCCGCTTACCCAGGCGCAAGATCGGAGTAAAAACTTTCTCTCTTTTTTCATGTCAGGGCGGCCCCTGCCAAGCCACTAGATACCGGGCGAGATGCAGGCTCATCTCACCCATCATCGCTTGACTCCTCAAGCGATCCGAGTCGATATCATATAGGACTGTCAATTCCGTCAATTCCCTATTGAATCACGCTTGCCCTTCTGTTCCTTGGCATTCCTTGATAAATGGATCTGCTTATCCGCACCTTATGCATAGCGTTCTGTCGTGGACTCATCTCGTGCTGCGCCTTGTACTTAATGATGTCTTGAATCTACCTGATTAAACTGCAGTATCTGGCCATGAGCTTTTCACACTTTTCATCCTATTAGTCTGGCGCACTCGGCCTCGAAAACGGTCAATGAGAATCAGAGGCATCAACCAGAGGCAACAAAGGATGACAACCACTGCCCTGGGCAAATGTCCGAGGATGGCACATGCCAACTGGCAACGCATCATCGAATAACTCACCAAAACATATCGTGTAAAACGCTCATTGGTTCCAGCGAAGCAGGCAGACGATAGCTGTAAGGCTGCAAGGCAGCAGACGCGCTTTTATTTTGTGGGTTTAAGCAGAGCCTCAAGAGCCTCGAGAGCCTTACCGTGCAAAAGTATTTTACGAATTCACATAAAATATCAATAGCTGTTTTCACTACTGTTCCCACTACTGTTCCTACCTCAACTGAAAGAAGTAACAAGGTTGTACAAGGTATATTCCAATATTGAATGCGCGGCCAAGCTCCTGTTGACCCTATTATTGTTAAGCTGCGTCAAACCGAAATCGGCTATAGTACCGGAGCGACCGTTACTATACTATTCGCCGAGTACGTTTCACCAAATGGTTTTAGGAAAAAGAATTAATTAGTGAGCAGTCATGTGTGTGACTTGGACGGTGCACTACGCCTGTGGCCATGACTCGGGGGCGACGGCGCCAAGTAATGGTTGCGATGGAACGTGTTCGGGGGATAACATCAGATATAACGAGAATTTGGATCGTACTGTGCAGGAAATATGTGCTGATTGCGATGCAAGTCGTCAACTGCCCACCCCACCAACAAGCAGCGACTCCAGCGCTTCGGAGACATCGGAGGAAGAGTGATTTTAGATCGGCAAACCCCGTCGCTGGGATATATAATTCGCTAGTCCGCGTATTCCCCATCACAGGGCATGGGCGATGTCGAAACAAGCCAACTTCGAACACTTGAGTTCATTAAATCTTTTCCAAAATGTCATCAGGTTCTTCAACACGTCTTTGCAGCCCAGCTCGTTGTGTCATCTATTGTTCAACAGTTAAGGATAACACACATTTAAAAGATCGTGAAGCCCTAGTGACAAGCGTTGTCCAATTTGCGTCAGGCGATCGGCAAAAAGCGAGTCTTCTCGGCACTATTGCAGGGACTCATATATTTATCGTATTCGACTATAACAACCCAGATCACCGCGATGACTGCAAAGTGCTTGGATTCAAATTCGGGAAGAAGTCTATTAGACCGATCAATATCCCTAAGGAAAGGGTTCATTCGATAGTGAAGAGATGGAAGGTAGAGAATGAAGACTATGGCGTCTCGTTTCCTCGTCAAGAACAGGTATACCTAATACCGATGCCTTTATCCAACCTCCCTGGAACTTGCTAATCTGTGTCGACGTTAAGCTTATCCTATCAAAAACCCGTTTCGCTCACTCTTCTAAAACCTCCGCCAATATCGCACCGCCATCCGGAAGCATCATCGCGGAAGATCAAACGTCGTCGGAAGAGGACGTGCAAAAGGGGGTAATCGCGACACGGGATACGCGCATTGTTGAGTGATAGGCGGGAGATGCTGGAAACGAGACGTGTTGACGACATGGGATACGTCGGATGTGATCAGTAGAGCTTGTCTGGGTGGTCCACAGACTGGATCCGATGAAATACCACGGCCCATCGGATCCAATCCACGAACCATGTCGACATCGAGGCTCGTCTGCTAACGTTCCATACGAGCCATCTCGAGTGTGATCAGTAGGGCTTGTCTAGGTGGTCCAGGGATTGGATTCGATGAAATGCCACGAGCCATCGGATTCAATCCATGGATCATCTCGATGTCGAGGCTCGTCCGTTCACGCTCGGTTACGAAGTATCTCGAGGGTGATCAGTAGAGCTTCTCTAGGTGGTCCACAGACTGGATCCGATCCGTGGCCTATCTCGATATCGACTTCTATCGAGTAGGGAGCCTGTCACGGGACCACGTACTACGAATTACGTGTTCAGGGATTCTTCAGCACTTCCATTCTTATCTTGACTCTCTTCGTGCTACGTCTTGTACCTACATCTCGATGCTAGCTGGAATACATTAATCGAATTCTCGCCCTAGAACCCTCATAGTGGCGGGCCCCCCGGGGACATGGTCCACGGATTGGATTCGATGACGGGGCGCAATGGGAGTGCCCATTTTGATCACGCGACATACTAAGCCATAGTATACGTTATTGGTCAGCACATAGATCTCAGCGTCGCCACAAAACGCCAGGCCGTAGGCAATTCCAAAAAAAAAAAATTTCAGGTTTATATTTTATTCCGCCAGAAACCGCTTCAAAATTGACACCAAATCGTGGTTGACCTATCAAGGACGTAACCGAGTGGTAAAACACTCTGGTTGCAGTCGAACCGATAGAATTGAGGGGCCTTACTAGTGTTCGATCATAGGTAAGGTAAGAGGGTTGTCCGGCCTAACTCCTAGGTGCCCTAGATGGGTAAACGTAATGCTCCAGCCAGTGATTGTTGATGTCGAACTGAGTGATCTGGGGAGGTCATTGATTCAAACTCTCCTTCAGTTGAACTAGTCTGATTGAAGCTTTCATTGGTTGTGGCGCCCCATTTATCAGTTCGTTAGAGATGGACTATAGGAGGGGGCCCTCTGGGCCTTTTTTTTTTTTTTTTTTTTCACAGTGCTGTGGTGTGAGAGTGGTGCTGTCTAATCACGTGTGTGCCGCCAAGAATTGCCAAGTCGAATGTGACCGGCTCAATCACGTGATGCAAAGGGCTTGGCAATATCGAGCGCAGCGAGGCCTGGGGGTTTGGGGACTAGCCCCCAAAATACAGAAACTACGCTTTTCACCTCCCGTGGAAATATCCCGTCCGCGGCCCCTATTGGTATGCTAGTAAATTAACCCTATCCCATTCGAGGTAGGTGATTGGCCAGTTTTCGAATGGCCCATTCCATCCAATACCTGACCCATTCTATCCGGAAAGTCGGAAAATTGATTGGTTGATTTAATTGCTTCAGCCCTCTCAGATACAAAGGATATTTTTATAGGCAGATTTAACAGGCCTTCCCGTTCGATGACATTTCTCTACCCCAGGTCAATACTTCTCTTAAGGGGGTATCTGCTAGATGGCTTTTGTAAGTCTACGGGAGTTTCTACTAGGAATCCTAACGAACGCCCGTTGAGAGCTCGAGTACAGAGAATGCTTACTCTTGGTTTGGCTAACACTGATCATATCCTCGACTGGGTCTGCATCTTCGTCGTCTGTGTGCGTTCCTGGAGCTAGTCGGTATAATACAGTTAACGCCTTCTTTACCTCGATATCAGAATACCGGAGTTTTCTCCTGAGCTGCCTGACTTTCGAAGACAAATTTATGTTTTCCCGCTTTAATTTGCCCTCCTGAATTCGCGCGGCCGACAGGTCCCGGTCCAGCTTTCCACACATCTCTTCGGCTCGCTGACGTGCCAGACTTTCTGCGTGAGCCTTATCCTTATATTGGGATACTGCCTCGGCCATTTTCTCGTTCTCCGCCTGTAATTGGCTAGATTTTGAAGTGAGATTGGCGAGTGACGCGAAGGTATATGGAGCCTAACAAGATGTTTAATTTAAGGTGAGTGATCTGAGGGGACTGGATACCTTTATGGGATCTCCTGAGACTTCATTGGCCGGCTCCCAGTGTGCCACAGCTTCAAATGATCTGCCAACTTCTCGGCATAACTCCATGTATGCTCCGATCGAATGTTTACTTAATGGTTTCGTAAACAGATACTCCTTATCTGGCTGTCGAACCCATATATACCCTTCTGTAGTGTCCGGTTGTAACCGAACCTGAGATGGGTCGATAGTAACTCCTAATTTCATATCTGTAAATGGTAAGGAACAAGTTTTCTCCTAATCGGAAGGATAGTAATCTCACTTAGATGGTCGGCTAAGGTTTGCCGACACTTTTGGCGCCATTGGGCACGCTGTAAATTTCCGTGCCGACGGACCTTGCCATGCTCCATGCCTTCGGCTGATTATGCCGAGATTAATCCCTATAAGACAAGGAGTATTCAGTAAGCAATTGGGAGGACAATATGACAGATATTCGCGAGTGAGAGGTTTTAGTCTAGATATATCGTCGAGGAAAATGGGATCGTGTCGAGACCGCAGAAGAAAACAGCGATTATAAGTCAGAACATATCTCCCCGAATGACCGCAACGTTCACATTCGAAAGCAGGATCGCAGCGAAACCCTGTTCTTTCCTCCTTAGAAGGGGATGGGTACCCATTAAGGATCTGTCCTAAACTAAAGGAGGGGTGGGAAATCGCACCCCTCCCCCCTCGCCTTTCGTGGCTCCCCTTCGCCCTTCATTAGGGGGGAACAAACACCCTCCCCCCCCTAAACATTCTTTTTCTTCTCATTCTCTTTTCTACCTTCTACCTTAAGGGATATATCCCGTACGGAAGCCTGTCCATACGGGAGAATATCCTCAAGGAGCTTTTGGATTAAACCTCGGTTATCTCCGTAGGGGAAACAGGCCTTGAGGAATACCATCACGAATTAGAGGTCGCTACCCTAGGGACCGTCTTCCGTACGGAAGCTTTGGCGTAAGGACATTTATCTTTAAGGAGAGCTGGCCACGTGGTCCTAAGAATGATTCCATCACGAGATGTTACTCATCATGTTAGCTGTTCTGAAACTGACACTGTACCAATCCTAATACATATAGGCTGAGTCCCTTTTTTCCTGTGTCACAGAATCACGCGTTAAAAGATTTGGCTTAAGGTAATCTCTCTCGACCTGTTATCCGCATCTCTCGCGTGGAAGTGTCTTGACTCTCCTCGTGCCGCGACTTGTGTGTATATACCTAGAACCTGATGATACTATAGCTTGAATATACCTAATTAGACCATCTGGCCTAGAACCCTCACATTCTCTCGTCCACTGATATAGCCCACTCAGTCTGGTCCACACGAGAGTCGGCGGCAATGACTACACTTTCTCCCAGGAGCAAATTTAGATCCTGGGCAACAATTCCAGGCTCCTGCGAACAGCTATTTCGCTCCCAGGCGACAATAGTTATCCCAGGAGCTTAGATTTTGCTCCTAGGACCCTTTTTTCCTCCCAGGGCCAATGGTTCCATTATTTCCAGAGGACCACAGGACTGCGGACTCTCGAGACCAAAACTCCAGACGGCTCTGAACAAGAAGCCAAGGTACAGCTATCGGTTTGGATAATCGCTCAATTCAACCGCTTGCGTGACCTACTCCCTACCGCTATTGCCCGACAACCCGTCTCAATTACTCTCCCTCTCCTCTTTATTTCGGGGGAGAGTTGGACACTATTATTCGCGAGCGATCGAGATGATAGCATAGTAAGTATTCGAGCCGTCGTTTGATTTCCAAATCACTCATATAGCTTGTACAGGACATCATCGGCAGCATCTTGATTGGTAGTACGGCAAGTATTCTTGGTTGCTACAAGATTCTCGCCGCCATACGCTGCCTTTGTAACTGGGCGACCACGACATTCAAGGACTGGTTCATTGAAAACATTCTCACGCCAGAATAATCGCAGTGTATTTAGAAGTTGCGACAAATGTTGCGACCCCCCCATTCGCACAGATCGCGTATCGAGTGCCGGCGTATGAAAAACATAATTGTTTTTTTTTTTTTTTTTTTTTTTT